GGCCCAGTATCCCTGCGGATGAACCATACTACTTTGCCACTCGTGGTCAAAGAGTAGTCCCGGCGAATGCCTTTAGTAGCCGACTCTATCTCCCCAGCACAGTCACTCTTCAACCGAAGAGGGCGAGCAAAACACTTCTTGATCGCGTCGCAGATAATAACAAGCAAAAAGGTGCGCGACCGAATCGATACAGGTCCTAATCCGAAAGCAAAGTCAAGCGCTATGCGCTTTAGTGGTTCTGGCTTATATGTGGAGACGTCTCTTTCCTTCTGATGTGATGCGCGTGCGCCTTTAGCTCTATCACATTCCGGACAATATGCCGGAATGCCATCAGTATGGAAGTTTCCGCGTCGTCTATGTGATTCTAGTTGTGTAAGATGACAGCTTCTTACTCCTTCTTCTATAGTAGTGCACGCATATGGATCACCTTCTGTGTCTACTGTGCACGAGTCCGATGGCGCTATATAAAGCAAGCCCATATCCAACGTCGGGAGCTCAAGGCTAGGATGGTTGCGGATGGATAGCATCTGGCCGGTCCTTCAATTGACCAGGGAACCGCCAGAGCCCGGATAGTTCTTTCAAATCCCATCCGCATTGACTGAGGTTATCCGTACCGAGCCACGGAGGGATCCTTTCTATATCCTTTGGCAATGACGGAAAGTATACCCCATAGGGCAAATTCAGTACATTCGGGTGTAGCTTGCCGATATATCCATCACGAGCACCGGCGGTGCCGGTGATGCGACGTATGCGGTTCGTCACCTCTGCGAAGTCGCTCTTATGTCTAGATAGGTACTTATTAGCACAAGAGACAACCAAGCTCACCTGATTAGTTCGTTCTTTTGTAGTGTGGGCTGCATATGCAGAATCATAGCGATTGCCGTCTACTTGTGTAGAGGAATTACATACGCATGCACACTGCCAAATATCTCATCTTTCGCGCAGCTTGATAGATCAATATTCTCTATACTATCATCCTCGAAATTCAGCATACATGTACCGTGCTCAGATACATATGCTTCACCTTCTCCATATGTAGACTGTCAGTATCTGCCGCCATTTCCACCAGTCTGCTGCTGCTGGTTTCCCTGCTGGAACGGAGGCTGGTTCGGTTGCCAGATCCAGTTACCCTGGTTCTGGTTCCACGGGGGCTGCTGATATTGTCCACCCATACCATACTGACCTTTCCCTGGTCCCTTATTGTTGTTATACTTGCAAGCGGCAGCCCTATGGCTGTCGCGCCCGCATATCCAACACTTGGGCTTGGGATATCCTTGGGAGGCAGTATGGGTGCTCTGACCACCAGTCTTACCACCACCGCGGCCAGCTCCTTTGGCATTCCCTCCCTTACTAGACTTCGGGTTGGGCAATCCATGCGCGGCGAGCACCTTCGCTTCGATGGCTTTGGTCTGTTTGGCTTTGAAGCGTTTCAGCGCGCGAGCACTAGTAAACACTTTGCCATTACCAGCCTCATCATCCGAAGGGTCAGCGTCGCGCTTATTTCCTATCTTTTTCTTATGCTTTTTGCCAGATACTTCCTGACCATCGTCAGCGATAGTGGGGAAGGCCTTGCCGAAGCTCGGATTCTCAATTTTATACTTCCCTTCCCGCACCAGCTGCGCCAAGCGCTTCGCCAAGCGCGCCCCGATCTCCGCGAAGGTGATATGGTCGGACTCATCCACACAGCGGTCGATAGTCCGGCGGAAGGCTTGGGAGAACATAGAGGGCAGCTTTTCCAGCAAGTTCTTGGCGTGCTGGTCTTCAGCCGGACGGCTGCCCTCCGGCACATACACCGAAGGCGCCAAAGCCATAATGTCCCTGATCTGATTGATGAAGGTCAAGGGGTCCGCCGGAGGGTCTCGATTGTCAAAGTGCATCGCGTCGATCTTGGCGGTCTTGCTCTTCTGCTGATCCCGCGAAGCGATGTTGTAGCTGCCCTGGTCGCGCAACCGCATATACAACTGGGCAGCGTCGTCGTTGATTGATATAGTGCTGGTTGTTGAGCCAGGTCAGGGCCGAACCCTTACAGGACTGGTGCAGAGCATCCCGCAGGTCGCGCCACTTGGAGCGGATACCTTCAGCAATATTAGGCTGAGCCTGTGGGGCTCCAGGAGAGTTACCACCGAGACGGTTCTGCCAGTACTCATTGAGTCCTAAGCGACCGATCTCGTTGGTTACAGCACGACCCCACTCCTGCCAGTCAGCGGAGGTGGAAAGCGTGGCTGTAAGCTTCGCTTCTTGAGGCATCTTGTATACTACTCGGATCTATCTGTGTGTATAGCCGTCTCGGTATATGTCAAGGCGTAGCGCAGTGTTAGGGGACAAGGCGAGCACCTGAGCACTCACGCTGTCAACCTCTGTGACAATACACCTTCCCGGTATCAATTCACTATATGCACAAGCACGCAGGCGACGCATGTCTCTTGCTGCGTTGCATCCTGTCAGGATTCATATGATTCTCATAGTTCTTCTCCTATGCCGTGGCATAGTCAATCGCCATCAATCTGCCATGTCGGGTCATAGTCGTTTGCACTATGCAGATCCATAGCGATCCCTATGTCATTCCATATCCATTCCTATGCTCTGTCATATGGTCTATCGGTATGCATTTCATTCCGTCGTCTCCTATGTGGATCATGTGTCATCATATGGCATTTGGGACCCTATGCAGATCATCAGAGGCATTCAGATCCTGCGTGTCAGCTATCGAGGTGGGCAGGCTAGATCAGGGGTTGGGGCTTAGATCACATGACCAACAGTAGTTAACTCGTAATGAAAAGTTTGCAAATTTCGAAACTTTTCGTCTCCGCCAAAGCTGCTGACTTCACCGTCCGCGACGACTTGAACCTCCGTGATTATGATATGAAAACTGACCAAAGTGACAACATCAAGACGGAGACTCTCACTATCCAAACCACCTCCGATTTGTCGCAGGTGGTTTGGTAAAGACTAGGATCATGCGTGTCTTTTGGTCAGATATGAAACCAGTTTCGTTTGACAATACCAATGGCGCAGCCACGAGGAAGCAGCCTGGTCAGCAGCCGGCTCTTGAATAGTATTGGCAGATGAGACTTGCTCCCCAACTCACCGAAAGTCGACAACTCGTCGCATTCTTTGCTAGACCATCTGGGACGAATCGCTGGCGCTCTGGGTGATGCAGTTTGATCTTGTGATGTCTTTGGTAAGGTTGGAAGCAAGTTTTTATATCATAATCACGGAGGTTCCAGTCGTCGCGGACGGTGAAGTCGACAGTTTCGGCGGAGACGGAAAAGCTTGAAACTTACTGACTTTTTAACGAAGAGCTAGCTAGTTTCACATTAAGTTTTCAAATAGCTTTTTTTTTGATGAAAAAACTGAAACTCTATTGTAACAGTTGAGATTGTAACTTCTGAGCAGGCTATACACCTTTGCTTTTGGGTGGGGCCTCGTACATGTTCAGCGACGGCTCGGGCGACGCAGCGACGCGTGACCTGCGCACGGGGGGGCACGCCGCTTCAGCGGAGTGCTGGAAAGAGAACGATGCTAGAAACATAGTCATCCGGGTAAAAAATAATTGGAATTCGGCGTCTTCCTCCTCCACGACAGGAAAAGGACTCGTTGGCGAGCGCTACGACATGGACGTCGAAATGCAGCTGCGCAGAGATGTCGCGAAGGAACGTGAAGAAGCAGCTGGGAGCCAGAATAAAAGAACAGGTGCGGAAGTCATCAAAAAAGCCCGGCTATTGCGGAAATTTGCGCAGCGAACTCGGGAGAAAGTAGCCAGGAATTTCTTCAGCGGACTTCGTCGAATCGGGGTCCTGCGCGGCAGGACACAGACGGCGCCCGATCCCGTAGCCAAGACAAACGAGGCCGAAAGCCTAAATGAACTAGGCCGAGAGCCTCAAAGGTTGGAACTCGTGAACGCTTTCACAGGCGATTATGTGGCACTGTTTGACGCCAGGATGCAAGAGTTCCTGTAATATGTCTGGCATAATTTTTGCCGAGGCCTAGGCGTCAGTCTGTGACGTACACAGTGGCGTCATAGGATTTGTACTCTGACGCCGCCGCGCTTTGCAGCCGGGTTGTGCTGGTTTGATCGGTGTTCGTCTAGTAGTTCGTTGGAACGAAATAGAAGCACAAGCAATTTCGATCTCGCAGCTGGAGCTTGGCCAGGTATGTATCGTCTAGACAAAGAACGAGGCAAGAAGAAGGATGTGTTGAATTCTGATTTGGTGCTGTGTCAGGTTTTTTTTGAAAATGAAATTTCCGACGAACAGCATGGAACATGATTATCGAATTGCCAACATTGCGAGTCGTGGTACGGTGCAAATAATTCGAAACATGGGATAGGGATGCTTGTCATAGTGTCGGAATCACTCCTCGTCGGCCGGTCTCCATTCCATTTTAATGCGATCTGTCGTCTAGTTCCGCCACCCCAGTCCCTGTTGTCGTTTCTAGTCCATCTGTACTCGCACGGTCGCCATTTGTGACCGTGAGAACTGACACAGAGCTGCTTTTTCTCGACAATGTTATATTTTTTTTACCTTTTATTTGATTGTCAAGGTGCAGGTGCAGAAGCTTTGTTTGTGCCGTTCAAAGATTGAAGAATTTCCCGCGGAGGTGAGCTTTTTTTTCACGGCGTAGGCCAACTTTTCATCCAAGATAAGTTTAGTTGTAGATGATGATCTCGCCTTTTCCTCAATTTATTATTTTTCAAGGAATCTCTATCTCGATCTCGAACAGGCGATTTTCCCGGAACTCTATTTTCCGGTGAAGTACTGAGCGTACTTCTGGGAGGAGGTGCTTGCTCAAGTTGAGCTGAAAATGACTATGGACAAGAGCTGCGACTTTGTTACGCTTACGAGAGTGAGCCGGCGAGCAAATTGATAGAGTAGCGACACTGCTGGCACAGAGAGTCATGCGTATCTATGTACAACTACAAGGGACGAAGATGTTGCAGTAGAGTTTCTTGCATGTTCGATCATGGCATGACATCGATAAGGCAGTAGTTTCTTCTACATCGACTGGGAAGTGGTGAGCGACTGTATTTTTGAGTTGAAGATCGACAGAGAGAGGGAGCACCGCATGAGTTCATCGCGATTGACATTGAATCGTTCGTCGTCGTACGCAACATGGTACGCAGGACCCCATTGAGATGTTCGGAACCTTACGCAAAATTAATTTGGATTTTGATTTCTCCATAGCACAATGACGCGAAGTTTTTTCGGGAAGAGAATAAACTCTTCAACGTCGAAAGTCATCGACTTGAAAACACCTACGTAAACACCGCTGGAGTACAACGGAGTACGTAAAGAAATGACAAAAAACGCAAACACGCTGCTGCAGCGGCTGCAGCGCGAGGATTTCTGTTACACGGAGTTCCCGCAATCCATCGGGTTTCATGTGTTTCAGTTGCGGATTCTTGTAGTGGGCAGCTTGATTTGGCTGATCCTGCTCTCCCTGCTGGGTCTGCTGTTCTGCGTCTCGCAGTTTCTCGCAGACCAGCGTTTGTCTCTGATTGTGTTGGAGATGGAAACGTCGCGCATCCACAAGACTGTGAAGCAGATGCTCTTCATGCCGAGCGGCGTCGTCGGTCACCAGGTGGACATGGGCATTCGCGCTGAGGCGATGTTCGAAGAGACAGACCAGATAGGACTGAAACAGATTCTGGAATACGTATTTCCTTTCTAAGTTTTTCTGTTTTTATACTTGCACACGCAATACCTGAGCCTGCTGTTAAAAATAAGTCCTTCTATTCCGCGTTGATAAGTACCCTCCTTTCCCTCCACGGAATCTATCAATCCCGGAACTTCGCACATCAGGCGTACGACGAGTTTCCGACCCTGCAAGATGTCCGTCTGGTGTTCAACCAGAAGTCGTTCGGCTACTACAGCAGTCGGCAGGACGGCTTCCAGGCGGACACGGACCGGTGCGCGGACTTGGGGGATTTCGCCTGTCTAGCCATCAATCTGAAGCCCGCGGACCTGTCCTGGTACCGCAAGGGCATGCTCCTGTTCGACCCGTCCAAGACGAAGTCGATTTCCTACTGCGACTTTCTGTCTCCCCAGTTCATCCCCTACTCGGAAAAGTCCGGCAGCCCCCTGCTCGCGCAGCCGCCGGAGCCGACCTTCGAGTGGAACTTCGGGTTTGCGCGGGTCTGCAAGCACGAGTACGCGCACTTGCAGGGGGACAGCGGCCGGGCGTTCGCGGTGTCGAAAACGTTGGTCAACATGGAGACGTTTCTGAAGGAGCTGGAAAGGCGGGAGACCTTTCTCGGCGGCAGAATATACCTTGTGCGATACGACCTGGAAATGTCCACAGGTATTTTTGTTCTGTAGGTTTTTTGCTCGATGTTGAATGTATGAAACAAATCCAGAGACTCGTCCTGGTTGCAGCCGTACAAGCAGATCCACGATTAAAAATCTATCATCTCTCGAACTCTCAGTCGCCGCCATGACGAACCGTATCCAGGGGGTCCAGCTCTCGGGCGGCACACTCTCGCCCGCGGGGGAACTGAGTACCGTCACCGATGACTTTACCGACGAGATGATGACGCTGATCCTCCCCGGCGAGAGCTTTTCCTCCGGCACGAGCCACGTTCTCGTGCGGGAAGTGCGGGACAGCAACGGGAAGTACCTGCTCGGCATGGTCGTATGCATCGCAAATATGATTTCTGGGTCTGGAGGATTTGTGATGCAAAAATTGGAGCATAGCCGGATTTGTGTTGCATGAGGGGGAGCGGCGAGCTTTTTTTGTCGTGCTGAATTGTACTTCGTGAAGATGATGCTCTAAGACGAATGAATTCGCTACAAGCCTGAAAAAGAACATCTAAAGATGCTCTTATGCCGCACAAGCGGTTACTCCGCGACACGCGTATCCGCAACAGAAGTTCATTATTCCAGACCCAGACATGTGTTTGCAATGCATAGGCCGGGCCCTTCTACCAGTTTTCCGACTCCGTCATGATGCCGATGCTGGTGGTGCTCCTGATCCTCTTCTCGCTGCCGTTTCTAGCTTTCGCGGTGGTCCAGGCCGTGAAATACTACATCCGGGGGTACAGGAGCGGCATCCAGTTCCAGACCGTGGAGGAAGTCGTCCGCATGAATGTGGCCTTGGCCACGTCCTACAAGCCGGCCAACGCGAACGATCGCGCGGCGACCCGCACTTTGAACCGCACGGGCACCGCGGAATCGGTGTCCCCACCCGTTTCGCGAAACGCCGAAACCCGAGCCACCCACGCCAGCTCCTTCGGAAACATCCAGGGCGGGTTCTGAGGCGGGGCCGCGTGTGTTGGGCGGAACAGGGAAATAAACTCGACGTCCGCGTCTCGGAGAGTCTACTGAAGATCATGAGCAGCGGAGGAAGAAGGGTAGTGTCGTGGTGTGAAGCAGCTCTTTAGTATTTTTTTCCTGTCGACGTCCTTCGCGTTTCACGTGTAAAAATGGCCACGTAGTTGTCGCGGTGCGGGGGATGCTAGTGGTTGTAGACCCTAGCTACTAGTTGTAACTGAGTTGCATTCACGACTTGTTCATCTGCTTCCCCGAAAGCATGGTCGAGACGAAAGAACAGCACTGTTCACGGATTCAGCTGCCGCGCGACGAAGGCCTGGCTGGACACCGCGGGCGCGGACCTGGTGTTTTGTAGCGGGGCGGGATCGACGTGGCGGTAGAAGAACTGTGTGCGGGTGCACAGGACTGAACTTTTTTTCGCAGCAGATCGACGGGGCGGGGGACATGGAGGCCGACTCGGCTGCTCTTCACGACGAACGGTTGGGAACCGATCCCGAAACTGGAGTACAAGAGGAATACCATGTTGGGGATGGGGAAAGGGAATAGAACTCGGAGACCGCGTTCCAATTCATAACCTCGGCGGTCGGAGACAAGAAGCTAGCGGAGTGGTCCCCGCGGTGAAATAAAGGCACGAGGCTACAGCGCAGGAGCGGGAAAAGACCGCAGCGTCCGCGAGGAAAGCCGAACAACGAACAAATGTGCTCAACGCGACGTCCGCAGAGAAGCTCGACGTGGCCCACCCCCTGCGCGCAGTACAGTTACTGCGTCGATCGACTGGACAGTCTCTTGTTTGCACTGATCAGCACTTGCTTGCGCAACTGGATTTTTATCAAATTGAAGTGTTCTTTCCCTTTCCGCATATCTTTTACTGCGACGGGCGGAGGGAGGGACAATGAATCAGAATGGAGGCGGATAGATATTTTGAGCTTTGTCTCCAGGAGGAAGAGTTTTTTGGCGTATTTTCTGTAAAAGTAGAAAGACAAAGATCTTCTAGCAGTGCTGCAGAACACGACCTTGAGCTCTTGTTTACGCAATGAACTTTGACTTTCGATAATTTTTACGTCTTACCGCGTCCATGGCTGCATCGGGCGGCGTATCTTCGTCTTGCGTTTATTCGTGTTAAGCTGAGGTTGATGCAGCCTTTTGGAATTTTCGCGAAAATGGTCTGGGTGGGATCGGTGTTGCTTTCGGTCGTGCCAGTAAGTAGAAGCAGTGGTCGTGGTATCGAATGGTTCGTCGGTAAATGCGTCACGATAATGTCCAAAAGAATGCTCAGGATCAGTGAAATTGCCAAACAGAAGCAGTTTTAAGGTAACGAATGATCTTTGCTTCAAGAAAAAAGATCGAAAAAGGATCAAGCGTATGCTGTCGATCAAAAAGAAAATAGAACCAAATGATCGCACCGAACAGAAATGTATCGGACTCAGTAGTATGCTCATCTTCATCTTTTGTGCCGTGTGATGTGCCGAGTCAATCGGGAATTTCTTCCCGCTTTTTTTGTGCTGCATTTTTTCGGTTTTTTTTTTTTGAAAACTTGGGCTGTGATTTTTTTTGGATTTTGTCGGTCCTATGTGCGATGCATTTTTTTTTTTACCAATCCCCCTCCAGGCGTCGATGGGCACCTCCACGTGCACCATCGGAACTAGAACGACGCGGTTTAGTATCTGTCGTGGCCCTGAGTACAATTTTTATTTTGATTTTCACCCCGACGCCGACCCCGACACCCTTCTACTGTAAAAATACCAAACTGTATGCTTACTGAGTCCTAGTTCTATTTAGCCAGCTTCACCCTCGCAATACATCTTTTTAGTACTCACGTGTTGATGATTTGAATTTTTATCACGAAGTTTCGCAATCTCAATCTGTCAGTAGAAAAGGACAAACGAACCCCATGCCTCGAAACCATTTCGATCGGTCTTTGGACGAGTATCGGCGGAGTCGGGAACGCCAGCAAAGCCGTGACCGCCGGAATCGATTCGAGCTAGACCGACCACTAAATGATCGTCCGCGGCGAAGCCGAGACCGGCGGAATCACCTAAGCAGAGCTTTGGGACGACGGGGGCGCAGTCGCAGCAGTCGCGAGCGCAGGTACGAAACCCCGCGGAGTAGCCGCGACCGGAGGCGCCGCGGCAGTAGAGATCGCGACACTCGGAATTATCGCAGTCGCGACCGCGCCCGGAATGATCGGCGGGACGTCGGCTCTCGATATGAACAACGGCCTGGTGCGCCCCGGGTGAACGCACGACCGTCACCACCACCTTTGCCAAAGCCACCGTGTGTCCGGTGTTTGTTAGATCGAGAGTGCAGTAAGGAGAGCCGAGACGTCCGGCATGAGCGAAGGCATCAGCCCCGCGAGCAGTGCCGAGACTTCCAGAATAGTCGCTGCTGGAGGGGGGAGCACTGCAGGTTCTGGCACCCAGTACCCCTGGACGCGGAGAAGTTGCAGCAGCTTGCAGAGTGGGCGGCGGAAAAGAGCGGACCAAGTAGCGCACTGACCAAAGAACGACTGTGCGAAATCGCGCAGCAGTCGCAGCGGCAAGCGTCTCGTGTGCCGTCGACTACCCTCTACAACAGTGCGGTCGAAAGCGTGCCACCAGGCTGCCGAACACTCGAGGGATACCTTGAGGCACTATTCCGGGCCGCCGGAGCGAACGCGGAGCTGTTCAACGTTGACACCGAAACCGCCGAACTGGCGGGCCGGGTCATCGCGAAACACTGGCCGGAGTTCGATGCCGTGCGCGTTACCGAATTCCGGCAAGTGGTGAGAACCTTGTACGAACAGGATCAGCGCCCGGGGGCGCCGGCGTTTGGGCGGCTGCTTGAAAATGCACAGGCCATGACGCCGAAGCAGTACAGCTTCGAACTTACCCCGAGGGAAAACTCTCGGACCAGTTTTCTGAAGCGCTGCCTTGCAATCTCGATGGACAAAAGGTATAGTAAGTGTGTCAGTGCGGAGGTCATCTTCCTGTGCCGTTCTTGTGTAGTTTTACTTGCTCGCACGACCAGATCCAGAACCACGAACACAGATGCTTGCGTAGGTAGCGACAGCCGTGCTGTGAGGGCGCTTTTCATATGCTTGTAGATAGACAGTTTCGGTTGAATTTCTATCGATTTTTCAAAAATCGATATGGGGGGACAAACTAGGGGCGACGAACTGAGAACGGCCTTTTTTCGAGGCCTAGATATAGCGGGTTTTTGGCGAGTTGCCCATTTTCGGGGAGGCTCAGGCGAGGCCCCCTGCGTCTAGTTTCTGCGCAATAGCAGCGGCGTAATGCGCCGCATTCTCTACCTGAGGTTCGCGCCTGCACCGCTTGCATTGTTTCGAAAACGGCGCGGCGCTCGCGCTAGAAATACCTTTTATAGAATATCCGCACCCATTCCGCCCTAAATATTGAATATCCAGCGCGGTATCCTATATCCACGCCGCCCCGCCGTGGATATACACCAGGGGGGCGTAATATTTTATAAAATGACTGCCGTCGATTTGGCTCCGGAAATGGTTGCCATGGACACAGAAAATAAATCCGCGCGCGTGCTTTTGGGCGCGCTGGCGAACCAAAAAAATCAAGCAACCCAAGAAATCGGGCCTATATCTAGAGACAAAAAAAAGGCCTTTCTCAGTTCGTTTTCGAATTTTGTCCCCCCATAAAAATCGACGACCATTTAATCTTCAGGTTTGCTCGAGAATTTAATAGTGACGATCCTGGCCGTCGACGGGATAGTGTAATGCGCGCAGCGGGCTTGCTCCCCCTACATGGTGACTGCACTAGGTGGGCTCAGTTTCTTGTTGGACAGGATCCCAATCTGCCCGCTGCACGGAGGGATAGCATGGGCGTGAAAGAAGAAAGTGCGGAGTCGTACCTAGCACTGTTCGAACCCAAACCTTTCTCCACAAGAGTGGATTACCTGCAGGAGTTGCAGAGAGCTCCCAAGCTCTACCCCAAAGAATTCGCCGGCGACAACGCAGAGGAGCGGGAGCAGCGGGTGCGCGCCGCGCTGCGGGAGTGTTTTGAGTGTCGATGTTGTGGCTCTTCTTGCAGATACCACGCGCCAGGACTTGCGGAGCCTTTGTGCTTCCCGTGCTTCGAGGGCGAATTCGACGTTGAATTAGCAGCAATTGGTGACGCGTACGATCGCTTTCTGCGGGAGAAGTATGAAGAATATTCAGAAAGCTACCCGCAGTATGAGAGCTTCGAAGCGCTCGCCGGCGGCGAGAGGTACTATCCTTCCGAGCGACACCGCAATCATGCCGGTTGGGACACCGACGCAAGCGCGAAGGACATCCTACTTGCGGGATCTGATATCAACATCAAGGCCCCGCCGGAAAGCTTCTGGGAGCCACGGAGAATACTCCAGTGGGGAAGCACGTTCCAGCGAGAAACCCGGTTTCTGGCCGACCTTCTAGCGAGCCACAAGCCGCTGACCGAAAGCGAACTGCAGGACGAGGCGCAGGCGTGCAGCCGCGGAACGCTACGAGCTCTGTCCCGGAGGTGCGCCGCTGACGGAGATAGTATGCAGCGCACGCTCGGAGTCTTCCTGAAGCGTTGCTTCGACGAGATGAAACCGCACACGAAGAAGATGATATTCCTCAGGTTGCTGAAAAAGCACAAGGTCACTTGCAGGAACATCATGAAAACTTTCACCGAAGTTTTTCGCGTCCTGCGGGAACTTCATTACAGGAGACAAGCGGCGAGGGATGCGGGCGAGGACCCAGTGATGGAGCCGCCGCACCTGTGCGAGTTCGATCGCGCGGCGTTTGTGTTCGACGACACACTTAGCGCGCAGGAAAAAGTCAACATCGCGTGCCGCTACTACGTCAAGAAGGTGAAGCGGACGGCCCTCGGCGACGGCGAGGAGGCGGAGAGCGATGAGGCAAGCGATCGCAGGGTGCTGATTGCGGACTTCTTGCATCGGCTGCGGACGGCGCCGCCACCCGGCCGAGCCGCACTGCAGCGCGACTTCTTTGATTTTGGAACGTTGTACTCCTCGCCGGACAGCCGCGTGTGGATTTTGACTGGAGGGAATGATGGGAATGTTGGGGACAAAAATGATGGCGGTATTCACGTTTTCGAAGCGCTCCCCCCATCGTCGTTGGCGGAGGGGGCGCGCTCCTGGTTCGGGCTGCCGCCAGACGCAACGCTGGCGGACGTCCACCGACTGCAGAAGCTTGCGATCGAACAGTTGTGGGGCGCTCTGGGCGTGACCGCGTTTAGCCAGCTGGTCACCTACAAGGGGCACGCCGACCCTGCCTTGCCGCACGCCGTCGGGGACAAGATCTACCCAACCTATGGCGTTGTCGATTCGTTTCGCGACACTGTCGATTTTAACCGGCAGGAGAACAAGAAGACCGGCGCCAACCTCGCTGCGCTCGAGGTCTCAGCCGATCCGAATCGACAGGCGCCGACCTACCGCGCACTCCTGGAGAGAGTTCCGGTGGCGCGGCGTCCGTCGTTCCGAAAAATGGTGGGGTTTCGGCAACTGCGGACGCACCAGAACGCAAACCTGTCAAAGGTTGTGTTTGTTGACCATCTCGGATTTGACGGCGCCAGGATGCGGGCGATAGAGGCCGAGTTGATTCAGGAAATCAAGCGGGTGCGGTGGGAAGACGACCCGGATCCGGGCGCTTTGGTTGCCGAAGCACAGCCCTTCGTGGGCGGAAGCGAGTACTGGAGATAGATAGATCGATCCGCTCTTGGGTCGCAAATAAAGGCTATTCTTAGGCGAAAGCGCCGAATAGAATGAATTCATCAGATAGATCGATCCGACTCCATGAATTCCTTCCCATTCTTGTCGCAGGTCGGTCCCTCAAGAAGAACTCCCGTAGTAAACTAAACGAAAACGACTAGGCAGTGAATCAATCCAAAGCAGTGAAGGAACATAAAAAGAAGGGCGCGGGGGCTTCCTAAGAGAAGTGAGCGACGCCGTCTTTGTGATGGATGAAAAGCGCCGTTTTGCTCGTGATACGCAAGTAAGAGTCTATGTGTTCTCAGTCCCTGCGCAGTTGCTTGTTGTCCTTGTTGCTGGATGTGTGGTATGTTGTATGTCATGTGCTTCATTGAGGCAGAAGAAACGAACGATGCTTCACGGGCGCAAGGAATCACTGTGATATGATGCCATACTAGGGGGCCCTCGTGCTTTCTTTCTCGTTCAAATATGTTGACTCTGAGAGCAGATTCGTGTACTTTTCCGAGTTGACTGAGTGAGATGATGTGATCCTTTTGACCGCGGGAAATGATCTAGTGAACCGCTGAGCTGTACGCACCTGTGGATCTCGATAGACCTCAAGCAGGCTGCTCAGAGCGATCGCGATGATAGTACATGACTTATACGAACAGACCCAGAGGTTTGTCTACGAACTAATTTGTTGACACCGAGGTCGACAAAGAGAAAGATCAAGATGACCACCTAGCGGATCCTGCTTTCTTGAACCTCGCGGCCGAGGACTGGGACCATGTCGATCGCACCAGACGACCAGGACCGGCGCCGACACGGCCGAGGGGCAACCAGCCCGCACAAGAACCTCCCTAGTACGCGCAAAACTGCTGCTCACGTAGTACTGGCACCTCGTCTACTGCTGCTCACATTCTCGCTCGTTTGTGTTGCCACCCTGCACGTCGTGCCTCAGTTTTTCCGCTTTCGCAGCGCGCAGCGGCCGTTCCAGAATTTGCAGCGCGCGGCGCGGCGCATCCAGCTCGAGATCGTGGCACTGACCACCTACGACTGCAACACGAGGCGCGACTGCCCCCCCGCAGTGCTCGCGCGCGAGGAGGAGCGAAGAAGAAGGGTGCTAGCAGCACGAGATGCGGTGCCGATGATCTTTCGCTTCACGGCCCTGGACGCGCCCCAGGCGCGGCGCTGGTTTGCGCGGCAAATGGAAGTGGAGAAGTGGGACCGGTTGCGCACGAGGCGAGATTTGCTTACCGTAATTGACTACGCGTTTCGGAGTCGGCTGGTGCAAGGGGGGCTGGGCGCCGCGCGCGAGGCCAAGGTCCCGCTCATGTACCCGGAAAAGCCCGTCGGAGGGACTCTGGAGCTTGCCCTTCTGCCGCCGCCGCCCTCCCCGGATCCGGGGCGGGAAAGGCCGTTGAAGACAGTTTCGCGGTGGACGAAGAAGATGCCGGGCGGGGGGACCGAAGGTAGTCGGAGTTCTTGCAATTCCGACATCGAGGACCCCTGGGCGTGGTACGAGAACTGCCCAAATCCGTGGCCGGGGAACATGGTTGTGGACGCCGTCTTCGAGTCGCTCGCGCCGGCAGATGCAAGAGTGCCGATACCTTTAGTGCCCGCATCAACATCTACTCCGCCAGCATCAACATCTCCCGCTGCCGTTGCTACTGGTACTACCGATAGTACTGCTAGTGCAGCGCCGTGTGCGGTTTTCAGTATCGGCATCGCGTACCACTTCGAGTTCGACGACCACTTTCTGCAGCGGTCCCCCTGCGCGGTGTACTCGTTCGATCCCAGCATGCAGCGGTACCACAACGAGCATGAAAACCCTCCGAAGGAGATCAACTACCAGCGCGGCCCGCGGCACGCCTTCAGCCCCACCGCGTTGGGGAAGGCGGACGGCCGGCACGACGCGAGCAAACATTCGACATATCCAAGAAAAGAACTGTGTAAGTGTAACTTTTTTGCAGGAACAGCATCACAGATTTGTTTTGCATGACAAAAAACCTGTCATGCGTAGCTACTACGCGAAAACACGTATTAAAATAGCCTCTGATGCATATCCGGCATGACAAGTGTAACTGTATTGCAACATCTGCAAGACAAAGTTACACTCACACAGTTTTTTTCTTGCATACGACACTGTATGGGAACATCAAAGAGTACGACGTGAAGACCCTCGCCACGTTCATGAAGGAGCGGAAGATCGAAACCCTGGACGTGCTTCGGATAGACGTGGAGGGGGCAGAGTGGGAGATGATGGATCAGCTACTGGACATGCTGCCCAGGATCCGGAGTTTCTCGGCGGAGTTCCACTTCCCGATGGGGGTGCGCAACATCGAGAAAATGTTCGCGCTTCTATGCAAGAGTAGAACGATAAGTAGTACATCAGCTGGTCGTGCCAGTAGCGGGGGCGGCGCGAGCGGCGGTGGCGAGGGCGGAGAAGATGCTGGGGATGGCAACGTACCAGGGTGCTTCAACGTCGCGACCTGGCGCTATGCGTGGTGCCCGGTGGAACCCTGCCTCGAGATCACAGCGGGTAGAGTGGAAGACGTGCATTCGTCTGGGAAGGGGGCGCATGGATGATAATGGATCGATGGATTGGCGTTGATTTGTACGAGCCCGGGGAGTAAAGTGCGTCAAGAGGACGAACAGCTCGAAAGTGATACTAGCCTCTACATACCGATAACACACCTGCTCGTCACTAGGGTTTCCGACCCGTCATCGTGATACGCGAGTGAGAGTCAATTATGTGTTCTCATTCCCTGCGAAGGTGCTTGTTGTTATGTGTGGTAGTCACTACTACATTTTCGCCGGAAGAAAAGATCCTGATCTCGGCGCTGTAATTAGCTCGATCAAGATGAAATAGCATCGCTTTATTTCATGGGAACTGTCGCTCTCTATTTACGTCGATTGATATTGCCTTGTCAGCGCTTCTACTGCGATTCTGCCGCGAAAATAATAAATGCACTTTAGGTATTTTCTGACATTTTGACGCTCACGAACACGACGAGAAATTGAGTTTTTTTGAATAGACGTAGTTTGTTCACAACTTTTAGGAAAAATATTTCGCTCTTTTGCAATGCGCATGGTGCGATGGTTTTAGGCTGGAAAAGTTATGCTATTTTTTTGGTACTTTCCGTGATTTTGACGCTCACGTACACGACGAGAAATTGACTTTTTTTGAATAGACGTAGTTCGCTCACAACTCTCACGTAAAACATCATGCTTTTTTGCAATCCGCATGGTGCGATGGTTCTGGGCTGGCAAAGTCATGCTTTTTTTTTCTATTTTCTGTGATTTTGGCGCTCACGTACACGACGAGAAATTGACTTTTTTTGAATAGACGTAGTTTGCTCGAAACTCTCAAGCAAAAGACTATGCCTTTTTGCAATCCGCATGATGCGATGGCTTTGGGCTGGCAAAGTTATGCTATTTTTTTGGTATTTTCTGTCATTTTGACTGTCACGTACACGACGAGAAATTGACTTTTTTTGAATAGGCGTAGTTTGCTCACAACTCTCAAGTAAAACATCATGCCTTTTTGCAATCCGCATGGTGCGATGGTTTTGGGCTGGCAAAGTTATGCTATTTTTTTGGTATTTTCTGTCATTTTGACTGTCACGTACACGACGAGAAATTGGTTTTTTTTGAATAGGCGTAGTTTGCTCACAACTCTCAAGTAAAATATCATGCCTTGTTTCAATCCGCGTGCTGCGATGGTTTCGGGCTGGCAAAGTTATGCTATTTTTTTGGTATTTTCTGTGGTTTTGACGCTTACGGACACGACGAGGAATTGATTCTTTTTGAATAGCGATGCTTTTTCCTTTGGTTGGCAAAATAATATTCAATTGTTTTGCAGTCCGGCTACAGTGATATACTCAAACTTCATTTTTGATTTTAGATTGCAACGCACATCCTTTCAAAATGTTGTGTTATGGATGGCACTCCGTGTCGGATCGTTGCCCAAGACAAAAGAAAATTTTGTTTTTACTGTTTCAAGTATATCATGATCTTTTCAGAGGCCGCTTCGTCAGAAGAACCAGCGTAAGTAAGTTGTAGTCGCATCCGTTTGTCGTTGTTTTTCACTTGTTTACGTTCGCACTCGGTCTCGGGTGAAAACGGGATTGAAAATAATGTCGTCATCTGCGGCAGCGAGGGTGTACGAACCCTCTGTGAAGCGCGCGCTGGCGCACAATTCTACTCTCCAGCAGCGATTACTGCAGCAAAGCTATGTGAACACGAACGGAAGAAGTGCGAGCCCACAGGAGCTGCTTTCCTCCTTCGAAGAGAATACCGCGGAACTGAGTGTGCCCCTTATGGTGACGATTCTGCACAAACTAAGCCAAGACCGTTCAGGTTTCGTAGACCGTGTGCAGAGGACCATATGGGTCAAGCCTGTTCGCGACTGGGGAGAAACCGGCGATCGAAATTTCGATATTGGTTCTGATTCGGAAAGAGCCACAGTAAGAAATTCAAGAGGTGGTCCTGGAACCTGGAAGGCCTCTTCGTCCGCATTTTTATCGTCGAGGAAGAAATCGTCGGCCAGTCGTCGTGCCTTCAGAAACCACACGGGCTTCGAAGACTTCGATCTTTTGAACGGGGAGGATGCTGAGAATGCAGAGCTTGAGAGTTCTTCTTCTCCCGTCAAAGCCTCCTCCGCAACGGTCGAAGTAGAAGAGTTGTCCCATGAAGTAGAGCAGACCACCAAGCCAGACGCCGCGGCATCACTGGACTCCTTGACGCGCTTGCTAAAACGACTGCAGCACACGGTTGATGTTCTTCGTGGCGACCAAATTTCGTTCGTGCTGTTTTCTCTAGTGTCGCTTTTTCACGCAAAAGCTCTCAGGAAAACAAAGAACTTACGTCCCGGCAGAATTTGTGCAGTGCAGGAAGTGGCGCAAGAAGCTTTCGGTGCTGTTGCGCGGGAAGCGGAGACTCGAGTGGGTGAATTGAGTGGGCAAGCGTTGGCAAAAGTGGCGTGGACTTGTGCGACTGTGGATGCAGCGACGTTCCGGAAGACGGTGGTCACGGTTTTGCGGCACAGTGTGAAGCACTTTGAAGACGTAGATTTGGTCACTAGAATGGCAGAAGCGGACAAAGCTAATCTGGTTTTTGCAGCTGCAAAGTTGCTCGACGGATGCCCGGCAAAACAGGATGCGCGAACAAGCGAAGGAGCAAACGAGCCTCCTGACGGGAAGCACCAGCACGCAGGACACAACAAGCATCTTGGCGACCTAAAGGCGACACGATACGAGACTATGACTGGTACCGTCGTGGGCAACGAAGATGCGGAAACAGCACAAGGCGTCGCTGTTCGCTGGCTAAGTACGGCAACCAAGGATTGCACCACCTGGCAGAGCTCGTGGCACTTGGTGCAGCTGCTGGATGCAGTGAGCAGAGCCAGGCACAGCAGTGCGGTCCTTGAAGGACAAGGAGGACTTGCAGACCCTGTGGTAGATGCACTGCTGGAGCTTTCTCGACAGAAAAGTGCTCTACCGATACGAGATGCGGTGCAAGCCTTGTGGCTTTTGGTGACACGCTTGGAGGCGGGGGACTATCCGGAACCAGCGCTGGAGTTTTTCAAGCAGGCCAAGGCGAAATCCTGCGAAATGGACCACCGGGGTCGGGTGTTATTTGCCGTTTGTGTGCGCAAACTCCATCTTCTCGGTCTGGTCGAAATGGACGAAATGCGTGCCGTGCTGAACGCACTGCAGGAACAGTTCGTGCTGCACAGCGCTAGCTTCGGGTCCTGGACCGCGACCGACCTTTCGAACGTCTGCGAGGCCTACGGCACGGCAAGTGCAGGCAATCCTCCCCTTCGCGTGCCCTCACCTACTGCCTCTGCCTTCACGGCTTCCGTGCTGGACGCTGTCCAAAAGAAGCACTTTCAACAGCCGCACGCGCTGGCCAATGTGGTCTGGTTTCTCGCCGCGGAGCCCGAGGCGCAAGTTTCGAATGCGGATTTGATGAAGTTGTATCGCCGAATGTGCGGCGCGCGCCGGCAGCTGCGCGAGTCTCAGAGCAAGCGCAACGAAGACTGTAGAGTAACTACTAAGGAAGTCTGCACCAGTAAGTATTTCGCTCGAGTAGAGGAACGGGTTTTAGAATACAGAAATGAGCTACACGAGGAACTTCTGCAAATGCAGTGCAACAGTATTAAGAGAAAACCAACTACAGAAGTTCACACGCATGAGCATGCTGAAAAATTTTAATCTTTCCACGGCAGACGCAAGTCCTTGAAAGCGATGTGGATGTCGTGGGAAAAAAATCCGAAGCGATCCGTTTCCTCAACTATTAGACTTGCTAAGTACCTCGGTCGTGGGTCCCTTCGCGGGTCTTGGTGCGCGAGAGAATTACAATCATAATAATCAAGCTACAGGACAACGGCTCCGTGACTATTTGAAATTGGAAGATCCTGTGTGGTTCAGAATTCGAAACATGTACCTGCGATGCGATCTCAAATGAAAAACGATGATCGGCTCCAATGACAAATCTTTTTCTGCTTGGTCGTTTCAAATACGATCGGTAAAAAGTAAGAACTCGGTAGAGGTACCTGTGCAACTTGTTCTCTTGTTCATGAAGAAATGAAAATGTATACCGATGCCGATCTGCAGTCGAAATCGAATGTTGCTGGGAACACTTCCAACATGGTGAGTATCCTTGTCGAAAAAAATCTGTTTCAGTTGAATGCGTGATATGGTTTCTTCATCAAAAACGGCATCAATTGCTAGTTCTGAAGAAGACGTATCTTTTATTTAGCTTGTGACTCAAATTTATTCATTGCAAAAGATTTCTACCTTTAAAGTTTTCTAATTTCATCGTGCATTTTTGGTTTAGTCTTAGTTTACAACAACCTTTTAACAACAACCCGTGCATAATTTCGACAAAAAACTTTAGGATTATTTACCTTTCAAAAAAAAGAAAACAACGCAATCTGAAGTGATCGACTGGATTGACGATTTTCGTCTTCAAAGTCATCACTGGAAGAAGTACAAGTTGTGACGCGGTTGAAACAACAAATGAAACTTCTTGTTCTGCACTCATGATAAACCCAATGAAAACGGGAATAAACTGTTAAAGATAAAGAAAGCTTTTTTACTTCGAAATTTTCATCTACCTTTAACTTCATCAACTGTAAAAACAATAGCTATCAGATCGACCAAAATGCGTCGTGGAGGAAGATACACGGACAAGAAGGAGGTGCAAGAGCACGTGAAGGAAGTGAAGCGGCAAGCAACCAAGGACCGACTGATGACGGAGGCGCTGGAGGAGCTGGACCGTACGCCTACCACCCCGGCGTCCTCGACGACCGCTGGTTTTGGCATGTCGGACGTCGACGACTCGCCCACCAGCACGGGACGATCGCAGTTCCAGCAGGCGTTTGGGAATGTCGGGTTGCAGAAAGTGCAGCAAGTGTTGGACGAGGTTGCGTCCTCCTCCTCCACCACCGCCAGCTGCCCGTTCCTGTCGCGAGACAACAGCCGGGAACAGTTGCTGGGGGTGTTGCCCGATAATAAAGTTGCGCCTGCTGGTGCAGCACCAGCTTCCAGTGAAGAAGCGCAAGTGGTTCCTCATCTTCCGGAGCAGGAGCCGACCACACCTGCTTCGCCGTTGCCGGAACAAGTTGTGAAAAACAAGGAGCCCTACTGGGCAGGGCTGGAGCTCGAGGACAAAAAGGGCATTCGCTGTGTGGAACACCTGCAATCTGCCGCGTGGACGGAAGTGGCGAAAGCGGTGCGGGATTCTCTGTCCGACGACTCCGTGCCATGGCCGGAAAAGAGCTGGGGCCCGAAGTACATCCGCAACTGCATCCACAGCTGCATCACCTACTCCAAAAAGGACAACACCGGCGGGTTGGAGGGCGCGACCATGCGGTTCTGCCCAGAAAGCACCGAGGCCCACAACCGCGGTTTGCCGCAGGTAAGTACTCATACGCAATGTAGAGCTTCACCGAAGAAGACGTTTTGCCGGAATCAATAGCTTTGTGGCAGTAGTGCGTGAGCCTTAGACTTCTTGAATAGATTTACAAAGCAAGACGAATTCATTATACAGAGTGCTTTTTTTTGCGCTCTGTCGTACCAGCAACTCGACGATCAAAACGTTGCATTTCATTAATCCAAAGAACCAAATCATCAACTACACCTTATCAGGCCCACAAGCGTTTGGAGACTACGGTGAAGAAGAAGTTTCCCTGGGTTTCGTTCGCGGATCTGTTTGCCCTCGGCGCGTGCGTCGCGATCGAGGTTGCCGGCGGCCCGGTGATTCCGCTTTCCGTCGGTCGCAAGGACAGCGACGGGAAGGTGCTCGTGAACACGGACATCGCGAAGCCCCCCGTGCAGCCGGGCCGGCTGCCCTACGCGGAGTACGGAGAATACCTGGATGAGGAGGACGAGCTGGTGTTGATCCAGTCCCAGATGACCAAGAAGTTACTCGACACGGTCGGGCTCACCCCGCAAATGATGGTGTGCCTGATCTGCGGCGGCCACGCGTTCGGGCGGTGCCACCGCGAAACGTCGGGGTACAGCGGACCGTGGCAGCGCACCCCGGGCGTGTTCAACAACAGTATGGCCACCGGTCTGTTGCACGAGAAGTGGCGGCTGGTGAACAGTCGGGTCTTTTGCCACAAGGAGGACGGCACGGCGTATTTCGACGGGGAGGCGGTGGAGACCGAAGAGAAGAAACGTGAACTCGCCGCGCGGGGCGGGTGTCCGGTCGAGTTTGAGGGCGCCCCGATCCCGGAAAAGTGCCCGTACAACCCGGAGCAGCTCGCCGAGATGAAGCAGAAGTGGAAGAATTGCACCGGGGACGAAACCAAGTGCCCCTTTCTGCTCGCCAACCCGGAGCTGCAGCCGCGCGGAATCCGCCGGCAGTACGTCAACGAGGACGACACCATCATGATGTTAATGTCCGACATGTGTCTGTTGAAGCACCCGGAGTGGCGAAAGTGGCTGGAGTACTACGCGGAGGACGAAAGCCAGTTCCGTGAGGACTTCGCGCTCTTCTTCAAGGCCGCCACAGAACTCGGCTGGAAGGACCAGAGCCGAAGAGACGACGGGAAAGCGCTGCTGTCGGAGGAGGCCCTGGAACAGGAATTGCGTACCTCGGTGGAATCAGACGCTTCTTGCAAGAATAAATTACTCTCGGAACACTCCACCCGAGCACCAAGCAGTGAGAACCTGAATCGAACAGCAACTGCAGAGTTGTCCGAAGCAGATGAGCAAGCTTTCTCTTCATCGACTGGCTCTTCACCAGCAACATCAGGTACAAGTACTACACAAAAAAAGGTGAACACACAGCTTTCCTTCACGGCGGTGCAAAAGAGAGCAGACAAGGCAAAGGACTGGCTCAAGCGCTATCAAATGCAAAAAGTGTCTGGGTCTGGAAGATTTTGAGATTTGTCATGCTTGTCTGGCATGACCAAAAAGTTTGTGATGCGTGTCCAAGAAGAGACCCTTTTGCCTGTCATGCGAAAACGCAGTTTGTCATGCGAAAAACGCAACAATTTCTCATGCTTGCCTGTGCATTACAGAGCATTTACTATTCCCAACGCAGCATTACAAGTTTCCAGACCCAGACATTTTTGCATTTGATAAGTGTGGGCTGGACACCATTCCGAAGATGGCCCTGCGCGAGCTCGGCGAATGGGTCTGCTGCCGCGAGGAAGGATATTATTTGTGATTCCGAGCTGTGTCGTGGTTCCGTTTGATATAAGCACCCTATTAATCACGGCGCACGGGCACTTGGTATCATTCGACACTTTGCAGCTGACACGATTTTTTTACACAAAATGGAGTACGAGTAGTTTGTTGTTTCGAGTAGATTACATCACCTCTTTAGCATTTACAGTTTCGATGTAAAAAAACAGAAGAATGGATGACACGGGCAGTAAATCTTGCCCGAGGTTTCTCTTCTTCAAAAAAAAAAACGAGAACTACAGATCACTTTTGTATACTCGTGTAGGATCATCACTTATCATTTTCATCTAGCTGCATGGTGTAGTGGCGACCGGATTTTATCCGGATGCATGTCACTCACTTACAACCCTTTTTGAACATTTTACTGCTAGTCGAAAATAAGTGCACAGAACTCAAGACAGTTTGCTCATCCCTAAGACACGAGGAATTTCCAGCTACAAGAACTACCTTGATGGCCATCAGAAGACTTGGTGGATAGGCGTAGACATTGGTATGGGGAAAAACAAAAAGTAAACTGAAATGTAAGATCGGGTAGAAGATGAATTGCGACCACAGATTTATTTGTGGAATCGGTTCTTGTCCGCAACCCAACGTTGCGGTTCAAGCCTATTTCGACAAGTGCGTGGCGCAAAATCAACCGCAGAATCGATTCTTGAAGTCATAAAATATAGCAATTATTACTACGTCAACAAATCACCACAATTTTCTAAAACCACTACAAAAAGCCCCCTTAGCACAAACCTCTTGAAAAACTCGTTGCAATAGAATTGTTTCTGGTCTCGCAAGTGGATGGAAAAGTAAAGAACGAAGTCTGCATAGTATCGTACTCTCGCGAATGTGTAGTACGGAGTGCATGCATAGAAGATGAGTCGTACATTCACGACGTATGATCTGCTCGTCTATTTCTAATTCTACGAGAAAGAAAAAGTTTAGTCCTAACAGCTAGGAGAACCTGAGCGCTCTTCTTTTCGCTGCGTCTAGCTTGTCTTCGTAGAATTCAACATTGACTCAGATTTACTACCTACTTCCAACAATCGAAGAAAAGAGATTCTCTCAAGGAGACTCCCGTTTTTATCCGATCATCTTAGTGGAGTTGTACTGTACAATGTATGCACAGATTTACTCTTTATCTGAATGTTGCATGGAGTGGACCACGAAGATGTGAGAAAAAGTGACGGACAGAAACTAACAAAAGCACGAGCAAAGACAAAAGCCGCTGGAGCTCTCAGTTCATTCTGAGGGCGCCAACAAGTAAACGTAGTATGATCATGTGCCCAAAAGTATCTTCAGCGAGTTGGAAAAAAATAAAAAACAGAAAAGTCCTCTGGGTGTAATCATCGCCTCTAAGCAGGCCATACACCGGCACAACGGAAGATGATGAAATTTCTTTAGTTGTAAGTCGATGCAGTTTAATCATTGCATCTGTTTGTCTTTTCGGTGTCTCTCTATTTCCTCGTCGGTCTGAACAGGAGTCAGTCTTTCTTGATCAATATAATTGTCTTTGCTAGAAGACGAGCTGATATCGGTGTGGTCAAGAATGGACGATCGGTACAGCGACGGTTTCCTGCCCAAATGAATCCGTCGTCGGTGGAACGATATTTCAATTTTCTGGTCGTTTCGGTTCTAGCATTTGCAACAAATGAAATACATCTCGACGGCGCTGACGACCGTGGGCTTTTTTTTGTGCTTCTGGCTTCCTTTGCTGAAAGAAGTACCGGTCGAAGAGGATGATAAAGCCGTTTTGTCGGTGCGAAGCTGAGGTCCTCTAGAAAAAGAACCAATATCAAGATGCATCATCGTGGCAAACTTTTGATGTGCGATGATTTGGTTTTACCTGATTCGAAATTCCAGTCATCCTACTTACCTTGGTTTTTGTCGTATGACGTTTATTGCGCCATGATTACCTGCCGTATACGAAGGAAACCCAAGCCCAAGCGTGGTTTGAGGTAGGTTTAGGATGGCTTGTTTTCAGCATCTTTTTATTCCAAAACTAAAACACAAACGGCAATTGAGCCTTGTTTGATTTTCTGAAGTTGCTTTCTTTGCGATCATCTCGGGATTGCCGATTTGCTTCATCTATTCAAATCGATATTGACGTAATTTGACGCGCCACCAAGCTGGTCGTGTGTAGCTAGAAGAACCAGGTAGAACCAGAGATCGAAGCCGTATTGCGTCGCGGAATTTCCATTGGCTTTGTCGGCGTACAACAACAAGGGTGTACTAGTAGTACCTACCTTTGCAGCCTAGTATCAGCACCTGCCTCCACCAGCACCTCCCCTCGGACTACTTGCCCAGCATGGTGACCGCGAACGAGATTCGGTACGCGAACTTCGACGTGAAGCTGTACTCGCCGGGATTTGTCCTTTACTACATACTCTGGCTGGTTGTGATCCCACTCTCGGTCTGGTACCGCAACTGGCACTACAGCAAGCGGCGAACGACGACCGGGCACCGCGTGGTGGTGTCGCGCGAGGAGGTGGATCTGGGCGAGAAGCCCGGCACGGTCCGGAAAGAGGTGCTGATCCAGTGCGGGTACCGGGACTGCTTCCGCGGGACGCTGGTGTTCACCGCCTGGTGCGTCTTGCACGGGTACGCCACTTTGGTCGTGTTTGCCGCGTGGATGGGGCGCATTCAACCGCGGAGCTTCCTCGGGCTCTTCAACAACGTCTTTTGGCTCAACTTCTGCAACGGCACGCCCTGCAACCCGTTGCCGAACCCGGATTTTACCAATCTGAAGTTTTTCTTCCTGATCTGGTTCATCGTCTCGGTGGTTGGGTTCATCGTGCTCTCCCGTTTCTGGCGGGAAATCAACAATTTTTTCCGCGAGCCGGTCCCCCTGGGAGAGGCCGATCTGGTGGTCATCCGGGAGTTCATGATCGACAGCAATCCGAACAGCAGCCTGGTTCTCGACGAGAGCGAGGAGGGCAACCGCTTGAGTCGGCTGGAGCAAGATGCGAACGGGTCGTATGAAGTTGAGCAGGACGACGAAATAGATGAGTTTAAGAACGCAGGTCGTGGTCCTCGTCTTTCAGGTCAACGACAACAACAAAACAGCCCGCTGTTACCCCCCGGGCGTCGCACGTCGGCGCATTGGCGGGAGCGCACGGGGGACACTTTTGTCTTGTCCAATGTGCGGCAGATGTGCAGGGTTGACACGATGGCGGACGCGCAAACGAAGATGATTAACTACGAGTCGCTGGAGCTGCTGTTCGACGGCGAGGCCTACCGGCCGCCCGCAACGGACGCTGCCGGCTGCTCTCTGGCGGAGCTGCGGGCAAAGATGCCGCGGCCGATCACCGCAGCGGAGATTCGGCACGTGGCGCGGCGGACCGCGTTGACGAAGCAAGCCACCTCGGACGGGCTCGCATCGAAAATGTTGTCGCGCAGTTATTCCGCAACGGAGGGTGAGAGAGCGAGTGACGACGAGGACGGTTTCTATGCTACCGAGCAGCCGTGGGACACGGTACCGAAGAACGAGCTGAAGATCGCGGTGCCCAGCTTTTGCTGGCTCGTCGGGTGTGAGCTGGTCATTGTGATCAACATCTGGCAGATGGCGCGCGCAGTGCAAGCGGGCATGAACAGCAGTCCGGCGCTGACCTTCCTCCCGTTGATTATGACGATGCTGCAGATTTTCTACATCGCCTGGACCAAACGGCGGGGTGCGATCGAGCTGCGCGACTCGGCGCAGATTCCGCAGTGTCGACTGCGCATCTGGCGCACCATGCCCAGCGGCGAGGTGCGGCACGTGGAAGCTTTGTCCATCGACTTGCAGCCCGGTGACTTGTTCGAGCTCCCCACGGCTGCGACGGTGCCCTGCGACTGCGTGTTGGTCGAGGGATTCGCGCTAATCGACGAATCCGATCTGACGGGCGAGCCGCTGCCCATCGCCAAGATGCCGCTCGAGCGCCGGGCGGACGAGACGCTGGACCTGAAAAAGCACGGCAAGCGCCACGTGATCTACTCAGGCACCACGATTATCCAGTCCGAGGGCCCCAGTGTGCCCCCGCCCGTGGCGGCAGCCGCACCCCTCTTCCAGAACGTCCTCCCCTTGTCCTCTTTTCGCGGAGGCACTAATATCAACAAGGACCGCGGGGACAACTCCAGCGTGCAGACTCCCACGTTCCTGTCTCCCGCCGTGACACCTGATCGGGTGTCGATGGTAGAGAGAGAACAAGCGGAACATTCGCGTGGACCTCATGCCAGCGACCACAGCGACCCAAACAACTCGGATAGTGACAGTTCAAATTCGCCTCGTGGGTCGCTCGGGAAGATCGGCAAGAGCGGGTTCTTGAAAAGCAACGGCGGCGCCATTGCGTACGTGATGAAGACGGGCGGGAACACGTACAAGGGCGCGATGACGCGGAAAATTATGTACCCGACGACGGTGAAATACAAGTTTGAGGACAACATGTACGTCCTCTTGATCGGCACCGTCGTCGTGCTGATGCTGTTGATGCTGGTTCCCGGGATCGTGAAGGGCGCCGCGACCCCGAGGATGTTTTACCAGTACCTCGTCGACGGGCTGTACGACTCTTTTTTGCTCGCTTTTTTGGTGATCAACCCCGGCGTCTTAGTCGGCCTGATCGTCGCTCAGAGCAGCGCGGCCGCCCGCATGGAGCTGAAGTCGGTGTTTGGGATTCGCACGCTGGAATTCAACCGGCTGGTGATGGCCGGAGAGCTGAGCATTCAGTGTCTGGACAAAACGGGCACCATCACGGAGGAGGGCCTGCGGCTGTCCGCCGTGCAGGGGGTCAGCGAGGGGGGTTCGTCGGTGGAGGTGTTGGGCGAGCGGGACGCGCGGCTGGGCCTGCAGGTGTACAACGACAGCAGCAAGCGCACGCTGTTCGAGATCGGGCTCAGCACGTGTCACACGGTGCAGCAGGACGCGGAGACCGGGGAGCTGCAGGGCAACGCGGTGGAGGTGGAGATGGTCAATTTTGCGCACGGGGACCAGCTGCAGTTTCGCAAGGGGGAAACCGCCGGCACGAACGGGATCGAGTACTACGACGAAAAGACCGGGAGCCAGCACTTCCAGTCCGTTCGCCAGTTTGAGTTCGACGCCAGCGTGCAGCTGCAGTCCGTGCTGGTCGAGCAGTCCGCCAGTGCGAAGGACAACGCGTTCGTGGTGTTCACCAAGGGCTCCTTCGAGTCCGTGTCGAAGCGGTGCAAGCCGGACACCATCCCGGCCACCGCCGGGGCGCTCGCGAAGGAAAAGGCACTCCAGGGCTTCTACGTCTTGTCAATGGCCACGCGGCGCTACGACGCGCCGAGCCGGCAGTACGCGGTCGAGAAGGTGACGCGCCAGGAGCTGGAGCAGGACCTGACGTTTCTCGGCTTTCTGCACTTCCGCAACGAGATCAAGCCCGACTCCGCGGCGGCACTGGCGGAACTGCGCAACGCGAACATTCGGTTGGTCATGATCACGGGCGATAACCTGTGGACCGGAGTGCAGGTGGGGCTGCGCTCGGGGCTGGTACCCGGCAACGCGGTCATCCTCGCGGCTGACTTGGTATCCAATGCCGCAGCCGACCGGGCCACGGTCGCCGCGACGGGCCGCGCCACCACCCAGCAGCAGCTCGGCGGGCGAAAAAGAACGCGAGATGTAGCGTCGCCCCCGCCGCAAATGCTCCAGTCGCTCCGGGAGTCCCACTACGACGAGTGGGTGGGGAGCGGCGCCCCGGAGGTGGACGTCGACCCCCTGCGGGACAGTCAGGCCCAGCGGCCGGCGTTGGCATCGGGCCTGGAGAGCTACGCGGAAAGCGAAGCGCGGGTCTCGCGGCCGAAGCCGTCGTTGTCGCGCTTGCTGTCCGACATCCCGCAGACGGTGCTGCACTGGAACTACATCCAGCGCGAGGACGAGAAGTACGCGGATGATTTTGCCGCGCTGATCCGGCCGAGCGGAAGCTCAGCGTACCGACCGAAGCTTGGCTACGTCGGCGACGGCCCCGAGGTGCACAGGCCGGTTCCGCGGGTCGACGCCGCGCGAGTTCTTGGCGGTGGTCTTCACGACCGCACGCCGGCCACCGGGAGGGTGAAGCAGGAGGGCAAGCAAATCGTGGTCGCGGTGAGCGAGGCGGCGCTGCTGTTTCTCAAGGCCGAGGACCAGGACTTGGCGGACTTCTTGCACGACAAAATCGCGGTGTACGGCCGCGCAACCCCGGGCGGCAAAGTCTCCGTCGTGCGGTCCATGCAGGCGGGGGGCAACATCGTGGGCATGTGCGGGGACGGCGGCAATGACGCGCCGGCGCTGCGCGCCGCCCACGCCGGCATGGCACTGTCCGGCGGCGAAAAGTCCATGGTCGGGAGCTTTGTCTCTCCGAGCAGTTCCCTGTTCGGGTTATCGGAGCTAGTGCGCCAGGGCCGGTGCTGCGTGGTGACGTCGGTGAGTGTGATGCAGGTGGCCATCCTGTGCGGGGTCGTGGGACTCATTTTCCGCCTAATAGTCACGCTGATGGGTGGCTGCATGGGATTTTACGACCAGATCTTGGCGGAGATCCTGCTCGGCACCGTTTTTGCGGTGGTGGTCACCGTCAACGTGTCACCGGCTGCCACCGCAAGAATCCTGCTGAAGAAGTACCACAGAAGTGATGCGAAGCCAGACAGCAAGAGCTCTTGTAGTACATGTTGCGGCGGAAGGAATTCCAAAAGAGATGACAACATGCAGTCCAAAGAGCACGAGCCCACGGAGCACGAGAAGGAGGAAGAAGAGCGCGGCAAGGCGCTGGAGCGCGCCAAGCTGCAGCCGGGTGTGGTGTTGTCCTCTTCGCGGCCGAACGGGGATTTACTTTCCTGCACAAAGGTGACCACTCTGGTCAGTATCGCGGTTGCGTTAGCGATCTTCGCCGCGGCCATCTGCGTGATGCACCGATCGCAAAGCTGGAGTCAGATCCGGTCGCTGTACGAATTGCGGTTGGAGCAGCAGACGAACTACTTCCGGGGAAATATGTTTCCGGTGGGGCTGGCTTTCTGGTTCTACATGACCAGCATGTTCGTCCTGGTCACAACGCTCAGTTTCGACGCGCTGCGCTACCGCACCTGGTTCTTCAAGACGATTTCCTGGTGGTTTTACGCGGCCTTCTGCTTCGCAGTACTCGCCATCTACTTTACAGCCAACAACTGGTACAATGGCTGGTTCAACAAGTTCATCGACAACAAGCACGCCTGGCAGTACATTGAGGAAAATCCGGGCAAGTGGTTAAAATCCATGCTACCCGTAGACGTTGACGTGCGGGCCGAATTTCATTGGTTTCTGCGCCGCGACCCGGAGCAGGCTTTCACGGTCGACCCCTCAGCGTTGATCTACACGGTCACCCAGCCGCTGCAGCCGCCCATGCCGGGAAACGATAATAGAAGTAGTTTTGCTCAAACGTCGCCGCACCACGGGCCCGCAGCAGCTTTTTTGGAGCGGGAGGGAGAGGAGCTGCTGTTTGCGACTGATGCTGATGATCCGACTGCTGAGCAGGCAGATTGGTCACATTGGTCCTCGACGAGCTATGCGACTTCATCTTCGCCCGAGGGTGCCGGGCGAGATCGGATGCAGGCACAGATATTGAGTGCTGGTTCGAGTAGTAGCTTCATCCAGAGAAGAAAGAGAAATAAGGTGAAAATTGCCGTTGACGAGGACCCCTCTCCGGCACCAACGGGTCCGCCCCTCCCCCGGCCGGTGAATAATGGGGAGTCCCGCGTGGCGGACTACGAGGGCGCGGCCGTAGATTTTGCATCCCAAGACATGGCAGCGAAGGCGAGCCAGCTGTTGGGACAATTCTACGCCGCCGCGGCTAAAGTTGGGTTAAAACCGCCACCGTCTGCTTCCCCGGAAGAACATCACACGCTCGTCGCGCAGATCCACAGCTACCGAGATCCGGATAATAGCAACACCAGGCCCGGGGCGGTCAGTGTGATGCTGCCAAAGGTAGATGAGTTGCTGTTCTCGCCGGCAAATGGCACGCTGGACGTCTGGGCACAGAACAAGCCGGATCTGGTGTACCATTTCTGTCAGGAACTGTGCGAAGCCAGCTGGAAAGCGGGCGAGGATGCGTACAATGCCGGAATTGCGAAAAACCGGTTTTACTGTTGGTATGTGGCCGTGTCAATGGTTCCCGGTTCAGACAGTATGTCATGTTTACTAGTTCCTCGGCTGGCCCAGCAGAGGCCTCTCGGGCCCGAATTGGAGCCTTACGTTCGAAGCGTGCTGAAGCCAACCGGGCAGTGGAATTTGGAAGCACCGCACAAGTACGACGCGACTGTGCCGCTGCCTTCCTACGACCCCCTGATTATCAGACCAGCAAATGCAACCCTGGTCACGGAGGCAACGCCGTCGTGGGTACAGCTTTTTTCTGCTTTTGTTTTAATTTGTTCGTACGATTTCTGCGCTACGTTGAGTGATCACCACAGTGCTAAAAGTTGTGAACCTTTTTTGGACGATTTGGATTTCGTCAGAAACAAAATTGTTCGTCGCAAAAAATCCTATGTTTGTAATCTTATCATCACAAAACAGACGGTGTTCTACGTGAATCGGCACAACGTGATCGGGTGGTATTCTATGACGACGCTCGGGGAGAGAGCGCCCGGGTCCTCGACTGTTGACCAGGGGTGCTGCGGGGATGAGACGCAGGAAGGGACGGCGAACGTGAACCCCAGCGGAGTGCTGGACCGGTCCCTGACAAACACCGGGTACGCCCCAACGCCGGACTACTACCCCCGGGACGACTTTCAAGTGGAAGACGTGGATTGGTACCCGCAGGCGTACAGCAATTACCCCTCGGCGTGGCACACGCCCAACGACTACGTCGTGTACATGATGGGCTGCACCGCAGGGCTGTATATCGCGATTGTTCTCATTCTCATGCTGCAACTGATTCTAGAAAAGTAGAACGCGAACAGAGCTGTGCGGATGGCAATAGGTAACAACGTATTCTTCAGCCTTTTCTCAGCAGGCATTTTTCTTTTGGCGATTTCTGGTACAATGATTTGACATGAACTACATGATTTGATAGCGATTTTAACTTTTTACACGGTCGCGCTTAGAGCTCTTTGACCTACACGAAACTAAAACATCAAATACAACAACTTTGGAATATAACGCATTTCTATACGCTTACACGGCAGATATACTCGGATTTTTTTGTGGAACGTAAACATTCAATCACTTACAACATAACTTATGACGCTTGATTCGAAAAGACCAAGACGACACATTTTTTTTTTTTCATACGGAGAAATTCATACACGATGAGTTCTATCATGTCTACAGTTTTGCCGACGCCCGCCCTGCGTACACCTTACATGATTTTGAGTTTATCATTAGCAACGATTATTCCATCTACGTACTTTGTCCTGATTGCATGGCTCAGTAAGTGGGTGGATCTTCGGTAAGCTAAAAGTTGACTTCTAACTTACCTTCTGTCCTGAGACACAGACGCCCGATCGTTTCAGTGGCAGCTGCTGTAGAGCGAGGATGACCTGCTCCTCATTCGGACATAATGCTGACGCTGTGATAGTCGACATTTTGATGCGCACGTTAAATCAATATGTGTGCAAACTGTCGATGTTGAAATGAAAGACACAGATGAGTGGCTTCATTGCTTTCCCACAGCTAAGTATGCCTGAATGGTAGTAGGGGTGAGACGAGTCTTCGGGCGTGTTCGAAGATACTAGTGAACAGATTTTTTGCCTGTGCGAAAAACGCATTGGTGTCATGAGGACTGCACTGCGATGCGCGACGAACAGAAAAAACAAGGACGATCTCCACCTGACTAGGTATCGGCTGCGCAAGGATGATCTCGCTACGCTCAAGCAAGAGAAAAAGATCCGCGGCGTTTTTGAAGTGGTGCTGACCTTACAACTCACACAACTTTCTTTTTTTTTTCCCTGCCATTATGGTCCATCATCTGAATTGTCTTTCTGGAATTCCATTCTCTCATGGCGACCATTTGAATCGTAAATGTATTGCATCTTGTCAACATGGGTTCACTTTTACAGATTTTCCGTTCACGCGCTCTCCATTTATTAATTTTCCTCATCTGATGGACCTACCAGATTCGTGTCTTTCCTAACTTTTTTGTTGAACTCAGAAACCCAAGAAATAAATGTGTGCTTGATTCTGTAGCCGGAAAACGAAAAGAGCCATCGGTTTTCAAAGCTAGCACTAGCGAAACAGTTCCGCTCATCTCGTGAAAAAAATAGCCTCTCGCTGCCGTTACAGGGTGGTCGTCGTCATCGATCGGAGTCTTACTATTCCGAGCCCCACCACAAAACCTCGCCGAAGATGATGATGCCAGGGTATCAAGATTATGTGCTTACCTTTCCTCCGTGATTTATTAGCCGCCTGGCTGTCTATGCATGAAGATGTCGATGTGCTAAGTACCGTGCGCATGCTTTGATGGTTGTGCACGGGACCGAGTGTATTAAGACATTATTGATTTTCGTACAGGTTAGCTCGCCCGCCGCCGCGGGAGTACATCCCGGCAAAGTGGAAAGCAGTGATTCGGGGCGTCGCTTTCGTGAGCACCGTTGCCTACATCTACACGTGCGGCGAAACTTTTGATCAGGCTTTCCCCGAGAATATGAAGTTCGCTTAGAAGAGACACGAGGAAAACTACACGAGTAAAAACAAGACCTTGTTGTGCTCCTGGGCTCTTCACGATCTGAGATTTGTTTTGATCTTTTAGTACGATGAACAAGAAATAAGCGATCAGGAAAAAAATATCACCGAGGCAAAACGCAATTGGTGTCATACCCCGGTACTGGGTTCCGTTTTTCCGCGACAGATTATGAATAATGCGAGATCACTACAGCCGGTACCGGTTCGTGTAAGTTTTTTTTTCCTTCAAGGAAGCTATCATCGAGTTTTACACTGACAGCTCCTTCTATAGCCAAACGTCCGCGCACGATCACTTGGAGCAAAGAATTTCATTCCAAACTAAATTGAGCGCGCTTTCGATCTAAAAACGAACAAAATCTAAATCAGAAGCAAAGGAAGCTGATCAAAATTTGTCGAAAATTCAAACGAGAGTCTATACTTGGTTGATGATCTTCTTTCGAACTTCTTTTCACTTGAAAACGTGTAAGGACAATGAATTTTGCAAAGTGCTCACAGCGACTGAAAAAGTAGAAATTTGCTACGAACAAGAACTGACTACAATCTACTTAACAATGTCTGCCCTCTCTACTTGCGAATTGAAAGTGGTGGTTCAGTAGATTTCTTGATCAAACATACAAAAAGTTATGTCGCATGTAAAACGACAAGCCGTGCGCGCCTGCGCTTGGGTGGACTGGGACGAATGGCTGGAGGTGTATGAGGCATTGTTTGAAAAGCAAAACTCCATGAAAGCCATCGACAAAATCGCCGAGTGGCGGTTGCGCAAGAAGCTACCCGTATCCGTCTGCGCTACCGCAACTTTGTTGGAAGCGCAAAAGGCCGACGACCACTACTGTTTTGTCCCGAGAATTGCCGGCGTTGCGAGAGGGGGACCCCTTACTGAATCGTTGGCGACTACTAAGAACTACCCAATTGGAGCAAATAACCACGTAGGTGATGGCGCAAAGAGTCGCCCTCTTGAGAGCCGACACGAAACTTCGACTTCCGCAACGAAACTGCACGCCCGGCTTAAGACCAAAACTTCGATGGTGCCCCACAACGAACAAGGAGCCTCTGGACAGGATGCCTCAAATCCGGCCTGTTCGTTCCTCCCGGCCGAGGACCGGAATTCGCACGGCATCCGGTCGTATCAAATGTAAAAATGTCTGGGTCTGGAAGATTGCAACTTGTCATGCTGTTTTTGGACTCTAAAAAATTTTGTATTGCATGACAAGCAAGAGGGGCACACTTTGTGCTACACGGACAGGGCATTTCTCATGCGGAAGGTGCATCAGGAAGGCCTCTAAAAGTCTGCGATGCTACATCATGCATTACAGGCTTCATGGGTCGTGAGAAATATGCATGACAAGTCTTCTTGCATTCCTCCAGACCCAGACATTTTTACAATCCATAGGTCGCTGTACAGCATGGCGATCGTTCGCCTGGTCAACGGCATCGCGGACAACAAGCAGACGGGCGAGAAGGCAAAATCAGTCTCGGCGTTGTGGGCGGAGGCCGGGTGGCCGGCCTGGATTGCGGACCTGCGGCACCAGGCGACGCACCAGGACTTGCCGGCCCTGAGTTTGCTGCGGTTGGCCTGTCACCAACTGCTGCAGCTGCTACGGGAGAAGTACTGGGATCCCCAGCGCGAACTCCTCGCAGAGGACGAAACTAGAAATAGCAACAAAGCAGGAATAGTTCCCTCCCCTAAGCGAAGGAAGTTGACGTCGGGAGAAGCGGCGGCAAAAGGTGCGACGGATCTTCGAATCGTAAATGCACAGAGGAAGAAGAGCGAAAGCAAGAGCTCAGCGGAAATTATATCAAAACACGTTCATCTCGCAGACGGTGCTGTTGGAACACGTGGAGGATCGTCCCGCGAGATAAACGACCAAGGAAAAGAACAAGAGATGGACCACCACGCGGGAACCGGCACACGAAAGGTAGTTCTCGAGCAATTTCTCAAGGACGAACTGGATCGGGCCAAAGCTGAGATTAGTGCGACGGAGAAGCAAAATTTGAAGAAATTATCGGCTAAGAAGAAGCAGGACCAGCAGCAGCAGGCAAATAGGATGAAAGGGAACAAGAAGAAAAACGCAATCGCGAATTTTCCGTGCGACGAGACTGGGACAAATCTGCCTGCCGATGGAGATGTGAGCGGCGTGCACGAAGTAGACAACGCGTCGAATAATTTTGACGATGACCCAGATCGTTTAGCAATTGTCTTCACCCGCGAAAGTGTGAACATGGCCCGTGTGAAACGGTTGCGGGACTTTGCGGACGCCGATGTGGAGCAGATTTTGTCCTCCCTTTTGAAGGAACGAAAGTACGCCCTGGGCGATCTGTTGCTCTTCGAATGGTTCGAGATTACCAGCTTGTCGCAAAGGACCAAGTTTTGCCAGCTCCTGCTCAAGGCCCTAAACGCCAGCTTCCGCATCAAGGCAGCCACAGTCGAAGCGGTGGACAAAGGGATGAATAAAGAACAAGCTTTTACTAAACCACAGCCCTCCTCCGGAGAAGATGTTGAACAAGAGTTTCAGGTGCGGGAACAAGATAGTATCAAACTCGAAACTGCGAGTCGCACGACCAACCAGATTCTTTCCTGCGTCCGTCGCCTCTGCGCATCTTCCGTCAACTTTGAAGAAACTTGGACCGATGTGTGCCGCGCGCTCTTGTTCACGGAAGATCTGGCGCTGGAAACAGTTGAGGCGATTGTTGGGCAGTACGAAGACAAGGAGGAAAACGTCTACGGAAACGAGCATCCAAACTTGTTGAAAAAGGCCGATTTTCTTCTGGACAACTACTCGCAGCAAGTTGCGGACTGTATCAACAAAGGAGAGGAAGAAGATTTTCGATTTCGAGACTCCGACACGCATAGTACACATTTCGAATTCATCGATGAAGAGGAAGAGGAATTTGCCTTGGAGCAAATGACTCGGGCATTGGTGGAGCGCGAGAACAAGAGAAAGAGCAGCATGAAACGAGCGAGTGGTCTGCAACTCGACGGTGGCGATATAATTGACGAGGACTGCGAAATAGAAGCGAATCTACTTCCCAACGACGTCGAAAAGCTACGATCTGCAAACAGGCGGACAATCCGGCTAGACGAAGATTTCGTGTGGGCACCAGTGGGCACGCAATTCCGTGATTACTTGACGGCACCGGAAGAAGTGGAGGAAAATGCATGCGTTCCTGGAACAAAGAAGACGCAGGAGAACGAGTGCGACAGGAACGGCGGGACGAGCTTTTCGTGCCTCGACCACGGATTGACAGACCGCCCGCCACACGAGATGATCCAGGGCCGCAATTTGGTCGAGTACCACGGGAAGAAAACGCGCAAAATATCAAGAGGAAAAATCCCCCCTCCCCACATCGAAAAGTTATGTCTCCGAAAATTTGTATTGCTGATTTGAGACCACAAATCACGTCTGTCTTGCAACAAGGCAACTCCACAAGCTCCGCAGCATTGTGCAGGCGGTTTGTGATGCCAGTGGGCCTACAGCATGGACGTTCCTCATTCTCGACGCCTAGGCCAAAACCTCTCTACTTAGGCTCAGTATGGGCCTGCATTCATTCTTCTCCAGCAAGAGAAATCTGATTTGTGTACGCAAATCCTGCATAAGAAGCTTCGTTTTGATGTGGGGAGGGGGGATTTTTCCTTTTCATACAAAATCGACCGGTACGAAAAGCTTTTCGAGGATTCTTCCGACGAAGAAAGAAAGAAAAGAAGGACAAGGCGAAAGAACATGGATCTTCACAATGGAAATATCAAAGTAGGGGACCACGACGTCGACGAAGAAACCGATATCATCTTCGACACGCCCACGGATATCGTGGAAGAAGAAATTCGCGCGGAGCGGGAGCAGCGGCTGGTCGGAGACAAGGATCTCGCGTTTTACGCCTGGTTCCAGCAACTAGAGGTCGTGCCAGATGCGGAAAACAAAGATGTTGACGAAGGGGAGCAGGAGCAGCCCGGAGATGAAGCGAGTGCAGAGAACGTAGCCCTGTTTCTTTGACGTGATCAATAAACGAGTATCTGCTATAACAGAACGAAGTGCTTGGGGCAAAGTTAAAGACCACGAGCAGCTTTCGAGTTGAGTAAGTGCCAGTGCTTGCAGCTAATCCGGAACATTCACCGCGGCCGAACATGCAAAGTGAAAAAGTGACTTCCAAATGTGTTTATTGCGACCTCTTGTTGAATCTATTTGCGCGACTGACTTTTTATCCTCTATGATTGAAAAGCACTGCCCGATAGAACGTCGTTGACGTTGGTATTTCATGCAGTTTGCGACACCGTAGTGCGGCCCCTTGTTCGAAGAAGCGTGTCAGTAGAACTGAAAACGAAAATCCACATCGGTTGCTGAGAACAGAAATAATGCAAAATGGCGGCACTACATAAAAGAAGTATCTGTTGACTTTTTTTGACAAAAACAGTAAGGAAGGTCGGTTACGTACGTACTTCTATAATTCTGAACCTTTAGAGCGTTTCGTTGCATTACGTTCGTAGCGTCCTTAAGCCTCGGTCGTCCTGAGTTGAAGAAAAGCAATGATGTTCGGTCTCCGTCCGTGTTTATTTATCAGCGTGAGCCTACTTAAAGTTAAAGTGCAAGAAACATTAGATACCAGCCCCTTGCGAAGCTGCTTTGCCTTCTACGTACGCAGCATATGCTGGTTGCTAAGTAGTACGGCATTCCTTGGAGTTATGATTGTGAGGTAGCGCTGTCAACACCCACGGTGCTCTCGTGTGTCTTCAATATCTCAAAAAATGTACTCTCTTCCCGGAAAACTTTCTATGCACACAGGTTGTCGCGAAACCCCCACTAAGTTCCCGTGACTATAGTGAGGGAGCGACATTTTGATTTTCCCTACCCAAGAAACACATTTTCCGTCCAGTTGGACCATTTTGGAAAATAAAACCCCTTCCTTTCGTTCTTTCATCGCGGCTCAGTACGCTTACATTTTTTGCTACCTTTTTTCTTGTCTAGCTGAAAAGTCATGGACGCGATTTTACCATTCACGCCGGCAGATGACTGCACGCCGATACAATTGGTGGTGGTCACCTGCATTTACGGTGGAGTGCTTTTCTCAGCGGCCGGAATGATCGGAGATGGGTACTTTGCTTCTTGGAATGATTTGCTTTCGCGATGAAACAAAATTGAAATTGCCGTCCCGAAAAGTAAAGGTTTTCTTGCCTGATGTAGTTCGTCTTCGTTTTCTGATGCTCTACTGAAGGTAAAGTAGGGGCTACTTTCGTCGAGACGTATAAGTAGATACGGAAAAAAAATCATCGTGACTCTGAGCAAGAATTTGGTTAATTTTATCAAAATAAACATACAGATCTGAGCTCCTGCTGCTGGTGCCGGCCTACGCGGACTTGGTCGGTTCGGTGGTTCTCCCCGTGCTGGGCGCCGTTCCTGACGGGATGATGGTGCTGTTTTCCGGGTTAGGCCCCCGGCTGGACGCGCAGGATCAGGTTAGCGTCGGGGTGGGTGCCCTGGCCGGATCCACCATTATGCTGTTGACCATGGCCTGGTTTTGCGGGGCCTGGGGCGGCCGGGTGTCCATTGACGCGAACGGGCAGCCCAAGTACACAGCTCCAAAACTCGACCCGCCAGAGTCCTCCTCCATGAACGGCACGGGGTACAAGGTCGGACCCAAAATCCGGAAGAACGCCATCGTATTGTTTACTGTGTTTTTCTCCTGCGTGTTTTTTGATGTACTGCCTTCTTCGCGTTCTACTTCTAAATTGATTCTATCTTCTTGCCAATGCTAGGTGCTGATAAATGCGAGTAGATGAAAGATTTTCATTTTTCAGCAGGGTTTAACCCGAAATAAACGTATGTTACTAAATTCAGGTGATGATCATCACCTGCATTTTGTACGGGTTCGTGCAAATTCCGGCCCTGATGGTTCCGTCCGATGCGGAGCTGGCCGAGGAAGCCAAGGCAAAGGGCAGCACCGTGTTCGATTTGAAGTCGGACTTCATCAACAAGGAGGCCATGATTGGTCTCGGCGCCTGCGTCGTCTGCTTCTTCGCCTACCTGTACCTGCAAACCATCAAGGACGAGGACTCGGCGAAATCCGACGGCGACAAGCTGGCCAACCTGCGCTACGAGTCGATCAAGAACGGAAAAGTTACCCTCCGCGGCGCCATGGAGGGCGTGATCAAGGAGAGTGGCAAGGGCAAGGACGCGAACCTGCTCGAGATCACGGAGGGGGAGAAGGGCGAGGTGAAGCGCGTGCTGAAGCCCTTTTTCACCTACTACGACGCGGACAGGTCCGGCAGCATCAACCGCATCGAATTCTCCAAACTCATGTCGGACCTGCGCGAGCCACTAGACACCTATCAAATGTAAAAATGTCTGGGTCTGGAAGATTGCCGGGTTTGTCATGCACATTTCGCATGACTCCTCAAGTCTGTGATGCATGCCCTAGCATCACAGATTTTTAGAGGGCTTCCTGATGCCTATTCCGCATGACAAATGCTCTTTCCGTGCTGCAAAATTTGGACTCTCTTTGCTGCTCATGCAATACAGATTTTTTTAGAATCCAAAATCAGCATGACCAGTTGGATTCTTCCAGACCCAGACATTTTTGCATTTTATAACACCGACGCGGAAACGAATCTGTTTAAGATGGCGGACGTGGATAACAGCGGCATGATCGAATTCAACGAGTTCGTCTCGCTCATGATCAAATACTTGAAGGGCGGCTTCGCCGGCACAACCAAGCGCGCCATGCAGAGCGAGGTAAAGTTTCTGCCGCATTCATTTTGCCGCATTTCAATTTTTGCTCCTGCGGCACTTTTCTGCATAGAAGGAAGTTTTTTACTGTTTCAGCTGGATGGTGGAGGAGGTTCTATGATCTCTCTGCGAGGTCGTGGTTTTTAGTAAAAATCAATCCGATTTCTTCTTGGTAGTACCTTCATATGAGCAGTCGTTCTTATCACAACTACTTCCACAGAAAAAATCGCCTGCACTTTTCTCATCGCAGGTAGCGAAGGTTGAGCGTGTCCTGACCGCGCAGGCGACGCCACGCGAAGCGGAGGAGGGCGACGAGGATGACGAGGAGGAGGAGGAAGAGATGCCCGAGGACCTGCAGGGCCTTACGCCCGAGCAGCAACAGCGGGCGTTGGTGATGCGGTCGTGCTGGCAGATGGGCATAGGGACGGTGCTGGTCTTGGTCTTTTCCGACCCCGCGGTGGATGTGCTCAACGAAATCGGAAAGCGCACGGGCATCCCAGCCTTCTACGTTTCCTTCGTGCTCGCTCCCTTCGCCTCCAACGCCAGTGAGTTGGTCGCCACCTACAAATACGGCTCCAAAAATATTCTGAGGAAAAATCCCCCCTCCCCATATCGAAAAGGTATGTTTCCGAAAATCTGCGTTGCTGATTTGAGGTGACAAATCACGTCTGTCTTGCAAGAAGACAAGCGCAGAGGCTTCCGCACCATTATGGAAGCGATTTGGCATGCTGTTGCGCCTAGGGGACACCCGTTTGCAGTGCTAAGCAACTAGACCCATACGCCCCTACCTAGGCCGAGGATCTGGCTGCGATGCCTTACTGCAAGACAAATCCGATTTGTGGACCCAAATCCTGCATCACAGACTTCCCATTTGATATGGGGCGAGGGGATTTTTCCTTTTGATAAAAAAGACAGTGTCGAGCATGACCATCTCCCTCTCGACCCTGCTCGGCGCGGCATGTAAAATTTTGTTTCATACTTTGGAATTTTTATTTGTTGATGTCTGTTTTTGTTTGTCATTGACATTGTCTTTGTCATGTTTTATGTGTGTGCTTTGATTTTCAGCGGGACCGGGAGAAATGAAGCGAAATTTCTCTATACAACGATGATCTATCAGGTATGAACAACACTTTCTGTCTGGCGATTTTCTACGCTCTTGTGTGGCTGCAGCGGCTTTGCTGGACTTTCACTGCGGAGGTGGCCGTGATTGTGCTGGTCCAAATCCTGGTGGGCATCATCGCAATGAAGTCCGTCATGCGACTGCGGGACGCCTACATCATTCTGTCGCTGTACCCACTCAGTCTGGTGTTCGTGTGGGTCTGCAACAACATCTTCAACATTCCGTAAGCGGGAGGAGCAAGTTGAAGTAAATTTTTCATCACCGCGCGACTTTTTTTGATCTACGACCACCCGACACAGCCGTTGGCGCTTCCACTTCGAGCAGAGACAAGACACGGATGGTTATCAGTCATTTTTTTCCACTCTTAGAGTAAGAGAAAACACGAGATGGTGCAGCTTTGAGAATACAGGTATCTATGTTCTCTGGTCTCGTGGTCCTGCGGATTGCAATACTTCATCGCTAAGGTGGAAGTAGGCTGAAGTCGAAGTTAGTAGGAGAACCCCCGCCCAAGAACGTCCCGTCGCGCGTTTTTTCATAAAGCCACAAGTATCACCCTAAATGAGTACACTACGTTCGTCAACACGCATCACGTGGCTACTTTTTTTATCTCCAAAGAAGCTCGTGCTCGTCTTTTTACCTTATTGCGCTCCTACGTTCACTAAACTTTACGCATTGATTACGCATAGAAAAATTATGTCGCTATATATGCTAATACTCAGCGCTACAAAATATCAATATCGCGGAGTTTCCGGGCCATTTATCCGGTTCTGGGCGACGCGAAAACGGAATGCAAATGTGAATATTATACTTAATCCGTAGAAAATAACAAAAGCGCAAAAATAAATTTTGGTGCAGTTCCAAATAGTAGTCTGGAGCTGTGAAAAGAATAAAAGAAACAAAGCGGAGCTTTTGCGCATGTACTGGATATCGGGCTCGGTGGCCGTGGACCTGTTTGTTCGCTGAAAAACATCGCACGCGTAGGTCGCTGTTTTAGCTTCAGTTTTTTTTCTTTTCGCCGGCTGGTTGAGGATCGCAATCGTAAGTACACTGACTTCGTCAGGCGTTCGAGAGATCTGCACACCGAACGACTTCGCAGCGCATCGGCTCAAATCTATCGTCTGTCGCCTGTGTCAGTTGCTCAATAAAAAATGGTGGACTCAGATTTTAGATAGTTGTTTGAAAGAACTTCTGAGTTGGTCGTCGTGTCTGAGCCTCGAACTTCCTTATTTCGTTTCAATGTAAAAATGATGATGGCAGTGGCTGGAATCGCAAATCTTGTTCGACGCCGCACAGGCGCAGTTGTGCTGCTGGTCTTCTTCGCGGGCGCCCCGCGACTTACATACGGCCGCAAGCGGATGCTGCGGTCTGAGCCGCGTCCTCCCCCGACTGAGGCGCTCTTGGATGCGCAGGGCGAACTAGACGAGGAAGCGGAACGGTTCATACAGGCGAACGCAGCAACACCCGGCGAGAGCGGACGGGAGAAACTGAAACAGAGATCTGATGAAGACACCGCTTCTTCGAGTGAATTGTATCTGCCCGATGGAGCGATGTCTCCAGAAGCAGCAGCATTCAACCCCTGGACTCCGACAACTTTTCTGGGAAATAAAGCCGGTGCAGCTGGTGATCATGAAACAAGCACGAGTGCTGGCGAAGCTGATTTGTTGACGGACGGGTCTACTTCTGTCGACAAGCTTTTGTTTCACGGGGCGGAAGCCCTGTCGACCACCATTTCTTCCTTTACGTCGCTAGACGGGGCGAGTCGCACCCCATTCTGGTTACTGTCAGTCGCTTTGTTTCTGTTTGGTACGCTGACGTGGCGGCACCAGAAAGTCGGGACGACAACGGGTGGCTCGGTCGAGGAAGCCGGAGTGAAAGGGGGTGTCGATAAGAGCCTCTCGTCGTCGTGTTGTTCCACGGATGTGTCGTTGGAGCAGTTGGAAGGTACTAAATGTCACTTCAATACGTGCTAAAACTGATGCTATCATCCATTTCGACTTGGTCCTTTTTCTACGTGTAGAAGTAGATCGCCATGTGAACAACTAGAGGACTGGTGGTGACAGTTTGTGACATTGATAGGTCGTGGCCTCGTTCGCTTTTAACCAGTTAAGTTCGAGAAACAAATATCAATATGACGCAGTTCTGCACGCAAGCGGGAACATTGTTGCGGAAGATGTCTCGACCATGTCCTTTCTCGAGGAAGAGGAACCGTACGACATTTCATTCCAGCCGCTGACGAAACCGGGAGTGGTTACGGGCTCGCTGAAGGGTGCGGATGCGGAGCCTGGAAATTGAAAATGTTGCTAAGGATCTCTGATATTCGAGGGAGAGGGTCGTGCTAGAAAAGATCCGTTTCAGTTTTGACTTTTTACGGAAGACTGCGAAGAAGTATGCTTGTACCAAAAACTGCGAACAAACAAACGTGAAAAAATTGTTGATTGAGTAGGCAGCTCAGAAAGTACGTACATTGAATTGATGACAACTACCTTGTATCCACTTAGTTACACCCAATTTTCCTAGAAATGATTTTTTCTGCTTTGTACAAGAAGGACAAGTAATGACCAGAATTTCGAGAATAAAGCTATCACTTGGAACAAGTATAATCACTGCAAGCAAAGGTCGCACAACCGCACAAGTCAAGCGACCATGCAGATTGCATCAAGTACGGATTTTTCTCGGGTATCCTGTTCAGCTTACCACTCTTGAGGCGAAATGGTAAGAACCGAATATCACGGACCGTCTCTGAGGTGGCATTGGATTTCAGTTCTTCTCTTCCATGTTGTAAACGTTTCTGGGCTTGTGCTTGTCGTCCGTTGTGTAGTTTTCCAAAAATGAGCAGAACAATAGTAAGCGAGAGGACACAGGGCACTTCTACTACCAATAGCTGCTTGTTGTACCATTGAACAAAATGCCGATTCCAATTCCGCCGTTGCGTGCAACCACGGTGGATGCGGACGTGGAGCAGATGTTTTTCACCGTCCGCCGCGGCATCATCGCGTCGGCCGTGCGCGGCCAGCACGAGAAGCGGATGTGGCCCTCGGACAAGGAGCACACCTGGTGCGCAACAGCAGAAAAGTGGGAGCGGGAACTTTTCAATCGGTACCCCCACTGGTCACAGCAACTACCGGAAAAAACATCCGGGCGTCGACCGAAGACGAGGCCCGGGGGAAGAAGTCCCGTCGGAGGGGCTAATTTTGAACTGCAAATGGGGAGAACGAATTTTGTCGAGCCGGAGAGCTCAATATCGAGCCGCAGTCCGTCACCCGAAAGTAGCAGCATGGACGCGCTGTCACGAACCGTTGCACAGCGGCGGCCGGACGACCATGCGGGGTTCGACGCGCTTTCGCGAACGGTGGCAGCTCCGGATAGTGAGGAGGGTGCGGACCACGACCTTTTAGGCCGCACGGTCGGTGCAGCGCATGACGAGGTGGACCAAAGAGGTTCGTATGAAGGAGTCGATCTGCTATCCCGAACAACAGCCGCGTTCTCACGTTCTCCTTCGAAAAAGGCGGGCTGGATTGAAGCGGCGCGTAAGTTTTCGAAAGCTTCCGCCGGCGCGGTTCTGACGAGAGCTTCGGACGAAAATGCCGCACCACTGTCAGTGGAGGAAACCATGCTGAGTCAAAACATTTTGGAAGAGATTTCGGCAAAGAAGAAGAAGAAGGCCGGGCAAGTAGAAGATTCCGAGAGGGGGCAAGTCCCAGCACCCGGAGCCCCTCCCGCTTCCCCACCGGAGACCCCGGCGGCTAGGAGAAAGCGGGAGCGCGACAAGGACATTCTCTTCCCGAATTCCGGCGGCGGCTCTTCGCTGTTTGCCGATTTCGGGTACTTAATTCACGTACATTTGGAGACGCAAAGGCGGTACGAAGAGGCGGAGCTTGCGCGGAAGGTCGAGCTGGGAGGTAGACTGCAAGCGGAGCGTGCTTTAAAAGCGAAGGTGGTCCTGCTCGACCAGACGGAGTCCCTCCGGAGCGAGTACCAGTCGAAATTCAAGCGCGCGAACTTTTTCCTTTGCAAGGAGCGGTTCATCCGGTTCTGGATGTCCAGCGAGTTTCTCAAGCTGCAGGAGCGGTTTGAGGAACTGCAGCGGAAGTACCAGAAAGCCGAAGTGATGATCCGGGAGAAAAAACTGCTTGTCGACCAAGTGGTGAAGAAGAATTCCAGTATCACCGAAGAGAACAAGCAGATGTACGAGGAGTACGTGAAGATGCGCATCGTGCGGGACAAACAAACCCAAACGGAAGTTTTGCCCGCTTCGGGCGCCGAACTGGAGCCGTTGCGCCGGCGGCCCAGTACCGCAATGGGGAACCGCGGGTTTGGGAGTGTCAGTCCCGGCAAACGACCGTCGACAAGCGGAGCCGCTGGTGGAGTAGAAGGAGCAACGCCTTCGACTAGTAGTAGACCGGCCTCCAGTATCCACAGAAAAAAACCCATCCACATCCATTTTTTGCATGACAAACACAGGATTTTATACGTGTTTTGCATGACAAATTGGATGGGGATGGGTGTTTTTTCCTGGATATCCAGCTTGACCCAAGCGGATATGGTGCACTTTACGTGCAAGATTCTGTTCAGCTTCGTCCGGGACAACAATCTGGCGATGATCAAGGAGAGTTTGCAGTACTTGAAGGATGTCAACGTTCGCGATCGTTTTGGCGACTCGCTCCTCACCACGTGTTGTAAGTGCAATCAACCCGACCTCCTCCGGTACTTTCTGGCGATTCCGGAAAAGTGGGGCGGGGCTTTGTCGTTGAAGAAGGAAATCAACGACGGCGCCATTCTGTCCTTCGCGGCGCAGGCAAACTTCGCCTCGGACGTGGTGCAAAAGCTGCTCAATGCGAACGCAGACCCAAATCACAAGTTTTGGGTAACAACTTCCGCGTCGAGTAAGTCCGCGGATCCCGCGAGCAAGGCGAAGTCGCTCGAGGCACCCTTGGTGTACGCAGTGGCGAACAACAGCGAGAAGGTGGTGAAATTGCTGCTGATATCCGCCGCGAATCCGAACTTGTACTCCCAGATATTTAATTAGCGGCCCTTTCATAAGTCCGGACCTTTCACCTCTTGTCACATACCCAACGCTGAAGAAAAAAAAAAGAACTTTAAATAGGTCGGAACGTGGCCAGGAGCTGCGTCTGCAGCTACTCGCTCTTGTGCAGCAGGCGCGCTTCCTTTAGTTCCGTACAATAAAAGAAGCAAGAGGCTTGTTTACAAGGAGCCTACGCTTTATCAGTGGCGTAGGCTTCTGAAGCAGCTTGCACAGGGAAATAACGTGATGGAAGAAGTAGAAACAGCCAGCCAAAGAAAGCTCTCGACAGCTCGGAAACTTTAGTCCCCGTCGGCTGCCACCCAATGCAGTGCGCCGGGCGGCTTTGGTGTTTGTGTTTCCGTATAATAAACCACGCAAGTGCGTTGCGCATTTGCGACGCCTGTTCCTTTGTCTATCGGCGCCGCATCTGCAACACCTTGCACAGTGTAGGCATCAGGAATACACAAACACGACAAAACAAGAAAACTGATAGTCCGCACATTTCTACAGGTTGTGACTGTGTAGGCGCGCGCAGTGTAGTAACTAAGCGGGCAGCTCTCGTTCTGGACCTGGATGCGCCACGCTGCGCTGTACTGACTAAATACTCAGGTGAGCGCTTCGGAGTGCTACGCGGGGGCGGCTGCTCTGCGGGGGGACTGCTGGATGGAAGCTTAGGAGAAAAATTTGCGCGGGGAGTATTGGGGCATGAACTTCGAGTAAGCAGCCCTCTGAAACGCACCAAAGCAGTGCGCGCGTACTTAGACGTAGAAAATAGGTGGGCAAGCGGCGTAGATAGGTTGCAATGCTCGGGGGCTCGCACTGTAAGCAAAATAAAAAAAGCCCGGGTAGGAAAAATGCATTTTGCGTTTTTTCCTACCCGGGGTTTTTATTTTCAAAACCCCGGGTAGGAAATATTTATCCGCTGCTCTGCACGTCTGTGAGGGTGATAACAGCTGATAAATATTTCCTACCCGGGGTTTTGAAAATAAAAACCCCGGGTAGGAAAAAAATCAAAACTCATATTTCCTACCCGGGCTTTTTATTTTCAAAACCTCGTATAGGCCCTCCGAAATCTGGGCGGCGCGGCAGCGCCGCGAATTTTTTTTTTTTTGGATCGCGGAGAGCTATGTGAGGTTTTGAAAACCAAAACCTCGTATAGCCCCCTCGAAATTCGGGCGGCGCGGCAGCGCCGCGAAGATTTTTTTTTTTGGGTTCGCGGAGGGCTATGTGAGGTTTTGAAAGCCAAAACCTCGTATAGCCTCCTCGAAATTTGGGCGGCGCGGCAGCGCCGCGGAGAATTTTTTTTGGTTCGCGGATAGCTATGCGAGGTTTTGAAAATCAAAACCTCGTATAGCCTTCTCGAAATTTGGGCGGCGTAGCAGCGCCACGAAAAGTATATTTCCTACCCGGGCCTTTTTTTTTCAAAACCTCGTATAGCCTCTCCGAAATCTGGGCGGCATATTTTTTTTTTGGTTCCCGGATGGCTATGTGAGGTTTTGAAAACTAAAACCTCGCATAGCCCCCTCTAAATTTGGGCGGCGCGGCAGCGTCGTGAAGAATTTTTTTTGGTTCGCGGAGGGCTATGCGAGGTTTTGGAAGCCAAAACCTTGGATAGCCCCCTCAAAATTTGGGCGGCGTGGCAGCGCCGCGAAGGAGTTTTTTTATTTTGGTTCGCGGAGCGCTATGTCAGGTTCCGAAAACCAAAACCCCACGTAAGCCTCAGGGGGTCGCATCGGGTAAGTCGCGCCAACGCGCGGGCGCAGGGGCTGCAGCGCTGCATTTGGTTTCTACCGTCAGTGGTGTGGGCCAGAATGTGAAAAGTCATTTGACCTGTGACCTTTATGAAAGGGCCGCTAATTACGTCATGTAGAGTACTCGAAAACCAGTGCGCTTCGCTGGGCGGTTCGGAGTGACAACGCGCCGATGGTAAACTTGTTGTTGCGGGCCGACGCGGATATCATTTCGGAGGAACGCTTGCTGCTGCAGGAAGCAGATTCTGATCGGCTGCGGCAGTTCCTGCGAAACACAATTCGGGCCGAGAAGATACGGCTCGGCCATATCATCGATAATGCTCTGCAGACATAAAGCAGTACTCGTATGCGACTTTGTTCTGCACGTGGCGGCGGGGCGCTGTTTAGATTCAAAGCTGTCCCCGCATCCGCACAAGAACTAGTGATTTTGGTTTAATTACATGTTTCAGTTTCGCTCAGTATTGAATAACAGCGTCTTGCGTCTGGTGTTTGTCTTCTCGGAAAATGTGTTTCACTAGATCACGTGTGTTCATGCTTGGAGTCCGGAAAACGCGGAACACTCTGTCTGTGCTGTCGTGGTCGCTCTGCGTAGTATTGTCGATTCACTTCTTTAAAACCTCTGTGACGCGAAGTAGCTGCGTCAGAAATCGTTCGTCCGAAAGTCGTCCTACTAGCTGGAAGCTGTTCGGTGTCGGTTTGTCTGTTTAGTGTCGGTTTGTAAAATTGTCGACGTCATCGTCTTGTCAATGTCAATCAAGACTGGATTTCGGTCTTCGTATTCATCGTCCAACACCGTCTCCTTTCCTGCGTCCCGCGTTCGTATCGTCCACTACGTGCGTTGTATGGTGCGCATGGATTTGGAGATGAAAACATCCATCGTCACTAGGTGTAGCTTGTGTAGTCTTTCAATTTAGACTGATTTCGTAAATCCTGATCCTCATCCCTGCGCAGCTCCCTGAATCGTCATTCGCTCTGGTGCATACGAGTAGGAAGTGTATACTTTTAGTAAATCAATCCAAATATTTTTTTACTCTTTTTCTGTGCCGCATTTTTGACGTCATAGCCAAGCCAACCAGTTTCTCTACCCTTGAGTTTTGCACTGGCTTGCTGCTTTCTCGATCTTATGTCTTTCTTATGGTGATGGTAAGGATAGAAGTACCCAAACTCAATCCCGATTTTTTTTGAGGACTGACGGAAGAACGAAAAGAAACACCCCCATGATGTGCGAATTCGTCTTCATTTTTATTGGGATCGGCATCGTAACGTGTGGCGCACTAGCCGGCATTGCAGTGGTCATCAGCAATGTTACGGGAGATGACGAAGAACAACAGTACCTTTTTATGTTTGTGACTACGCTTTCCTTTTGCTGCATGGTTGTGATTCCTCGTGGAAACCAAGTATTGATTTGTCAAGAAAAAGAAATCTTTATCTCGTCCATCCAATTTCCCCTCTTCAGGTGGATTCGCAGTCTGTATAGCAAGAAGACACGGGATCGGAGGAAGCGAGACGAGCTTTACGTGAGAGCCTTGCTTGCGAGCTACACATTAGATCCCGCCGGGTTCGGACTCGGGTTCGGGATAGGAGGCTATGGGGCGGTGCCACCTGGGGGATACGAGAATGCGAACAACATCCAGTGCGCGCCATAGCATTGTTGAACCAGTACTCAAAGTATCGTTGTGCTTGTGTACTGCTGACCAGGACGAGGACGACGCTTCGGAGTTTGAAGTCTAGACATGTCTGTCTCTTCCTCACTCAGGAAAAAATGCAGACTCCCATTGTTTAACAGCCCACACTTTTCTTTGGTCAACCAGAAACATAAAAATCTCGCGCAACGTACTTGTCTGTAAAGTTGGTACTTATCTGGATTACAGGCTACTCGAATACCACCATTCCGTTCTCAGCCCTTTGCCTCTACTATGAATAGGTTATGATTTGTTCAACTTCAAGTGTTCTACCTAGGATCTCCTGGTCGAAATGGAAATACTCTGGTTTGAGAAAGCTGTGAAGATGATCTTAGACTGATTCTCAGGTTCACTAAACGAGGAGCCGTCGATCTTGTTCAAAGAAATCAATAAAAGGATCATGATGTGTTCCCGGCTCGGTTTATTTTGTAATTGTCAATCATGTCATGGAAAAGGGTAACGGGTGGTCATGATAAGGATAACCAACAAGCATATTCAGTGATACCATTCTTCTTCGAGCAAGTGTCCCGGTTTTTGGTCCGCCTAAAAGTAAAAAGCGTAGTGCCGTTCTTTTTATTCCGCACAGAAAAAAGCGATAGCCTTTACAACCCGAATTACGGGTGCAAAAACATAAAGTTTGTAAACGATCATCCATAATATTGCCATGATGGCGAAGTCTCCTTCTCCAACTCAGACCGTGTCCGCAGTTGATCAACAACTCTGTGTGACCTCCGGAGCAGGACGTCTGCCGACGCCGAAAATTTGGAGTCGTTGGACGGTCGAAAATGACGATCCAAGCAGTGGCCCGTCGGCGGCGACTACTTTCACGCTGCGCAACGCTGTGGTGCCCGATCTCGAGGAGGTTCATAAGATGATTTATGAACTAGCTGTCTACGAAAAAGAGGAGGACCAGATGAAGCTCCCGCTGGAGCAATTCATCCGAGACTCGGGGCTGCCCGGAAGCGGAAACGTAGATCGCGAAGACGGCAGCGGGCCGCAGCGGTACCAATGTCTGGTGCTGTCTGCGCAGCAAGCGGACGTTGAACCATCATCACGCGCAATAAATACCGAGCAGCAGAGCGAAGCAGTAACAAAGGAGAAAATTGTGGGCTACGCGCTCTACTTTTTCACCTATTCCACCTGGGAGGGGCGAGCTTTCTACCTGGAGGATTTGTACGTGCGCCCCGAGGTGCGGAAGGGGGGCCTGGGGACGAAGATGGTTTACTGTCTCGCGAAGATTGCCGCGGTGGAAAATTGCTGCCGCCTGCAGTGGCAGTGTATCGATTGGAACACAAGCAGTTTGGAGTTTTACTACAAGAAGCTCAAGGCCGAAGAGCGCACGGAAACCAACGACGCCAAGTGGGTCAACATCTGGCTCAAGCGGGCGCGGATTCTCGAAATGGCAGCGGAATTTGACGGGGAGTGATGTTGAAGGCCCAGCGCTGAAGCTGCTGTCAAAAACTGGCTTTACTTTGCTCGTCCGGTCGTTGCCGTAGGCGTACGAGAAGAAGATGCCTATGCAGCCAAGACGCGCGCACCATTCTGAAGTTTTGCAGCACCGAGATTGTAATCGTGAAGAATTTGAAGAACAACATGAACAACAACAAACGTCGCAGACCTCAATGACAGATCGAGGGGTAGAGAAGTCCCTGCGCTAGTCTAATACTGCACATCATTTTGACTCCGCGCTCATACCTCAATAAACGCAAACACCCAAAGGCAGCTAAGTACCCCTGCCGTCATCGGAAGCAAAGATCGCACGGAAATATCATACAGACATAACCCGCAACCGGCATCTAGCTCTGCCCTTATTGAATGGAAACACATCAGAAGAATACGCGTGAACGGCTCAAACTACAACAGGAAAGAGATTTTTTCACAGAATGGCGATCGACATTCATGCTTGCCACATGTAATTGTGGTGTGAGTTCTTCTTTTGTGGTTTACTTGCAGTAAGTAACAAGTTCATTCTGTTTTCCTGAGCGACGGACACTAACACTTACACCTTCAGAGAGCAGGGAAGATCTTACAGAGTGGCTGCAACATCTTGCAGGAAAGTATAGAGGAAAAGAGCGAGACTGAGGTGAATAGATTCTCCCAACCGGTATCAAGTTCTGGTATTATTTCACAAAAGATGTGAACAGATTGGAAAGATTAGCGCGCCGCATCATTTGCCTCCCGACGCCGACGAGCAGCGCGCGGCCTGACGTGAGACGATGCCCTTTCGCAGCGGTCCGGTACGGGGCATATCATACAGAAAAGTAGTACAACACTCACACTGATTCTGACCAGGTCACCGAGCATTTGCATTTCTATCCCAAGCGCAACATCAGCTGAGTAGAGGCTGTTGTCTCACTCCCGCATCGCGGAGTGAACAAGAAACCACAGAGGACAATCAACGGGATATTAAACATTGTGTGATCACAATTACTTTTCCATATGATAGGGAAACGAAGTCGCGCAGTGGAGCTGCGTCGATGTCGCAGAGTGGCTGAGAAGCCTGGAATTACCGCAGCATGCGCTGGCGTTTCAAGAAGTGGGCATCGACGGCCCGACGCTCTTGCAGCTGACACAGCAGGATATCAAGGAGCAATTTGAAGGCCTGTAAGAGCTGCATAAAAATTGATGTTGTCTTTTTTTCTATTTGGGAAGAAAGGTAGAGGTATCTATGTCGTGATTGTTCCTCCAGACTTTCACTTGGCTGAACCTGAGTCCAAGCGCTCAAAGAAACAACAAAAAAAACTAAACAGCGTGCCCGGATTGCAGGGATGGATTGCATCCAAGAAGATTGCGGGACACATCAACATATTTAAGCTTCACCTAGGGCAGGAGTCGGTACTTGAGCTTGTTTATCGCTCATATTTCTAGTTCCACCTTGCTGATGCTGTTTCTCTGCAATCACGAGCAGAAAAGATAAGGACCATACTGCGAAATCATATTTATCAGACTGAAAATGAAAATCACCACAGAGCCTTGCGGAGCTGGAGATGTCAGCCATATCCTCCCTACGTGGCCGGAGCCCAGTGCCACCAGTAAACACTAGGCCACGACTACGCAAAAAAAAAGTTGTGCCTGTGGTTGCGTATCGTTTTTGGAGCAACAGTTCGGCCAGTATGCTCGGCATAAGTAATTGACTCGCGTCAGATGGGGGCTGCATGAAACATTCAGAAACTCGGCTTTCGGTCCACAGCGAGTGATACCGTCAACGCCATGCATGTCCTGCAATACCAGACGCAGATACAACTTTTTTTCTTGCATAGCGACCAGCCACTGCGGACGAAATCAAGAAAGCATCGCACTCGTACAGACTATATATATTGTTTCTGCTTCAAACGCACTGGGCCTTGGTGCTAAGAATGAAGAAAGTGCAATAGATTAAGACGATCTACCGCTTGCAAGAGTAGTGGCACCTCATGAAGATTGCAAGCACATTCAGCACAATCGTTCCACAAAAGCTACAAACCTGTTTGCGAATTGTCACACAGAACAACCGCGTCGAGCAATAACAACGCCGTCTCCTCTGGCTCGGGGTCCGCTCGTATTATCAGGAAAAAGCTGCCCGCCCCAAACTGTCATGCGGGATTTCCTGTCAGAGACAGAGTCAGCACAGATTTTCTGTACAGCTCGCTCCCGGATGATCGCCCAGAAAAAGTGTAGGCTCTATCATTTTGCTGTCATGCTGCCCTCTCAAGCGATTCACGTTTCTTATATTCTGCAATGCGAAATTGACGATTTGCATTTGAGGACGTAGTGCAGTTTCTGCGTGCGGCCGGGGGCTTTTTGTCGCTCTGATAGCAGGAAGTATGCACACACGCCGAAGCTCGCGACCACGGACCGCAAACGCAGGTAGTTCATCTGAGAAACAAGGAAACCCTGGTCGTTCTTTTCAACGCTTTGGTTGTTGTAGCTTCAAGGTTCTTTTCCGCCGTACGCTGATGTAGCAAGAGACAAGGTTGAGTACGTAGTCTAAGAACTTAGTATCCACTTCCACTACCCGAGCGGCGAGCACGGGAAAAAACCAATGTAAAACAGCCTCCCTGTCGCAGCTCTCCATGGATCCAGTGGACACAAGCGATGTTATCACGAAGAGAATATCCTCCTCCCGATGCTCAAAAAAGAACGTGTCTTGCATGATTTCGGGTCCCTGCAGGTGCCATACACAAATATTCTGAAGGCAGAACAGATCCATCTGATGTCTGCGCAGCTGTGCAACAGCGTAGCTGTTTGGCATATGGTAAAGAGTCTTTAGATTTATTTGCAGTGCGGAGCAGTGATAGAAATTGAAATGCACCACAGGCTCAGGCAAGCGCTATGGGATTCCATCGGAGCATGGGGAGGAGATTTCTTTCCCCGTGATGGATGTGATGCTCCATACGCAGCGCTCGCAAAGTTTTTTGACGGAACAGATGAGCACCTTCGATTTGCGGCGAAGAAGCCGTACTGCGTGTTTTCGTTAACAGTATTAGACTCTGCTTTGGTTATTACTGCATTTTCTCTGACCAACCAGCGTGTAGTGTCTATGTCTATGAGTATCAAGATCACACTCATTACACAGATAAGGGCACCATGAGCCAGGCCAAGCGGAATGTTTCGGAGGGTCTCTATCTCCGCGGTGCCGCTTCCCCCGGCGTCTGCCGGTACGATGTGCATATTCCCGATGCGAAGAGCCGTCGAGGCGGAGTGATGAGCAGAGCCCCGAGATTCGAGCAGAAGCGACCGCATCTAGTGCACGCAGAAAGACCACCACCGGGGCCTCAAAGCTACGTGCCGAACTTTCTCGCGAAAAGTAGAGCGGTGAGATAAAGTAACTTCGTCGCGGAGGAAAGTCAAAGAAACGGAATTTGCGAACTTGCTGCATTCCCAATGTAAGATCTAGTTTCAGTGAAGTCTCTGGCCGACTTGATTTTAGTCTTTTACCACAAACATATTCCAGATGGACAATGAATTCAGGGAATCAATTTCCGACCTTAGGTGTACTTATCTGATCATTTGCATTTTCAACTGATAGATAAATTGATGAAACCGATAACCTTATTTCAATGACACCAAAAATGAACCAAGAGATGTTGACTCTTCGTGACAATGAATCAATGTTGCATACTAGGACGAGTCGGGCACGGGCGTTTAGACTCTTTCACTTTCCATCTTCAAACAGACAGGGCGTCAGGGCAAAAGCATGCCCTGACATGTGAGCTTTTGATCTTTCACGGTACGGAAATCCACACTGTATAATGGGCACTGCTGCGTTAGCGGCGGACAGTAGAGCATTGTATCTAGACATGAGGGGCATTCCTGCTGTAATCGTTTGTATAGTACAGGTGCAGTAAAAGCGAGCCGAACTGACGGAAGTTGTCTCTGGTAACCGCTTGACTGTTCTGCAAGAGCATGTCAAAGTGTTCGATTTGGTCTGAGACAACACATATAAGAATGTGATGTTAAAGTGGATCCAAAACCATCCGACGCGATTGCGATCTCAAACTGTATTTGAACGAAAGTACTGCGTCTCTGACGCACCCAAATGCGATACGATCCTAGCGAGGAGTGTCGGACGATCGTTTGGATATCGGCTACAGCAATCGCGAACGCGAAATAAGAGCGCCGCAAATGCTGGATCATTTTTTCTTTTTCGTGACTGAGAATTGGGATCAGAGCCATTGATTTCATTTATAGCGAGCCAGCTCGTGCTCGTCTCAGCCAGCTCGTGCTCGTCTCACTCTCGAAGGATGTGTCCCGACCCTAATTCTCTTTTTTTGATGACAGGGCTAAACAACACACGTTGTAGTAGGGCTTGTTTCTCGTGTACGATACATTCTTCGGAGGACGGACGTTTGCATCCGTCCTTACGAGAAGTTGCTGCACACGTACTCATTTTTTTAAAATTTCGACAAAGAACTAGAGCACCAAGAGACAAAAAGTCTATCGTTTTTTTTATCCAAGATTTTCTCTAGATTTCTGAAGAGGTCTGTCATACACGGAAGAGGATTACGCATTTGCAGTATGTATCGGGCATAGGTTTACACTAGACTATCAGCATTGATCTTAGAAGTTTCATAGACGGAAAATCATTTCCAAAACACGAAAACATGTCGCTTTTTGGACGATTGGGTTGCTTCAGCTTGTTGGCTATCCTCGTGACGGTTGGCGGGCCTCTGTTCTGCGCAGCCAGCACTCCGTCTCGGTCTCCGCTTCGAGGACGGTCGACGAAGCGTGTTCACTGGGACAAGTCGACCACAAAGATTAGATCGTTTTCCGGTGAAAGAAACTGTGATCGCACACAAAGACTGTTCAACGTCGGAGGACCGTGGTGGGCGGAATCTGCGGACACGCGCACGCCTCGGGTCTGTACCATAACCCCAAACTACGCTAATTTGCACCTAAACGCATTTCCCTTTTTGGGCAAGGGGAAGCCAACGAATTTGCCGCCGCAGAAGCAGATCAATGGCACCAGTGAACAAGAGCAGGGAGAAATAAAAAAGCCGTTCATCGCAAGTATTTTCTCAGCTTCAGTGTCCTCAGAGGTACATGGAAAGCCGCGCTACCTGATATTCCAAAGAGTTGACGGCACTAGCAACCGGCGCGAATCTGTCACGATTTACCCGGATCGGGTAAACGACAACGACCCTGGGGATGAGGACATGGAAATTGGGGCCTTCCTAAAACCTGGCGGACGGTACTTCGAATATTACACCACCGATAGCAAAGGGGAAAGAGTTAATCGACTTTCCGGAAGTACGCCGATTCGGCACCTCGATGACTGGCAGAAGGGGAAACGTGAAATCGTCCTGCACTACGAATTCACCCGCAGCAGCGCAGTAGAGAACGTGTACCTCGACCCGGTTGCAAACCTGACGGGGGAGCTGCAGGCACTGAATGTCGGACCGCCATACGTCGGCGAGCAAACTGACGAGCAGAAGTGGGCGGCGTTGCACAATGCAAAGAAGTATCAGGCAAGCGAGGATCTCGTGCTGCAAGACATACGCAGCCCAGCGGTTGACATAAAAGACGCGGAGGACTTTTTGCTTAACCGGTTTCCGTTCGAGGACGTGCGCCGGAAGTACCGCGTTATGGAACCGCTCGTCCGAATTGCGCCCCGGCTGCTCGAGTATGCAACACCGGACGTGGAGGCGGCACTGAGGCTGAAAGAGTTATCTAGAACCTGTGACGTCCCGGGGCCGGATTGTGTAGCTGGTACAAAAATTTGTGGTGTTTATTCTCCTTTCTCGATTGGCAATGCAGATCTTCGCGCTGTGTGCTCTTCATGCTTTTTCGAATACATTCTTGTTCAAAACGCGCGTCGTGAACGTCCGCAACTTACTTGCGCTAAATGAAACACTGAGCCTTCTGTATTCTTTTTCACATCTTCGTTACAGGTACATACAAAACGAACGTGGAAGCCCCCAAGACGCCGGAGGCTCCGGCACTGGTTCGGAAGGAGCGAAAGAAAAAAAGGATTTTTAAAGGTTGGGAGTGAAGCGACGTCGAAGCGACAAGCTGATGGTCGCTGACTATGATAAGTAAATCAGATGCTGCAGGCGTTTGCATGGAGCATCGCAATACCTAGGAGCGAGTAGTCTCGTTTTACCTATGGCTTATTTTATCTGGTGCTCCTTACTGCTAGCTGGTCTAGCGTTGAGCTCGTTTGAAGCGAGGAGCAAGGAAAAAATACATGTACGCCTCCCTGCACTGCTTTGAGAGTGAGACAGTTTGCTTATTAAAAGAGCTGGCAACAGTCACTCATTTTGACTATTTGTTGCTATCCACCTAAGTGTTTCTATCATGATGCTGTGAGAATTTCTAGAAAGGCAATGCAACGGACGTAAAGAAAGTTTCGTTCTTAAATAAAGTAGCAAAAGGAAGAGAAGCTTCACTCGTGTATGATAGGGATTTTGCTTGCGTTGAAGTTCTCTTGAAAGGGAGCCTCTCACGCAGTCGCTAGAGCCCTCTGGCTGCGTCGAGGAAGTCGGCTTGAGAGTTGACCCCTCGCGCATTGACGTTTAGAGTTGATACGGTATTATCAGTCAGTTTGGCACAGCTTTGCGGGTACACTCGTCCGCACGAATCCCCAAGCTGAGGTGGACTCCCTGAAGGTATCACTTCTTCTCGTACATATCACTTCTTCTCGTGCAGGGAAGTTTGAACAAAAAGAGGCCGGGTTTTGATTCATTTTCGCATTTACTCTGCAGTTTGAAGCTGTACGTAGAATACACATGCATTTGCTGTGCAGATTGAAAGCGCTTTGTCGCATATGTAAAGAGTAGGGAATGAAATACACCATGCATTTTTTGCTGTCCAGATCCATTGACAGTGCTTTGTTGCGTTTGTAAAAAGCACACTAACGCTTGAGTGCAGACGTTGAAAAGTGCTTCGCGCTGTGAAATGGAATAGGGGAGGAGTACAAGCAAGCAAGTCGTGTGGTAAAGTAAGTCATCATTGATTTCTTTCCAGTACGACTCACTTACACTTGAGCACGCGTAGACACCAGGTGCCCCGTTTCTGGGGTACCCAGGAGCCGCATCCTCCCTCGCTGGGCATAAGCGGATCCGTCCGCAAGGGTCTCTTCTCGACGAACTTAATTACAATACAAGATTAGACATGTAGCAGTAGCCACTGAGACACATCGGAAAACTTATGATTTGTCATCCGCTCACTCACGCGCACCATTACGGACACCGCTCACTGTGACATCGCAGTAGTTTTTTTACTTCGTAGCGCCGGCTCTGTAGCTTTGATTTGACCTGCAGTTCTGAACTTCTCTATTTGAGGATAACAAATACAGCCCGTGCTGTGGAAGAACGAAACGTCAGAGCAAAGCGCAGAACCTGCATAGGAATATACGGTCATTTTGTTTTTTTTTTCGCGTGTGAAGCTGCATCTGAAGATGCACGCTTTTGGAGCGGGTGCTGAAGGATGAATATCTGCGGTTTTTTGCAAATAGAATCGTGCTGATGTTTCCGACGTCGCATCAGATGGAGTCGTGATTATTTTCATTTCTTGAAGAATCACGAGACTGAAGTATCAGGCTGATACTACAGCTTTTTGACTTGTTCTATCTAAGCATCAGAGGATGTTGAGTGGAACATGATCATGAACTGGATGTTGCTTGATGTGTCTGGAAACTAACTCTCAAAGGAAATGAAAACTGGAAAAAAAAAACGCATAGCCGAGTTTGTTTATTCCGGAGAGTCAAGAGCTACTGGTATTCCTTCGTCGACCATCTAGCCGATTGTGTTCCTTGGTGTGGGAGTAAGTCCTTGCCGCAGGAGTCGTGAAGAGGACGGCATCTTCCTCATCGAATTAAAGAAGAAGGCATACAACCTACCGTGGCTTTTGCTACATGTGATTTCCGATCTGCAACCACTTTTCGATCTAGCGACGCACGCATGCTTACTTGGCGAGGTCTTGATGTCATGGATCTGAATTCACGATAAGAAGTAGCGTATGTGACCGGCGCATCATGGAGGATTATACGTCTGTTCACGATCATTATTTTTATCAGCCTCAGCGGCCTTTTTTGTCCATTTTTGTGTTGGATTCGGCGTCGCTCTGGCCGGGCTGCTTCTAAACTTCCCTGCGGTGTCTGTTTCTACGACTTTCGCAGAAGGGGGCATAAAGGTCATCTCTCTGAATTGACGTCAACCGCGCATATGCACAGCGATAGCGATATACACCACACGATTGTCGCCATGCCGCGTTTGGAAGTCACCGCTTTTATTTCGTAATTCGAATAAATTCTCTACGTAAAATTTTCGCTAGCTTAAATTTATTTCTCAGTCACGCAGAGAAGTACATTGCTTGGTATTGAAATAGATTGATTTGTTTTCCAGATTTAATGACGTACTGTCGGTAGTTATCAATAGAATTTTTTATCTTGTTGTTGATAAGAAGGCCATTTTTCTCGTTCTTTGATATCATATATTATAATCCGGTGACTTTTTTGAACCCCACAATCATCCGGGAGCAGGGCTACACTGCGAAAATGATCGCTTTGCGGGTGAGACCTTCGAAGCTTCTGACCGCTACCGGGGCACTGCTGGGAAAAGCAATTTTCGGAAGCAGTATTTGGGCAGTTTCCTCCTCTCTAGGAAGGTCGGTTGTGGGGGCAAAGTCTCCCTCCAAGAGGGGACGGCCAGCACGCACTTTGTTAGCAGGAGGACGGGCGGCGCCGCAACAGCAACTTGCGGGTGCGGAGGTGGCGGACGTTGTACCAGAAAAGCAAGCGACCTCGACGAAGATTGAGCGTGCCACCGAGAGAGACGATGGTGAGTATCTCCAGAGCCGCACTGCAGTTGCAAGCAGTGGCCGATCGTCTAGGAATGACACAGGCACTACGACCGCCTGGTGCGACACTTGTCCCACCGGAACCAGTGCCCGTACTTTTGAGATGTCATCTCCCGCTGACGAGGGCCGGAACTGTGGCGCGACTACCCTAAGATCGCAACATACGCCCGACGACACAACGGCCCACACGCAGACGAGTTCAAGCCAAATTGTTCAAGAAAGCGAAGTGCGGCAGGCAGGATCATCTTCTGGTCCTGCAACAGTGGCGAACTACTCTGGACAAGATGGCGCGCGCCGAATAATTTCCTTTCGACGAATCGATCACGACGGGAGCACTTCTTTCTATGTCAGTGACAATAATGAATCAGTGCAAAGTGACTGCTATCTGCAGCCTGGGGAAGAGCAGATTGATTCCTTCCTGCCAGGCGGCAAATATTTCGAATATTTCACGGACAAAAACCGCGTAAACCGACTGCCCGGATGGACCCCCGTGCGCTGGCTGGACGCCTGGAAGCAAGAGGCTAGTTTTGTTCCGATCGTGTTGTACTACGATTTTACCATAACCGAAACTCCTTCGTGTTCTCGCGCTCCCCGAACGCAAGAAGAACAAGCACTGCAGGCTGATGTGTCTGCAACCGGAGCTGCAAACACCAGTGCTCCAGTAGTCGGGGGACCGAACAACACTTTAGGTGGCGACGGCGAGCGGTTCGTCCTTGTTTGCCCGGATGGCGGGCCCCAAGTGGACGAAGAAGTGTTTACTTCTTGCGCCGGCGGGGAGTTTGTTGACTTGACCGCAAAGTATCATGGTGCGGCGAACATTACTAATGACCCGGGGAAAATCGGAAGTAAGAAAAAACTCTCGCCCACCTGCAGCTCGACGTCTTCGTACGCGCTCTCATCGACGGACACGGAGGGGCAACTCAAGATGGAGGATGTGACGGCACAGCTGGAGGCCCTGGACATTACAGGAGAAACACATCAAAGACTGTCGCGGGTAGTTCAGCCTCTGACCGCACAGGAAAAAGCGATTGCATTCTTGAAGGAAAAGACACTGGAAACCGGATACCGGTACCAATCCAGCGAAGACTTGGTACTGGAAACCATGAAACGGATATTCATTGCAAACGCGTCTGGGTCTGGAGGAAAGTGAGTAGCGCCCTCCTGTAACACACAATAGCTGTCGCATCACAACCAAGAAGGTCTTGCATGCATGTCAAAAAAATGAAAATTTAAATTATACTTTCGAAGGAAAGATGCTAACGTCACAAAGCAGATCCCATACCAGCAAAACAGCTTTCAGACCCAGTCCCAGACCTATGTTTGCACTGCATAATATCGTGGCTGCGACATTTTGATGGCGGAGCACATGCTGTTTCACGAATTTCCCTTCCACGATGTAGTCCAGAGCTACCGACTCATGAAGAAACTCGTCAGCGTAGCGCCGCGCCTGCTGCAATACGCAACGGCGGACGTCACCGCGGCGCATCCCGACCTGGTAACGCTCGCGGAAGGACGACTGCGGACACCGACAACCGGGACCGGTAGAAGAGTGAGAAATATTTTGCGCCCCGCAGGACGGCAGATGCTGATGCAAGCGCCGGCAGGGACACCGAGTGGGCTGAAATCGGTCCACAGGAGCATAGAGCCGGTTGCGCCGTGTGTTGCAAACGCGCTAGCCGACGAACGCGCCAGAGTTATTCCAGCGAGAGAGCACGTAGAGGCCGAGGCTGGTACTAAATTTTATGACTTCACCGTCAGTTTTTTGGAATGAGCTAGCGGGAACGAATTGGAGTTACTGTTACATAGTTAGTTGTTGTAGCTCGAAAACACATCATTCCACGACAAAAATCACAGTGGCAACACTACTTCATCCGGATGAACGGGTTGACTGGGATAATTTCCCCAGTCACGGAGACGACACGCCCCCGCACGGAAATGCAGCGCCGTTCCTGAATTTCCCATTGAGTCAACTTTCATCACAAAGAGTTAGATTCGCGGCGAGCGGAACTGGGTGTGGTGGTCTTGAGGAAAGCTAAATGAGACGCGAACAAGGCGTGCCCGGCTAGTCACGCGCCGACGTCGGATTGGATCCGTCGTCGACATGGTTTCATTTTGCTGCGCTGTTTCTGGGTCACTTCACTGCTGTCGACCGACCGGTCATAACTTTTTCGTCATTGTAAAGAAACGATTGAAAAAATTCTAATTCATATCTTTGATTATTCAGGCCCACTTAGGACAAACCTTTTTTTAGATACAGACTCTTTCTTCGCGACCAATTCCAGGCGCTGGCTGCAAAATTAGAGAAATTGATGTTTTCCAAAAGAATAGATCTATGAGATGTTTTGATTTGGTTGATAGTTCAAGTTACTTTTTGTGCTGTTTTAGTTTTTCAGTTTCTCTTTCTGCTCTTGCAACAAAGATACAGCTATTCATCTAGAAAGATACAGAGGCGAAGTGATCCGACTAAGTGCCATCTTCAATGGCCTTCCTTGTGCCGATGTCCACTTAAAAGTGGACCGCTCGATGCACCCGGAAGTTTGGTAACACAGCTGGTAAGGAATCGCAGCTGCATTGTGCAAGCAGAAAAAAGCAGTTCCACCTGAGGTGGGCGACTGTCAGCTTCTATCTAGGTAAACCGCCAGAACATGGTCCTCCGTTTTAGTTCCATTTCCAAAAATTGCAACTTCACCGACTACTTAATTTGATACTCCGGCGTCCACATTAAACCTTTCACTGTGTGTAGTACTACAATTCCGCTACATCAAACTTTTATACGCTAATTTCAGCCTTCTATACGACAACGACTCAGCGAGTGTCGTAGTACTTGTGTTGCCGGAGATAAAGAGGATCGGAACCGAAAAAACACCTTTTGAAATAATGCATCTTGGCAGCCCAACAGCATGTTGCGCGTAGGACTGTCGGGCTCTGCTTCCCAGTTGAACACCAAGCTGTCTGAGGCTTGGTGTCGTGGTGTTGAATGGGGAAGAAATTGTGTGCGATGATGAGTGTCTTCCGAAAAACAGTTTGTTGTGTAAGCGTCCGATATAATTATCCATGTCGACGCTGGAGCGTGAAGAGGAGCCGCGAGAGAGGGTTTTGCTATAGTGGAGCTCACCATGCGTATGCACTTTCTCAAAATAGCGAAGAATTCAGAGAGGCACCAACAGCAGACACGAGTTCACATCGAAGAAGCTGCCATTGCGCTAGTAAAAGAACGCGCGCTAAATTGTGGAGTTGTATGATTGGAAGACGCGCAGTTCTATTTTCGGTGCACGTACTACTAGTACTACAACTTCATTGATGGTTCGCGCAGCCGGATCCTGGGGACATTTTTTTCACCTCCTTGTCGTCTGGAAGTGCAGGCCAGTACCGATCTCGGACGTCACTGCGGTCGAGCTGCGGGATCGTCTTTCGCTCCACGAAGATGACGAGCAGAGTGCGCTTGCGGACAGGACGACAGGAAAAGAGGAGGCTTTGCAAACGGCCTCCAACGGGGAAGAGGAAACCGTTCTCGAACAGGAAGAGGAACTCATGCGTCGAGATGAAACCGCAAGCGGAAATTCCAACGCTCAACGAGAAAGCGTCCATCGTGCGGACTACATTAGGGCAGCACAGAAGGTGGATAAAAGAGATACAACAGCCGCGGACGTCGTCGAGAAAAAGCCAATTAAGGGGAATAACTTCTACACGCCGTCGTCTACACTGCCTTCCGCCCTTGATGCCGAGGACGGTTTCCTCCCCGACGAGGACGGCGCGGCCGGCGACACAACTACCGACATGTCTCTCTTCAACCTGGCGAGTGCTGCTGAGGCCGGGGACGAGGCGGACCAGAAAGCGGGACAGCGGTTGGAGTTCACAGATCTGTCCGAGTTCGACGGGTTATTTCTCGGCTGTTGGAACGACGAGCTCGCGAGCCCCGCCATGGAGCAGGGACAGATTATGGTTGACCCGCTCTGTGGCGACAATATGATACAGCGTTGTGCGCAGTACTGCAGCAACGAGGGCCCCTGTCCAGGCGCGCCGAACGGACCCTACAAGTTCTTCGCGGTGCAGGACGCACAAGAATGCCACTGCACGAACAGTCTCAAGAACGCCTTCCAGTACGGCTACGCGGGCCAATGCTCCGCATGTCCACCGTCGTCGGGAACAGGTTACGACCCCACGCCGCCGGAGCACTACAACTGCGGCAATTATTCAGCGAACGCCGTGTACCGCATCCCCTACCTTCGCGTGCCCCCCGCGAAGATAACCGCGACGCAATCGCAAGACTACGAAGAGCAGCTGCCGTCCGGCGTGAACGTGACGCTGAGCGGCGACAAGCCGCTGAAGTACGAAATTGGCGATGCCTCCGCGAACGTGACGGACTGCACCGCGACGACGGAGGGCAGTGCGACTCCCGGCTGGTGGCGCGCGCGGTTCATCGACGGCCCCCACAACATCGCGAAGATTAGTCTGTTTGATCTGGATTACAATAGCACCACCCCGCTGGGTGACCGCATCGGGAACGCCACCGTGTTGTTTGACGGGCAGAAGGTGACGAATGTGCTGGAGACACTGCCGCTAGACATTGAAAGTGGTGCCGAAAATGAACACGGGACGGAGGTCAGTCTGGCCGGCTTCGCTTTTTCGACTATCCAGTTTACAACATCGAGTGTGGACAATGTTTTGAGCTTCTGCGGAATACACTTCTTCGAGGCCACAGGTAAGGCAATTTTTTGTGCAGGCAGGAGGTTTTTACCTAAGCCAATAAGTTAGTTTTCTTCTGCGACAGAAATAGAGTAAGTACGACCAATTAGGCATTCGTTGTTCAACTTCAATCCTTTGACCACTCGCAGCAGTGCATGTCGCCCCAACTATAATTGAATCTATCATTCAGACGCGGAAAGCTATTCGTTCACGCGGTGCGAGCAGAACCAGCCCGACACGCTCTTTTTTGCCCCGACGGACGCGGGTCTCTCGTCGCAAGATCACTTCTACGTCGAAGGTCCGCTGGCGTGCAAGGTGGAGTGCGAGATCGACACGAACTGCGGTGCCTGGACGTTCGAACAAGAGAACATTACATCGGTCATGACGGCCTATGGCATCTGCGCGCACTGGACGCTTCTGGGCGCCGTCAATATCTCCACGAAGGCGAAGCCGCCGGAGGGGGACAAGGTCTGGACGTCGGGGAAGTGCTTCACGCAGAAAGCCACTCTGTACGAACTCCGTCAGCCCGTCGATGACACGGTGGTGGAAGCGTCCTGTACGGTGACGAAACCGACAACCAAGCTGTTCCAGCCGGCGCGAAACTTCACGACTCCCGGCGGTACCTATGCGTTTGGCGATTTGGTCTCGCTCTGCGCCGACAGCGATGCTTGCGAGGCGATCGCCGACCCGCAGTGCCGCTTTGCGAAGCATAGCGGGCACTCGAGCTTGATTGAAGGCACGCCGGCGCAACTGGCGGTTCGGTACCAACCTGCGGACAGCTGCAAAGCCGGGGTGCAAAAAGCCTGCGACGTGAACAATGGCATGCGCATGTGTGACAAGGCGGGCGTGGACAAGATGGGAAACACCGCCCCGACGGCGTCTGCGGGCGGCTGCTACTGGCTGAAGAAGATTGTGGACGAGTCGGTCGTGCGTTTCTTGGAAAAGGGTATTCTATTTGAAACTTGTCTACACCTGATACTGAAAGATGTGACGGCGTGGCTGATTTTTTCTTCTTGCCCACGTCGTTGCCATTGATACTGTTAAGGAGGCCCTCAGGATCAACAGCCGGACGCGAGTTTGCACTTCATTTTTGAGATGCATGTGCCACGAGACATGTTGTAGTGAAACGGATAGCCCATTCCTAAGTAAAAATTTGACCAAAAGTAGCTGCACTTTTCCACACCCTATAAATCAGCTGACTTCACCTACGTCTGCGTTTCCTACACGGGTTCCAAATCGGACAAGTGGTGCGAGACCAAAAGCGCGAACGCGTCTTCTGGCGTGAAATTTACCTACTCCAACATGTCGCAGCTGACCGGTGTGAACCAAGCCGAAGTGCAGGAAACGTGTCCCTGCGTGCAGCGCTTGGGCTACGATCCGACGGAGTACCAGTGGACTTACTACAGTTACGCGGAGAAGGACGAAGACAACGACTGGTGCAACGAGCAGCAATTAGCCGGACTGTCGCATTTGTACCAGCCGACGGCATCACTCAACGCCAAGGAAGCGTACCGCGACGGCGGTAAGCAAACCGTCGAGTACCTCCAACCCGGATCTTCCGGCAACCCGGGGTGTTTGTACCGCCTTCCCAAACCGGTACCGGACGCGATCTACACCTGTGCGCACTACCCCACCGGGCGCGACGGGCGGTGGTGCCAGAGAGAGCAGTTTAGTGGAGAGAGCACGATGCAGGGTCCGAACGTGGTGCTGTTTACACAGGGAGTCAACGGGCAATACCAATCGCTGCCCGCGGCGTTCCGGACCTGCCCCTGCCTGCAGAAGCTGTCGTACCAGCCGAAGGACTTCGTGTGGGAGCCCTACTTGTATGTTCACGCGTACGGCGTGAACGGCACCTACGTGCACGAAGACGATGATTGGTGCAAATACGAGCAACTGCAGAACCCCGCGTTTCTGTTTACTGACGGAAAGACGCACGACGTGCTGCTCGGGACGAACGGAACGTCCTTGGAGAAGATGAAGGTCAAAACGAAATGTCTGCGGAGGAAAGGTATCGGAGTAAGATGAGTCTGATGTTCAACGTAGGCCTTGACTTTTTGTTCGCTTGATTCCTCATGCTACGATTTCTAGTTCCACGAATTCTGTACGTTTAGTTCGTTTTGGTCTTACACATAGTACAGCAGTTATGGCGCCTTCTATGCCGTCTAGTGATTCATCTTCTATGAATAAAATTAGATCACATGGCCTGGATCGGTCCGAGTCTTGGTCGCTGCTTGAAACCTGACCAAACGGAAGATCTCACCGGCCAGAAACTCACCTCGCACACCGTGGCCAATGGGATGCCGTACGCAATTTACGGTTTGGAAACGACCCTGATGTCCTGTCTCTCCGACGATCAGTGTTGCTTCGTGCGTTGGTCGGTTGCTGGGGATTTGAAGGATCTGAGCTACGACTCAAGGGCGTATCCAGAAAGCAGAGAGTCCACCTGCGACATGACCTCCAGCCCCGCTACCGGAAACGCTGTATCCCCTATAAAAATCGCTACGAGCATGCACTTCATGTGTCAGTGCGAAATACTAGAGAAGGTGGCGCGCAAAAGACGAGATATGTTAAAAGAGAAGCTGCAGCACAGCTGAGCTGTGGCTGACCTACACCTATACTAGCATGCTTTCTCTAGTAGTCATGCAAGGAATAGCTTCTTGCAGCACAGCAATGAAAAAGAAAGATGCTCAAGAAATAAGATGAAAATGCTCAAAAGCTTTTTGTAGAGGATAGGTTGCGCTGGCGGAGACGTTTGTGAAGGCAAGCTGCAACAGCATGCGAAAGCCGCCACTGTATCCGCCTTTACCGTTGAACATCACCGCCCCGCGAGGGACCGAGTGGCGGTACCTCGCCACGCGGTGCTATGTCCCCTTTCCTCTGTCAAAACCCTGCTCGCTGACAGTGAATTCCGTCCCGATCGATGACTACATCCAATCGGTGCGGGGCGCGAACAAGATGCTGGACGAGGGAGTTGATTCTTCGCAACTGGATGAGGACCTGGCGCAGATGGCCAACGCTTCCGGCATTGCGCTCGAAAAAATTGTCAAGCACGGCGGGTTATCAAATGTAAAAATGTCTGGGTCTGGAAGAGTGGGAGGCTTGTCGTGCTTGTCTGGCATGACCCATGATGCTTGTAATGCATGACCCAGCATCACAGATTTTTGGAAAGCTTCCTGATGCCATTTCCGCATGACAAATGCCCTCCTCGCGGAGCACAAATGTGGCTCGTCTTGCTTGTCATGCAATACAGATTTTTTTAGAGTCCAAAGTTAGCATCACAAGTTCCAACTTTCCAAACCCAGACATTTTTGCATTTGATACGGGTTCGACTACACGGTAGGCGGGTTGTACGACAGCAACACATATCAAATGTAAAAATGTCTGGGTCTGGAAGATTGCAACTTGTGATGCGCATTTCAGAACACAGAAAAATCTTTCATGCAGAGGCAGCAAAAGTTCCCACTTTCTGTCACCAAAGTCAGGTATTTGTCATGCGGATTCGGCATTGCGGAGGCTTCTCGAAGCCTGTGATGCTAGAGCTTCCATGCCAGGCCTTCTGTGTCATGCAGAAACAGCATGACTCTTCCAGACCCAGACATTTTTACATTTGATAACACAACCCAAGACGTCGGCGACAACCTGTGCGGAAACCTCGAAGCTGCGGGGCTGGGGATCGGGCTCACGCCGCGGGTGGCAAAGAACTTCACGGCGCTTTCCACCGTTTTCTCCGATTGCGCCTCCTACTGCAGAGCCGATCTCGGGATGGAAGTGACGCGGTTCCCGATCCCCGCGGCTGGGACGACCAGTATCGTCTACCAGTGCTCCTGCTGGGCGAGTATTCCGGAGCTGCTGCGACGCCGGTACTTTTTGGAAGTCCACTCGGAGGAAACTTGCAATTACACAGTCGCGGACAACAACAAAACGCAGCCCTGGTCGTACCTCTTCACCAACACGGATCCGGATACCAGTGGCTACGTCACGCTGGCAAATAAGCGGGAAGTCCTCGAGCGGGAAGGGGACGCAGGAACAGGAAGTGCAAAAGAAGTAGAACAAAAACCTAAGCCACATGCAGGGGTTCAGCTGCTTGAAACATCTTCACGAGAAGTTGAATATGGGGCCCGCGGTACAAGAAAAGAGGCAGTCCACGAGGCTGAGGAGAAGCAAAGGCAACCAGTGGCAAGGGATAGTGTAGTAAAGCAAAGTACCGTGCCGGAAGGGAGAAAAAAGAAGGAATACAAACGGACGGCGAGTGCAACTACCCCATCTGCAAGCAACGTACAGCTCTTGGAAATGCAAAAGCGAAAGAAGACAAAAGTCGGCCAAGCGCCGAAAATAAGGAGCTCCAAGACCAGGTAGCGAAGGCAGGAGGCCCCATCGCACGGACAGTTGGACGGGGGCAGAGCTAAAAACGATTGCGAGGGGTGAACTCGCGATGCCACCTGGCGTCCTGTAAGATCTTGCACTCGTTTCTTAGTGCTTCCGTTTCCTAGAAAACAGCTGGCGCTTATTATTCAAGAGGCAGCTGCGGCTGTTATTTTTCTGTAGAATCATGATCTAGATGAAAGAACAACTTCGCTCGAGAAACTTTGGAGGTTTTGTTCATAGGAAAGTGGCGTGGTCATCATCCTATTTTTCTAACACGGATCCCGTAAAGGTAAAAATCCTTTTTTTTTGCGTTGTGCATTGATTTTTCTGCATAGCGTTGTATGTGTTTACGATCAGGATCAGGATCACTGTGGCAGCAGGGGCATGCGATCAGAGGACAACTTTAGAAAGGCCATGCTTTGCAGGGCAGACTCGTTTGAATCCAACAAGATCCGCTACGTGTCACGCCCCCAACTCATTTAAGAACGCACGACCTGATTTTGCATTTGTAGATAAGAAATTACCCAAAGCACCACGACTGCACGCTGCGGACTTCGAGAAAAAACAGATCAAGAATGAGTGTAGCCTCCGCTACGTCGTCGGGGGAGGCAGCAAGTCCCTCGTCCGCTAAAGGCGAAAGCAAGGAGCAAAGTACCACAGTGGCGATTTTGCGGGCCATTGTAGGCATTGGAGTGCTCGGGTGCATTGGGTGCGGTGTGATATTCGGAAGACAATACCTCAGTTTCTCGTACTTGGCCGACAATCACCGAAGGCTCGAGGAGTTGGTACTGAAGTTCTGACTTTATCCTTTTTTGAAACTCTAGAAGACTCGTGTTTTTTCGGACCGCGAACTCACAACCCAGCGTGCTTGTTCTACTCTTCGGGTTCGATGATCTGGTTCTGCAAGTCGAATAAAAGATCATAGAAAATATGCCAAGCTGTAATTTTTCCCCGCTCGTCTTCAGGTCGAGGCCAATTTTTTCGAAGCAGGGTGCGCTTACATTAGCTGCATGACCTTCCTGATTGGGTTGACCATGCCGGGCGCCACCGTGCTCAGCTTCGCCGGCGGCGTACTCTTTCCCCAGCCCTACGCAGCGGCCTTCGCTTACACCGGGTACGTGCTCGGGGCGATGCTGAGTTTCTCGCTCGTGACCTTCGTGCTCGCCGACACGTGCCGCAAGCGGTTGGAGCCGTTTTCGAAGTTCCGCGCGTTCCAGAAGAACGTGCGGAAAAACGCGTTGCTGTACCTGGTCTTGGCTCGGTACACGTTCGTGTTTCCCTTCTGGTTCGTTAACAGTTGTAGTGCGGTCCTCGGCGTGTCTTTTAAGACGTTTGTGCTGGCGACAAATTTGAGCGTCATACCGGGCAGCATCGTCTACACCAGTGCGGGACGCAGTTTGGGAAACCTGCTTGCGGCCGGGCAGAGGGAGACCGACCCCAAGGCGTTGCTGTGGAGCGCTTTGTCGGACCCAAATGTGCAGTGGTGCCTGGGCGGGGTCACGGCGTGCTTGATGTTCGCGATAGTGGCGAGCCGCATGGCCGACTCTGGAGAAGAGCACGACGAGACTGCTGCGGTCGATACTGCGCAGCAGGGTGCGAGGAAAAGTAGGAAGTCCACAGACAGCACTGCGAAAAATGCGAACGAAGCGGAAGCAGGAGAAAACAGCAAGAAGACAAAATGAAAAGAATACAACTTAAGTTATGGATGAACCAATTACACAGCAGGAGCGCAAAACCGTGTCGCAAAAATTTTGCCACTTTTACGTCTGCCAATGACATGATTGATTCCGTCACGAGTGGAATTGTTGTTCTTTATCGTTTTGGTCTTGGAGTAGATCGCTCACATAAAATTGGACAGCTGAAGAAAACTTCCCTTACTTTTGGTTCTCTCCTCGAAGTTAGTAGATCACAGAGCTTGCACGACTCGATAGACGCAACATAAAGACCAAACGGTTATCAGAACGTGGAGCGCGGAAGACCTGGCGCAGACGTAAGTGCTATGATGGTGCGCTCCTTTCTTCTAATCGGTGTAGAGGAGTAGAAGTCGCACTTGCGTTGCTTGCAAGTTCTCTGGTGCTCCTGAGCAAAACATGAGTACTACGACTGGCGCTGCGCAGGCCTCATCCGGGGGCCGTTTCTACGGGAAGGAGGGGTTCCAGCCAAGACGCATCCTTCGGCAGATGATCACTTTGCAAACCGGTTGGTACTCCGTTTTCTTCGCCGTTGCTGGTGCTTCGAATTTGGCAGTAGGTATCGAATGGACGGGGGTGGCGAAGTTCTTCACCAGCACAGAATACAATTTCGATACAACGTCAGGCACAGTTCTCGTCTGCTCGCAGTGGGTTGCGTCGATCCTTTACGCTCCCTTTATCAGCTACATCGTGGAACGAGCGAAAAAGGTGCTGGATTTTACGGTGACCATTCAATTCTGGCACCTTCTTCTCTCCCTCTACTTCGGCTTTCCTGGCCTGAGTTGGTGGGGCGTGAGCTTGGTGGGCTGCGTTGTCGGGACTTTAATCGCAGAGGCGATCTGCATGCGGTGGGAGATGCAAGATATTGAGCTGAAATACTCGCCGGTAGCCACAACAACGACGAACGGAAATCACATAGGCGCCGAGATGCCGGACACGCCCGGGGGCAGTCACGCGCTGCCTAACGTTATTGGGGAGGAAAACATGCTTAATGACTTTGATTCCGACATGAGGGACATGCAGAAAAGAGAAAACGCAAGCAAGGTCTGACATTGCTTCTATCTTGGTGAACTATATGCCCAGCGGCATCGCGCGCACTTCAACTGTTGTAGATCTGATGAAGCGAGCTATTTGAATCTGGTCTCTGCCTGTGGTTTGAAGCAGCGGCAGTTGCGCTTCTGTGTCTCTGCTCGTGTGGTCGCAGCGTAACTCGGTGTGGGAGTAATTCTGAAGTGAAGAGGAATGATAGAAGCCTTAAGCATGCTATGTACAGATGGATGCCTATCGGAATTTCATCGTAAATCATCGTGTAGAAGAATCGCTTGATTCGTTTCTCGTTTCTTTCGCGGCTTGACAAGGCGTGATCGCTTGATTCGTCTTTCGTGAAGATTTTGAAAATAGTACGTCGTCTTTCGTTATCTCTGTGTAGAAACATGGAATTGATACCGTTTGAAATAGTACAGTACCGTTGCATTTCCTTCGTGTTTTTCTAGTACGGTTGTGCGAAATTAGATGTGTCACGATTTTGTGCGTGATCGCAGAGGATAGCGACTCTATCTCTACGGGTCCTTGCAGTACGTTTGGCATTTTTTGCCAGATCAACTTCTTTCGCTTCCGTTTCCTCAAAGTGTGAAACACCCTTACTTTCCAAAAGATGCTGCTGCGCACACTTTTGGATGATCTTGTCCGCGAGCTGTGGAACGCTAGTACCCACTCCGACTTTCCAGCCACGTCGTCCGCAGTAAAAGAAAAAGACCGGAATCATGCAGCAAAAGCCACGGCTTTTTTGACAAAGGAAGACCTGAAGGCGATTCGTTGCACGCAGAAATCCATTCCAAATTCCGTGTTGGCAAAACTGGAACGCGGGCGCGATTACGAGGAGGTGTTTACGCCGATCGATCCTCAAGCGCCCAAAGCCGCTGCTGAAAAAGTCGACGCCGCAATGCAGCGGTTGTTCGACAAGGGCCTGGCGGATCCGCTCGGCAAAAAGCACGGGCCCGTGGTGATGCTGAAGCAGTGGCTCGCGGAGCCGAAAAAGTGGCCGAACGAAATACAGAACAAAAAGAGGGGCATCGGTTTGCTGTTCCGGAAGAGCGCGCTGGCGCAAATTGCTTCGATGGGCGACGCCGAGGGTGGCGGCATGCAGTTGACCAAAAAGGCACGGGAGAGCAACTTCGGCCCCGCGACCCGGACGTACTACAACCTGCAGACCGCGGGGGAAACAAATTTGCCTGGCCTGCCCGCCGAGGACGACGACACGGATTGCGTCTGCGACGATTTGGAGCAGTGGAGCTGCAAGCAGAAACTGGCGGAGGTGTTCGGGCTCGGCAACCGGCCCGCGCCCTGTGCGCTGCAGATTAAGCAAGGGAAGCCCTGTCCGACCAAAGCCGGCTGCAAGCTGGTGGACGAGAACGGGCAGATGGGCTGCGTGCAGGATTGCGAGAAGTTCTCCAGTATCAAAAGTAAAAATGTCTGGGTCTGGAAACTTGTTATGTTGAAAATGAATGATAGACGCACTGCAATACGCAGCTGTGCATGACAAATTTCTTGGCTGCCATGTATTACGTATTCCGCATGGCAAACTGCGTTTTTCACTGTCCACGGGTGGTGTTGCGGGTTAGCCTGGCGAAAGCCAAAAACCGGCAGAAAATGGGGCCACGGAAGCGCTCTTGCTGGACATTACCAACATTTGCCCACGCAGAGCCGTCCTCTTGCCGGACACAACCAACATCTGTCCGAAACAGCCTAGGGCCAAGACGACACCGTGAGGACGACCACAGGGGGTCCGTCTCAATGATGATGATGATGACAGGTAAGAGGGCTTTTTCGTGCCTATGCAACACAGATTCCCGAGTCATGCCAGACAAGCATGACAAACTTGCATTCTTCCAGACCCAGACATTTTTACATTTGATATCCAGCCAACAGGAGTGCGACCACGCCTCGGACGAGGTGTCGCCACCCGTATCAAATGTAAAAATGTCTGGGTCTGGAAGATTGCAACTTGTCATGCTAAATCTGCAGCATGCAAAAATCTGCGTTGCATGATTACCAAAAGTCGTCCAGTTTTGACCAAGTCGGAAGGTAGTTTGTCATGCAGGATAGGCATTAGAAAGGCCTCGCAGAATCTGTCATGCTAGGTCCTGCATTCCAGACCTCATGGGTCATGGAAAAGCAGCGTGACAAATCGCGCATTCTTCCAGACCCAGACATTTTTGCATTTGATAACCCGTGAAGGTGTGCAAGTGGTACGACACCAAGGGGGGCCACTGCGGCCCGGATAACGAGAAGTACGACGCGAAGATCCAGGCGGAGCTGGCCGCGAAGAAAGCGGCCCAGAAAGCCCAGGAAGGCGAGGACGAGAAGACCGCGGATGAGGAGAAAGCGTCCGGAGACAGCGAGGAGGGGGACGGGGAGAAAACTGCGGATGCAAACGACGAGGACAAGGCCGAAGAAGCGAAGGAGGCGGAGATCAAAAAGGAGGAGGACAAAGCGGACAAGGAAGGCAGCGGCGAAGAGGACACAACTAGCATGGTTGCGGAAGATGACAAGGAAAACGGTGGTGACGAAAAGGCAGCCGAAGACGCCGAGAAAGAGAAGGAAGCTGATGCAGAAGCGAAAGAAGACGCAGCGGACGAAGCCGCAGAATCGGGTTCCAACGCTGAGGGTGCCGAAGGCGGGGACGAGGGTGAAGAAGGAAAGGAGGAGTCAAAAAAGGAAGAGTAAACGTAAAGGAGTAATTTAGGACAGGGAGGACAAGCCTCGTCTCTCTTGTGAAGAAGACATCAATGTCGATTTTGTCGTACAAGTACTAGAGTGCTGAATGATGGTACTGATGTCTGTGCCGTAGTTGAGTAAGCAAAGTAGAACTTATCATGCGTTCTTGTGGTGGTGCTAGTGCTCCTGGTACGGGAGACCCTCGCCCCGCAAGTGCTGCCCCCTTGCTTTGTGGCAGAAAACCAGCGTGCTCGTCTGCGGTGTCAATAGTCGTCGGTTGTGGTTGACCAGAAGTCAACATCGCAGTTCCAGGGTCGTCTTCGTAATCGTATCGAGCAGGGCATCAAGAAAGATTCGATTTTTTGTATAAGTACATGCATTGGGAACAAGGCCTTGGCCTGCTTCCTGCTTGGTAGCACGTCCGTGAGACTCAAATCAATGAATTTGTCAGGGCAATCGTGATCGTCGCGTGAGCGTTCTCGCCGGTCGGGGCACTGTATCTGAGTGTCGAGTGGGTACAATTGGGATGTGCTAAATTATGAATTATGAATACTCCATAGTCAATGTCAAATGTATGATCTGTTGTTTCATACCTACATTCGTACTAACTTTGATAAACACCAAGGTCAGTTTGAGTGTTGAACGTACGTTGGCTGCGTTCCTGGTATTTGAAATTCTATGGTATCCTCCGCCTTCGTGTCATTCAATTTCCAACGCTGACAGAATTCCGTCGCGCGCTGCCCATTCGCAGTTTTGCCGTCACTAGGTTTTTTTTGTTTCCGTCGTCGATGGGCAATTCCTCCCGTAGCGTGACGCGGCTGCTCATCTGCATCTCGATTGCCAGGGTCGCTGTCCGAGATCGTCTGGGCAATGTCGGAAGCGGTGGGGAGACTCCCCACACGACCGGGGAGGAGGAACCTGCGGACCAGGACCCGCTGATGTTCACCGAAGTCGGCGCGCATGCTACGTATACGTTCGTCGAACTTTGGCCAACGTCCACACCAGTGGGGATGAAAGAGTTGCCGCGACAACCTGGGCGTTTCACACGACAACCTGGGCGCATATCGGAGCACCGTGGTCTGATAAAGTGGTGCCAGAACAAGGGCTTTTTCTGCTTTCCAAAAGTATGGGAGGCGCACTTGATGGTCGGAGATTTCCTTGCATGCAAGTGCTCCCCCTCTCCCTGGGAGGAGAAAGCTGCTCCTGGGAAGACATCGGCGATGTTCAATTTCACATCTTTCTACGTGCCGTGGAATTCGCCGGCGGCGATAATCAAACGCCGAGAGAAGGATCAAAGAAGGCACGAAGAGCACCTCCCTACCGAAGCAAACTCAGGCCCCTCCTCGTGGTTTGACCGGATCTTGACAACCTTCAGCCCGCTTAGCACGAGCGTAGAAGAGAAAAAGTTGGTGCAGCACTTAGGAGAAAGCGCGCTCCTAGATCGCTCTCTCCGCGGTAGCGCAGACTTCGCTTTCGGCGACGCGCCACTGCTTCCGGGCGCTGGAGTGGAGCCCTTGGATGCCGCACATGATCTGAAAGCCGTGCGGGTAGACGGCGGAAGAACAGGGCAGCGGGGGCGCTGGGAAAGCGTGTCGAATGCGGATCCGTTTCTAATTCACTTCACCGCTGAAATAGAGAGAAGAATACCGCCGCAGTACGAGGAAAAGCTCGGGTGCGACCACGCGAACGGTGTGGGTCTTGCGTACCTGCAGCACCCTCAACAAGTGTGCGACAGTGACGGTTTTTGCTACTGTCACGAGCTCCAACCCTGGCTGCCGATCGACGTTGACCGATTTGTCCTTCGCATGCCCGTGTTGCTCGACAATTGGTGCTGGGGTACGTGCTTCGATTTCGTTTACGACAAAATCAATGCTGACGTGGACAAGCAGGAAGTTGCGGGCTCGGCACCGACAGCACAGGGACTTTTTGCAAAGTTCATGCGAGTGTATGACGCAATGCGCACTTCAGTCGTAAGATACGCAGAAAAGGTGGACGATCCGTGCTCCGTCGTGAAGATGGATTTTGTGGCCGAACCACGTAGCTGAGGAAAAGCTGCAATAAAGGGAGCAAGTCGATCATGTGTCCTTCAACCCGCAGCTACCATTGTACTAGGGACGGTTGCTTCTCATCATCGATCTTAAATTTGTCTGCTAGTATAGCAACGACAAGAACGTCATCAATGTTGGGAATCGTTTGAACGCATCACAATGTCGAGATATCGAATTGCGTACTTACACTTGTCGCTAGATACGTACAATGAATACGACCACTCGTGTTCTGCACGTTGAGATGAAAGTACAGAAAACCAAAAACAATTTTGTCTGGTCAGTCGCACTCCGATGATGTCATTGATTTCTGTATCATCGTGGTTCTCCAGTAAACGATATGATGTACGGCGTACACATGTTTGCATAAAAAGAAAAAAAGCGGTCGCTAGTTGGTGTGCTACTTATGCGCTCGTGTGGTCTTGTGACATGTCCTGATCTTGAGTTTCGCTGTCGTGATTCAGAAGTTGTAGTGCAGCTGTGTGCGGTATTTTATGAAAAAGACAGACGAGCTCGAGGTCCTTCTCGATGTTGATAGATGCTGACGCAGGATCACCGACGATCGATTTTCCACGGGTGGTAAATATTGTTATCGCGGGTCTGAATATTATGGTTCAAAGCTTGTGGGGATGACAATGGTGGATTGAAGCTGAATGTCCCCTGAGGAATAGAGCGAGCTGTTACTGTTAGTTTATCACAACATCGTGCTTCGATAAACAAGGTGAAAGTCTTAGTTGTAATATTCGGCACAAGTTTTAGTTTAGTATTAGTTCTCGTTTTTCGCTACATAGTGCAGCAATGCCCTCTGCAGCAAATTTTGAGTTTTCTCTTTTTCTGACTAGCTTTCCCGTGAGCTTGATTTGAGTTTGACTTCAGCGGCAGCAGCCAGCCCTTCCATTCAAAAAGTTGTCCTGCCCGTAAGTGCCAAGCATGTCCTCCAGTGCGGCCGGGGGGCGGCGCGGCAAAGGACCCGGTCGCTCGAAGTACGGCAAGACTTGGTGGGGCGGGAAGTTCTTAGATGCCTTCAACGGCATCGACGAGACGAACCGCTTACCTCGGGGCGTGACGTACGCGAACAACGGTTCCTGTGCCGGTATCAAACTGGAAAAAAACGAGGTGCGGGCCAGTGTGCAAGGCAGCGACCCCACGCCGTACCAGGTGCGGATTCAGTTTGCGGACTTTAGCCAGGAGAAACAGAAAATCCAGAGCGTGATACAACAAAAGGGACCCGTCGTGCTGAGCAAGCTGTTGAACCGGGAGCTGCCAGAAAGCATCCTGGACGATTTGGAGCGCGCCAGACTGCCAATATTCCCGTCCTCGTGGCGCCACGTCACGGCGAGGTGCAGCTGCCCGGACCGGGCTGTGCCCTGCAAGCACATAGCGGCCGTCATTTTCCTGACCGCGGGCGAGATCGACAAAAACCCGTTTCTAGTCTTCAAGATCCACGGCCTCGACATCCAGAATGAGGTGCTTGCAAAGCTAGGGGGTGGAGGGAACGTTCCTGGAGGTGCGGCTGCGAGCAGCAGCGCCGCGACCGGAGGTGCCAGCACTGATGCGGCGGAAGGGAAGAAAAGCCGAAAGAAGGGCGCGACGGGGAAGCACGGGGGCGACAAAAACTCGTCCAAAAGCTCCGTAATATCTTCCGCTCAGGAGCAACAAACCAACACTGCGCTTAGTGCCGGCGGGTTAAGCATCGGCGAAATTCCAGTTTTCTCCGAGTTGGTGTGTGCTCCGGTGAACGACGTTGAACTTGTCGAGCCGGACGAGACGGCACAGATGAGTACTTCTAGCAATAGCACGACTCCCATTGTTCCGAAGAACTTGGTGGATTTTACGAAGTTGACCAACTTGTCGACGCAAATCCAGGACATCCTCAAGAAAGAGCCGCCGTTTTTCCCGAATGCAGACTTTACGCAGCTGCTTGGCGCCGCATACAAGCACTGGGCCAAGATTTACGGGGGCTCCTCCGCGAATGCACCGGCTCGCCGGGTGCCGGAGCCGCACGGGACGGCAATGACCCGGCAGCCATCGGGTACAGCCACGTCGTCACGTGGCCGTAATGCCAAAAAGAATCGCGCGGACGCGTGGAACTTGCAGCAAGACGGTGAAGGTCGTGATGTCGGGGGCCCTTCAGAAGGAGACAACATCACCAGCTCGGATGATCATATCGAGCAACTGCAGTCCACCGCGAAAGCTGAACTCATGAAGCAGCTGCGCAAATTCGAGCGTGTACAGCTGCGACTGGATGCCGTGGGCGACTTCGATTCGTTCGAAGAAGAGCAGAGCGAGGAAATGCAACGGCAAAATACTACAACTTCATCAAGCAACCGCGTCGCGGCACAGCAGGGTAACCGCCTGACGCTCGACGCGGTGCCTTTCTCTTCAAGCTCCGACGGCGATGGAGTGTCAGCGCAAGGCGTGACGGAAGTGCCCGAGGACCTTGAAGACTTGCAGGCCTTTCGGGAGGAAGTCGCAGAAATAGAAGAAGGAGATGGTGAGGCGCAGAAGATGCTGTCAATCAGTCAACTGTTCGGGAATACGTCGAGTTTGCCACCGCAGAACCAAAATAGCACCGGCCAGCATAGGAAGTCCAAATCGAAGCAGGAGGCAGACAAGCAGGCTTCGCAGGTTCCCAAGTCGAGGATTTTGGAGATGCTCCTGGACTTCCTCGAGTTCGATTGCAGTTCCGAAGACCTCGGGAGTTTTAGTTACGATTTGCAGTTTCTCGCACTTTTGCTCCGCTACGTGGACGTACTAGTCAAGAACAGCGCGATAATACCGCAGATTTGTCGGAGAGACCGCAGAGGAGACGAGTACGTGTTCGTGCGGTGGGTTCCGGCTTTGATCAACTCCGACACGAAAGACGTTCATCAGGCACTGGTTGACGCGTGTCCTCGGGCGTTGGTAAAGTTCTCTCCTGGCGTCTCATCCGCCGCGGAGAAGCTGCTCGGCGTGAGCACCACTGATCGCCTGCTAACTGCACGCGAGCAAGTTACCTCACTCGTTTCCTTGATCGTCAAGCGGACTCTGCTTGCCCGGGCGACAAATATTATGGGAAGCTCACATGCTTTTGGAGCAAAAGATCACGACCAGCTCCAGTGGTATGCAGCACGTCACCTTGCGACTGCTTCCTGGGCGCAGAAGCACGCACTGAAGGACAAGGCCAGGGTTGTGCCGCTCGTTTTCGAGTTTCAAGAGCCGACCAATATGTACGGAAACGCAAAAGCCGCAAACTACTTCGAAATGAAGGAAATCCCGATGAGCATTCACGTTTGGCTCAGCCGCCTTTTCTTCACTGATAAGGACTACAGATTGCGGTTGCTTGTGAAACAGAAGCCCCGACCCTTCACCGGTCGCGCGGGCGCGGCGCAACGGAACACGACCCCTGCAGCTGGAACCACCTCGATGTCACCTGGCATCGCTACCGATAGTAAGCAACAATTGGAAATCGAGGACACCTTCGCGTTAGCAGTGGAAGTCGAGCTGCTGAAGGAAGAGAAGAAAGTCTACGCTTTGGGGAAGTACCTTACCCTAGACCATCCTCGCACCATGGACGTTGTGGCCACTCTGAATCTCCTCTCTGACCGCATTCCGGGCTTTGAAAAGGCCATTTCGAAGCTCGGTGGCAAGTCCTACGAGAAGACGCAGACCATTCGTCTGTCGCAGGAGAGGGAGCGCGAACTTGCACAGCTTGCTCGCACCGACCCGGATCTCGCAGCGGCCATGCGCAGTTCGTTGGAAGACCAAGCGAAAGAAGCTTTGTTGAAAAAAACCGATATCGCAGACGAAGACGACGGATCAATCGCGAACCGGCCGGAATTCGATTTGCTGAACTTTCACTATTCGCAACTCGGCGACATCTTCCTGCATGTCTTCCCGCTGCTGGAGTCCCTGGGCGTGAAAATCATTCTACCGAAGAAACTCAAGAAACGTGAGAAGCCGCGGCTCCGTATGCGCGTCGCTGACAATGACGGCAGTACAACGACGGCTGCCGACGCCGGCGCCTCTAGCCGCACCCCGGGGTTCGCAACCATGTCCGACAATTTGAGCTTCAACTGGACGGTCGCGATTGGGGACAAGGATGTTTCCATTGAGGAGTTTGAGAAGATGGTGGAAAAGCAGAACGGGCTGGTGAAGTTTAACGACCAGTTTCTGATGATCGATCCCGCGGAGATGAAGCAGCTGTTCCAGAGAGCGAAGCAGGTGCAGAAGGACAAAAAGAAACTTAGCAACTTCGAAGTTGCCCAGGCGGCGTTGGGTTGTCCGCACGTCTTGGGCAAAGACGTCGAGTGTCTCGTGGACGACAAAGTGGCGCAACTTGTGCAGCAGAAGCTGTCTTTCGACGGTCACGGCGCGGACGCGAGAAGCGTGCGGTTCCCGCTGTACGCCCGGCCGGTTGTCGAGAAGTGCATTTTGAAAGTCGGGGAGGAACTGGAAGGCAAGATCTACCCGGAATTGCTCGAAGTGGCCTGTCTGCACGACGGCCAGACGTTTGACGCGGAGCGCGAGATGAACGGCATCCAGCGCTCGGAGCATCAGACTCCCGTCGTGAAACTGCTCGTTTCCACTTCAAACAAGCGACAGCACTTCGCGAAACTCAAGTTCGGAGCACCGACGGAAAAAAAGGCAAGCGCTCAACAAGAAGAAGCCGCCGCTCCGGCAGGCCGCGCAGCGACTTCTTCGCAATATTACAACTCCGTCGGGTCGTTGCAATCTACTTTGAAGGCTGGTGGCAGCGGCCAACCAGGTTTGATGCACCGCACGTTATCTGACACGGGTACCTCGTCCTTGTTGCTCAACGTCTGCTTCAAGGACATGTGGAGACATGGCAGCGTGCAGGAAAGCGAAAAATATGTCGACAACCCGTTCACGCGTGGTCCAATCAGCAAACGCCACCCACCCCGACTGAACGCGAAAGTGCAGGGCTTCATTGATGCGCTGCAGCTACTGCTGACTGGACGAGGACAAAGCGCCCCTGCTGGGGTGCCGCAGGGTCTTGGCGGTCTGTTTCCTGGCGGCGCGCCCCAAGTAAAGGAACTCGAGACCGCCCGCGAACTACCCACTTCCTTCGAAAAATTTTCCGATGACGAGCTGAGCGAAGTGTTTCACCGGCTGAAGGTCGCAGCGCGGCCAGTGCTTGCAGCGCAAGAAGTCAACGTGTTGTTCCGCGAGTTGAAAGAGATCGTAACCGCCGCGGCGGAAAATCCAGCGGTTAAACTTGCCGGACAGGACTATGAATCTTGCGAGGAACAAAGCAGCTCGGAGCAGTTTTCGTCGGGTGATGTGAACAAACCTGTGTGTGATCAGGAAGCGTCCTCGCCGAAGGAAGCTTTCCCCGTCCCTCCGGACCTGTGTGCCAACCTCCGCGAGTATCAGAAGCGCGGCTTCCAGTGGCTGTGCCACAACATCGATTTCGGCTTCGGTTGCATCTTGGCGGACGACATGGGGCTGGGAAAAACGGTCCAGGTGCTCACGGCCATTTTGCACTTCCGCAACGCGATCGCGGGCTTCCCCATGCAGATGCCCCAAGCAGGTGGTCCTTTCGTCGCTGGTGGAGGTCCTAACACCGCTGCACCAGCAGTGCCCGCTACTCAAGTTTTTCCCGGGCTTTCGCAAAAGGGCCAGCCTTTCCGGGTTTTGGTCGTTTGTCCAACTTCTCTGGTCGACAACTGGTGCGCCGAGGCTGCCAAATTCACGCCTTCGCTTCGCGTCATCCAGTACCACGGCGGCCAGCGCGCGGCGGCGCTACAAAAGTTACTCGGACATAAGGTCGACGAGTCCTCTTCCAAGACCGCGGGGAAAAAGGCAAGCATGAAGACGGCGAAAGGGAAGTCGAAAGCAATGAAAGCTCTTCCTCCTCCAGCTGATGCAAGTACAATGTCAGGCGCTGCTGCTCCATTAGGCTCGCCCTCGTCCTCTGCGGCTGGTGACACGACGACGTCCAATGCTGACAACCAGGCACAGCCGGGTGCAACTGCTTCGACGCAGACTTCCCAGCTGGCGGAGCAGCAGCTGCCCGAGGTCATCGTCACCTCCCTTGGTACCGCGCGTTCCGACGCCGCGCAGCTGTCAAAGATCGACTGGTTTTTGCTCGTGCTGGACGAAGCGCAGGCCATCAAGAATCCCTCGTCACAGCAAACCAAGGCGCTGAAGAGTATCCCGGCCAGGCACTACCTGGCGATGAGTGGGACCCCCGTGGAGAATCGCCTCCTCGAGTACTGGAGCATCTTCGACTTTGTCAACAAGGGATACCTGGGTGACACCGCGGGAAGTTTCGCGAAGACCTACGCCCGACCGATCGAGAAGGATGGCTGTCGGGAGACGCTGCAGCAGTTTCATCGTGTGACGCAACCCTTCTTGCTCCGCCGGTTGAAAACGGACAAGCAGATCATCAAGGACCTCCCCGACAAGGTCTACTGCGACGAGAAATGCGGGTTGAGCAAGGAGCAGGCCAGCTTGTACCAGGCTCTGGTCGAGCACTGCATGGGGAACATCGAGGGAAAAAGCAAGAGGAAGCAGGGAGCGCAGTCGGACGCTGAGGTGCTCGTCGGCCACGTCGCGGCGGCCGCGGAGGATCACGCGGCGCGCGCAGAGCAGGCGGGACCTGCACGGAAGCGGCGCAAGATGGGGAGCAGCAGCGCAGCTGGCGGGGCGGGAGCTGCGTCCCTCGGGGGGGAAGTCGACGCGGTCACGAGTGCGAAGGTCGATGCGGTCATGGATCACGAACAGAACAGTCTGAAACCGAGTGGCATGTCCGGAATTCAGCGCAAGGGCATGGTACTGAAAATGATCACCGGCTTGAAGCAGATCTGCAACCACCCGGCACTGTACCTGAAGCAGCACGATCGGCATCGGACCACAAATAGTCCTCCGCGAGTGCGAAAAGCGAGCAGTAGCGCCGCCGCTGCGGGTGCTGGGCGATCGAGCAAGGCTGTAGCGGGAAAAAATGGAGTGGCAGCAGCAGGCGCAAATGCTGCGACAAATAATGTAGTTTCATCGTCGACCGAGAAGCAGGCGATCAACATGGCAACGCGGTCGGGAAAATGTGAAGTTTTGTTGCAGCTTTTAGAGAACATTCTAAATGCCGACCCCACGGACAAGGTAAGTACTTACTGACACGGTTTTTCTTGCATGAAGGTGATGGCACGACTCGAAGCTGGTGTCTTCAAAGTACTTTATGATTTACGAGTTGCCTCGCTTGTTGAGGTCAGGACATGCGATCTTCACATTCCACGCATTTTCTTCCATTGCTTTTCCGTGTAGTTGTGTAAACTGTTTTCACATTGCATCACCTTTAATTCGTATAACCCCTCGACTATTTCTATTTCAGGTTCTGATTTTCACGCAGTATGTCGGCATGGGTGTTCTGTTGCAGGCCATGCTGCGGAAAAAGTTTGACCTGGATAACGTGCCCTTTTTTCATGGAGGGCTCTCTAAGGAGGAGCGGTCCCGCCTGGTGAACACGTTTCAAGACGTGGAACACAACTTGGCCGCAAATGCCTCCGGGAAAAAGAAACCTACCGCGACGAGATCATCTCCTAGCTCCGCGCGCATTCTGCTGATCAGTCTGCGTGCTGGCGGGACGGGGCTCAACTTGACCAAGGCTTCGCACGTGATTCATTTTGACCACTGGTGGAACCCGGTATCAAATGCAAAAGTGTCTGGGTCTGGAAGAATGCAACTTGTATTATGCTAAATCTCCAGTTTTGACCACGTCGGGAGGGAGTTTCTCATGCAGGACAAGCATGAAATTGAAAGAGATCGCACAGAATCTGTCATGCTAGGTCCTGCATTCCAGACCTCATGGGTCATGGAAGAGCTGCGTGACAAGTCGCGCACTCTTCCAGTCCCAGACATTTTTGCATTTGATACCCGGCGGTGGAGGACCAAGCCACGGACCGCGCGTACCGAATCGGCCAGACGAAGAAGGTTTTTGTGTACCGGTTGCTCACCAACGGAACACTGGAGGATCGGATCATGCAAATGGTGCAGAAAAAGCGGAAGTATCCTGTGCAAACGTGGTTCTTGTTGTACCACTTAGCCGCGGACCAATTCACTGCCTCAGACAATAAAACGCAACAATGACTTTTACTGCAAGTAGCTCACATGAAGAAAACCATTTCTGTGCAGGATTTGGATTGGTGTTTTTGGAGCATGACTTTGTTTGTGTTTCGAACTTGGACGTGGCAAGGTCATTTGTAGTCTGGTCTATGGACTTGGACTTCTAGTCCTAGCCTCTAAGTGTGCGTCGAACAAGATGCTTTTGTCCTGCATAGGAATCTGCAGGAGTTAGCGGTTACCTCCGCCGAGACGTGGCTCACGGAGATGTCTTCAGAGGAATTGCGGGACTTGGTATCGCTCGGCAGCGGAAGTACGGTCGCCAGCAGTTTGGCAAACACGCTGCCCGCGGCTGCACCGGTGGGGGGCGTGCGCATAGTACAGTCGGTGGAGGAAATGGATGTGTCGTGAGCAAACGGCCACCTGTTTGCAAAATTGCAGTCTCGTCGGGGGTGGAACCGTGGCAGAGGAAGTGTGGACATGCTTTTACGTGATCTACAGAAAAAAATTTCTGGCTTTTTTGAGAGTGCGTATAGCCGTACTGAAACTAGAAACGAAGTGTGCAGCTACTAACGACTGCCCCACTCCAACCGACGGTCAGACGAATTCCATTCTCGACAATATGCCCGCATCGGTTTGTGATGCGTACGCACGACTGCTATCAAGTTCGTTGATTAAAGCTAAGTGGTAAACTTTCTACTAATGAGCGCCATGACTTCCCAAGATCGTTTGATTTTCGTACCAGCCCCAGCGTTTTGGGTTGATCAGACCTAAGAAAGTGTTTTCCATCGCGCCTCTGCGCCTGTTCGCGTTTGCGAGTTTCGGCCCGCCGGGCAGAGGAGGCTCCCGGCCCGCTCGTGGTGCTCGTCGTCATGTTCTCAACGAATTTGGAAGTACTCGTCTTTCCTCGTTTTCGTTCTCGCTATTGAATGTCAAGAAGCCTTTCATCTTGCTCGTCCTCGACGAAAAAATCGCTGGGTCAGGTCGTTTCATTCATCGTCTAATCTTTTCGCAAAAAAGAATAACAAAATGTATCGATATTATCGGAAAGGGGCTCGATTGGTATTCTCTTTTGGGATTGGGGCCTCTTGCATGGTAGGCGAGAGACGAAAGAAAATGTAAAAAAAAAAATACGTCGTAATCGTACTCGACATCTTCCCTCATATTCTTTTCACACAGACAATTGACCACAGATAGTTGCACACAAGAATCGGGTTTTTTTTCGCAGAGATGTGAGTCCGCAAAATTATTGTAGGACAATAAAAACTACTACCACCTCCAACATGCCAACAGCAAGAACACTGTTCCCTTCGCGATTTCGGCCGCGGCTGCGCATGTGGCAACTTTCTCTGGTTCTCGCCGCGCTCGCAAAGCAGCATGTCGTCGTGGCGCCGGAAGAAGGCACCGCAGCGGATGACCAGCTGAACGCTGAAAAACAAGAGAGCTGCGATGTTGCGGATCCCACTGCCGTTCCGGATCGCGTTCGCGGAGTAGATCACCACCCGCAGGGGTATTTGGAAACGGAGTTTACCGACCCGACCGACTTTGATGTTAATGCCGAGCCTACTTCTGCTACAACTTCAACTTCTTCAAACGTGGCGGGTGGACAAGATAATCAAGAAACAACAACGCTGCAGACATCAGCGATTCTGGAGCTGGACCAGCTCGAGGAGCTGAAGAGGAACGACAAGCAGGATTTATTTGATGAAACTTCTGCGCCCGGTGTGGTCGTGAGAGGTGAGACGTTGACAAACTACAACCTCGCTGACGATATGAGCAGTGACGCTGGCAGTGTGCTCCACCTCGCATCCACTTCTCGTAGAAGTTCTTCTACCGGGCGAGGGAATGCTGGCATGATCTCGCAGGTCGCGGCGGACAGTACTAGCCAGTGGGACTCGTCGTATAAGAACGAAAATTGGAACCCGGGTACGCAGAAGCCGTTCAGGCCCGATGTGAGGACCCGTGAAGACCGAGGTGTGCCAACCAAAGAAGAGCGGAAGGAGGCACACCCATACTACCGCGAGATCACCGACGAAGGGAAGCCGTCGAAGATTCACAACGGCCACCTTTGTATCTGCACGAGCCCGGACGCCGCCGGAAAATTTGACGAGAGCGAACCGCTGCAGTATTACGTGGCCTTCGCCTACCCGGACATGCTCGACCAGGCGGTGGCGTGGTGGCGGAAGAACTACAAGAGTACCGCGGAGAAGTTGCCGACGTACGACGTGACTGAGTTCCGGGATCACGACGCCAAGTGGGACGCTGTGCCTGGTAGCGCGACCGTCCGCAATGCAGTGGGAGCGGACCCGATGCGTGGCTACCGGAACTCCCTCCCGCTGGACGCAAACAAGTCGCTCCCAAAACTGGACGCCGAACGGTTCAAGCAACTGGCCGCGCGTGAACAACGCAATCGGAAGCAAATGTACAAGGAGTTCAAAGTGAGAGAGTTCCTGCGCCGGGTCCGGGGTGGGCGGGGAAAAACGGGCAACGAAGAACGCTACCGGCGCATGCGGTCGCAGGAGTACAGTGTGGAGTGGGCGAGTTGGTTTGAACTTTGGTTGATGTCCGAGAAGTACATTGTCCCCGTCGTGCCCGAGGACCGGGATGGGTTGATTCACCAGGAGGATCTGAAGCGACAGAAGACGCAAGAGCCGTTTCAAAAGGTGAAAATTTACACCCGGAGGACCTGCTTCGGGGGGCAGCCCGTTGTCGATGTGAAGAGCCGCCCGACGCGAGGGTCCAGAGAGGAATTTACTTGCAACAATTGGGAGCAGAGCTCCCAGTCCGCGCTGGGGTGGGTAAACTGGGCCCAGCTGTGCCCAAAGGCGATGAAGTTCGGGCCCGACGACCGGTCCGGGGTCGATCTTTACGAGCTTGTGCTGCGGAAGCATCTGATGGATTTTAGCGACGAAGAGTGGGACGACATATCCTGTGCAAAAGTATCGTACTCGTATGGCAATCATGCATTACAAATCTTTTTTTTAAGGGAAAGCCGCATTACAAATTTCACTTCTCATGCTGAGGAAACTTGTAATGCATTTATACGAGTACGATACTTTTGCAGTCCATACGACAGCGCGCGGGACGACGTGCTGAGAAACCTGATTGCCGACGGGACGGTGCGAGGGATTTCCCGGAATTTTCCGTTCAAGTTGATGCTGCTCAAGTGCGTGAAGGAAGGATTCGAAGACCACTTTGTAGTGGAAGTGACCGACCAGGAGGCTGAAGACGCGTACGAGGACACATACGACGTCGAAAAATGGAACACGAACCGGCTCGGCATCTGGAACGGTCTGGATCCCACGTGGCGCTGGAGATGGAGAAGTGGGGGAGGTAAGCTCTACCGCTTTGCCCCGGCGCACGTGCGCCAGAAGTGCAAAAAGTCGTGCAGAGTCCTCGACCTGGAGTACAACAGCGACAGCGTGCAGCCCTACATCGAGAAGCGGAAGGAGCGGTAGCCTGCAAAAAGGCGCATCGTGGTGCTCGCCGGAGCTCTAGACTGATTGTTGTAAGTAGAACAAGATGTTGATCTTATTTATGAGAATGTTGTCTTCATCATCGGGCCATTTTTGTCTGTACGCAAAAGTTGTGTCCCTAAAGGCGTGCGGGTTTCACATTCTTGTTGACGGGCCCCATCACGATTGATAACGCGTAGTACATAAACGACATCAACAATGTGCGCAAAAGTGTGTGAGGAATGCTAATGCTACTACTGAAACTGAAATGAGTACAACAGATACAGAAACAAATAGAATTCGAGTATCCGTGAAGTTTTGAAAGTGGCAGTGTCCGTCGTGCAACGCGGAATATATCGGGGAGACGATTGCGACGGATTAAGTAAACAAATATCGTGTTGCGCGTCTTTGGTTTTGCAAGGACAGGTTCGTATGTTCTCGAGGACTTTTTTGTGAACGAGTTGGAAAGCGACTTGATTCTGACCTGACCAAGGTTGTGATTCAGCATTCTCATTCTTCTGTCTTACTTCGAAGCGAGCACACATAGTGACTTTTGCGATCCTCGTGTTTAGTTTCGCGATTTGCATTTTGGAAACTGATGCTGACCCTCCTGCTTGTTCCGACTGATACTGATTTATTAGTGTGCTTCGCGAGAAGCCTGATCATCTTCGCTTCTGCAACTGCGGTAGAATGAATTATGCGCGTCGTCAGAAACAGGAACAGCTTGCTCCAATCTAGACGGTGAAGTTGTGGAGGAGAAGGAACGCAACAATGAAGGAAATCCAATTGGCGGACGTGGGGAAGATCAAAGTGGTTAGTGGGGGCGGCGGCCGTGATACCGAAGTCGATCAGCGCTCGTGGCCGCCGATAGAGGACCATGATCTGATCACACAACGGACAGGAGCCCAGCCGCTCCCCAATTGGATGCTGGACTTCCATCGCAGTCACAAGACCCAGCAGCGTTCAAGCAGTGGCCGTAGCAATGGCGTTGCTGAGAGATTGTATGCGCAGCTTTATCCGTTTCAGAAGGCTGGAGTGGATTTCATTGTGGACCGGAATTTTCGATGCTTGCTGGCTGACGACATGGGTACAGGCAAAACCGTACAAGGCCTGTGCTCCGCCTGCTTTTTTCGCGATAGGTGGCCAGTGCTGGTCCTGTGTCCGGCAAACGCCTTGCCGGTGTGGTTTGCGGAAGTGAAAAAATGGCTTCCGGATGTTCGTTTGCAGCAGGTGAAAACCGGAAAAGATGTTTTGGACGCGCACGCAGATATCGTCTTGATAACGCACGATCTAGCAAAAAGCCCCAACATGCAGTCACAGCTGCAGAGTCGGCCGGGCTCCGGTGGAGGTGCAAATCCGTATCAACTCGTAATCGTGGATGAGGCACATCGGGCTAAAAACGACACAGCGAAGAGATCCGAAGCCCTGCGGGATCTGTCGCGCAAGGCGTTTGGCGCATTGTGGCTGACGGGAACTCCCGTCGAAAACACTGCTGTGGAGGCGTTTCCATCATTGGCAAACTACTACGAGAAACTCCCCCAAAACGAGTTTTTGCAGCGGTACAAGGGAGCAAGCAAGGCCAGGCTGCCTTTGCGAACAGCAGAGCTGTCTGCGCTGATGAAGTACTGCATGCTGCGTCGAAGCAAAAGAGACGTGTTGCCTGACTTGCCTCGGAAGACGCGCGAGGTCGTCAAGCAAGATTTCACACGAGATTGCTTGGGCGTTGCTTTTGTGTCTGGCATAGGTTCCGGAAATTCAAACTCGCAGCAGGCAGACGAAATGGAAAAAGGCGGCGAGAGTACGATGGAAAAGTTCCGAAAAGCTGGCGAAGTCAAGGTTCCGTGGATCAAGGAGCGAGTAAAGCAGATGTGTAAACTCTCGGTGAAAAGCAAAGTGAAGTTCTTGGTCTTCCACCACCACGAGCACGTCGGTAACGAAGTTGAAGCGAGTTTCAAAGAAGCCGGTACTCCGTACGTGCGAATCAACGGAAAAACCCGAACCGAGGATCGACAGAGATTGGTCGAGAGGTTCCAAACAGACGAAGCAGTTCGGGGTGCGGTGCTGTCGATAACGGCGTGCGGAGAAGCAATGACCTTGACCGCGGCGAATTACGCGTTGTTTGCCGAGCTGTACTGGAAATCAACTTCTTTGGAACAAGCAGAGGACCGCATGCATCGAATCGGGCAGCGAAATCCAGTCAACATAACATATCTTTGTGCTCGGAACACACTGGACGAACGCATCGTCGATCTTTTGGACAAGAAGGAACAGTTGCGGACGCATGTCGTCGATGGGCGGTCGCAGCGGTTCTACGACGAGATGAATGCGGCGGTGGTAGTCGCCCCTCCCTGTGTTAGTTCCGAGGATCAGCTGCAGCAGGAACTTTCCAATGATAGTAGGAGCAGCAGTAGCACAAGCACTGGAAGGAGATTTGCACTCACCGATGAAGCAGAGTCGCGTACTCGGGAAGACCGCGAACAAACACATTTATTAACGCAAGTGACCGACTCACCTCGCATGCCTCTTGTTGAAGAAGACCGGTTGTCCTGCCAGTCCTCAAACAGTAGGAGGACTACGACGCGAGAAGACCACCACCCCTGTGAACCGTTGCAGCAAGATGAAGCTGGCACAGATAGCCGGAGCTTGCCACCTGTGGATGATTCGTCTGGAATGTACTCTGAGCCATGGAATCACAGTACTGCTCGTCCTTCCTGCAATAGTACTACAGAGCAACATCAAAGCAGTAGCAGATTCGAAACGGCACCTCCGGCTCTGGGTGCAGCTGTAGCAGAATTTCGGCCGACGATTGATGTGCGGGACGGGCAATGTCGTGCCCATTCAAGTCATCCTCCGTCATCTTGTACGACTACCGAAGGCAGCGGTGGGCTATCCTCGTGGTTGCAGCGAAAATTTTCCTCGTTGTCGAGCCCGACCTGCTCTCCCGAAGCGTTATTTTCCTCTAGTCCAGCTTTGACGACTCCGACTCCCACACCCGCTGGCACTGTTTTGGCGTCCTCGGAAGGAACGACTGGACCCGGAGTTCAGCATTTTACGGAGTGTAGAGGCGGCGAGATGTTGCGCGGCAATTCATCACTGTCACCAAACACACGAATGTTCCATGAATTGGTCGACGAGGTTGCACACTCGGAAGAGAGACGTGATCAAAACTTTGTTGAGATTTTCCCCGACATGCAAGATGCTGCGTCGCCTACCTCCTCGTCGTCCCGCACCGGTCACATCACGCGCACCTACCAAGACGTAATGCAAATGTCTCACCTGCTTGCACATGCTCTCGAGGATCGACTACAGTCCGCAGACACTGTCCACTCTTGTGAAGCTGGCGCTTGGCTGAAAATTGCCGTGGACGTTCCCGTTCAAAGCGCTTTCTTTCTGCCTCTCCTGGCGGCGATTAGTCGAATTCACGCAACGGCCTGCTTTTTGACGCCCCGGCTTGGCTCGCATAGCGCGGATATGAACGAAAAGGCGAAACTTCGTAATTTTCGAACCTGCGAGGAATTGCGGCCCCAGATTCAGATTACGGAGGATTTTTGCCGCCGTTTCGAACGCTACGAGGAAAAAGGATGGTATGACTTCCACCAGAATCGGAGCAGTGCTCGCGCGTCTCAGGATGATCGCCGCCTCCACAGTGGCGTGTTCTGCCTTGCTTACACAAGTGGGACCCGCGGAGCCGAAAAGTGTGTCGCCATCACGCACGATATGATCGCGCATGAGTTCCTGTACTACCCGAAGTTGATGCAACGGCTTCACCAGGGGCATTTGCCGGCAACGGAAAAAATTATTTGCGGAGCAAGCATGTATTGGGTAGCCAGCACGCTGGGTCAAATCAGCATGGCGCTCGCATTGCGTGGGGTCTGCGTATTTCCCGGTGCTGATACTCCAGAGTGCTACCTAGCAACGTGTCGCGACTCCGGAACCACGATTCTGGGCATAGCGCCAGCGACCTTTCAGCGGTACCTCGCGGCTTCGGGTGTCGGGAATGATGCAAAGCAGCTGCAGAAGCTTTTCCTGCCCAACTTGCACACTGTCATTTTCTGGGCTGAACCGCTTCCGAAGACGCTAGTGCTTTTGCTCGCACGTACAAGCCTGAGGGTTTGCGATCTGCTCATTGCGACCGAGTACTGGCTCTGCCTATACGCCGACGTACTCTCTGTTTCCGGCCCAGAGGCGCAGGGCTTTCAACTTGTCGACCGACAACTGGCAGCAGACGTTAAGGTAGTCCTAGATGTCACAGAAGAGGGGACTATTGACACACGTTTTGGTGTTCTTCACGTTTGCGGCGGCTTCGTGTGTCCAGGATATTTTGACAAGCTCCGAGGCTCCATCGATGCCACGCCACCACTGTGGATTTCCGCGACCGAGCTGCGAGACAGGCTGCGCAACGTGGACGGCACAAAGCCTTGCGAGCAAGACGAGAGCGGATTCTTTTTCAACACCAATGACCGAGTCGAGATCTTGCCAAGTGGCTATCTACGATTTTGCGGGCGCGATAACTTTCGCATTAAAATCCAGGGCGAGTATGTCGATTTGATGGCAGTTCGGGAGCGCATTGCCGAACAGGTCGGAGCAGATAGCGTCTCCCGCTCCGTGGACTTGCTTAAGTTGGACAATCAGTATCACTTTTTCGTTGCGGAGTTGAGCTCCGGACCGGGTGCAGGGCAGGCATCGTGCGGAGCGTCTATCAACAACTACTGTCTCGACGCATCCTCGCTTGTCGGCAAAGTCCTTCGCGAGATTCCACGTGACCAGGATGATCGCATGTGTGTGCATTTTCGTAGCACGCTGCTGGAGAGAAATGCCGATGGCACAAAGCTGTGCCAAAAGACAGCACGAGCTGCAATTCAATCCGAGAAAGCTCGTCAAGCAACTTTCTTTCCGATGGCCGAGCCGTGGACACGGCGAAATTTGAAGAATCACGGAGCGCGGTTAGCAAAAACTTGGTTGCGGGGCAAGCTCTGCGGCCTTGTCCTCCTGCTATATCTAACCGTGCATATTAATGGAGCCTTTCTCTTTCTGTCGCAGTCGTTGCCGACAGTTGCAGTTCTGATGATTTTCTTGGGCGTGCATGCGTACGGGGACTTCCGCGTGTCACTGGTAGTCCTCTCCGCCTTGACCCTCGCTGGTCTGATTCCGAGCCGCTTAGATGATGTTGCCGCGTATTTGGAAGAACGGTCGGATGGGATCGGGCCTCCGCTATTCTGCGCTGCTACCCACGTCGTGAGCCGTGGAGTGGCGTTGTGGATGGTTTTGCCGCTGTTGCACCGGTTTGCCCTGCATTGCAACTGGACTGAGGACACTGATCTGTACGTTCGCCCACGCCCACCCTTTCGGGAAAGATTGCTTGGTGTAGTTCTTCGCTTGCCATTCTTCGTTGCGCACAAGCGCTTCGTGGGGGGTATTTTCGACACCACAAGGAGCGAAAGAGTCTGGAATCCGCATTGTTTTAACGAAGTACTCTGGGCGGCGGGCTCGCTGTGCTTCGTGTTCGAACTGTTGCTCCGTGTCGTGATTTTACAGCACCTGCCACTTGTTCTCGGCCCATACGCAAGTCTGGCGACCTCGTGTCTTGACTTTGTCCTTTTGCTGTATGCAATTGTGTATCTGTGGCGAAAAAACGACGGCTACACACAGTTATTTTGGAACGGGCTAGCAATGGAACTCGCAGCAAACAACAGCGCTGGGTCCTTTGTTCTCCTGCTACTACAACCGGAGAACAAAGAACAACGCAGGGCACGGACACGGGAAGACGCGAAGTCCCGTGACCAAAGCCGAACAACTACCATCAACACAGACAAGACTGGCACTGGCACTGGACAAGACGCGTCGACCAAGTTGGAGCACGAAAATCCACAGGCAGGTGACTATCAGGAGGTAGCAAGTGACGCACATCGTTTCGAAGAATACTACCTCGAGAACGAAGCGTGGGGGAGAGTGCTCCACACCACGCGTCGCCGGGAGCAGATCCACAATTTTCTTGAGCTGACGCAGCCCCTCGTTGAGTCCAGAAGCGGTTCCCAATTGTACGGGGACGTCGTGTCCGGGCCGGGCTTGCCCCTATCGGGATCCGAAAGGGAGATGCTGCTGCAAATAACTGACATTCTGCAGCACCACCTTCAATGTGCGGAAGACGCGGAACCCTGCACTTCGCTCTTACATCTCGATAGTTTGGCGCGGACCCAACTACTGCACCAGCTGCAGGTGCGCACGCAACGAAAAATTTCCACAGTGCAATTGCAGAAGTGCGATACTGTGGGGGACCTGGTGCGGTGCCTATCTGGCGCCTCCCCGGCAGAGGAGGAATGTGGACTGTCTTTTTCCTCAAGTGGTCCACTGACAGCAAGCACCAGCCCCGGAGGAGATTCCGAGGCCTCGTCCGTGACTACGGAGAAGGATGCACTGCTAGAGCATAGAGTGTGGTTTTCCGCGAACCATTGCAGGCCGATGGGGTCTTCGTACTACGAATTGCTTGGTGAGCAGCCACTCGAAATCGATCCCGATCGTGTCTGTCGTGCGATGCACGCGGTTGTCAGCAAGCATCCGCTTCTGCGGACAACCCTCGACGCTGGCACCGCGTACCTTCGGTTTATTGCCGACTCTGCTTCTCTGCACGACACACTGCAAGTTCATCAAAGCCGCGGCAGTTCAGGATGGTTCGACCACTGGCCGGGGCTTCGAGTACACGAAGCTGACCACTTGTATCCGCATGATGCACTACGTAAGGCTTGTTGCACCTGGTATGAAGTCAGCATAGGTGACCGGGAGCCATTTTTGCGGGGATTGGACGGCAAGGCAGCCGCGGATTGTCCCGCGCTGCCACGACCCGTTTTTTGTCCGAAGTTGAGGACGCCGCTACGAATTGCGTTCGTCAGAATAGAGGATCGTCCCGGAAGCTTCAGGCGGTTTGTCTTCTTCTCCGCCCTACACTCTGTCGCGGACCCGGCGTCAATGCAGGCGATTGCGGCAGACTTCTTTGGCTATTACAATGCGCAGAACCCTCCCGTGCTCGCACCGCGGTCCTCGCTCGGAAGCGTAGATCGAGCGGGACACATCCTGGAAGCCCGGCTCCGGGATACTCTGGTCAGTCGCGATCAATCACGTTTGACTTCGACAACGACAAATGTTCACGAAAAGGGCACGACGCGCGCATCTCTCCGCGGACACCACGCGCTGAATGCAAACAAGAAGTGGAACTGTATCAGCTTCAGTCGAACAATTGAAATCCGGGGCGAAGCGCTCCGTGCGGTCTACCGACTAGCAACGCTGTACCAAGTTCCGGTAGATCGATTGATGTTTGGCCTTAGCGTCGCGGCCCAACGTCGCGCGTCGAACAGTTCGGGGCCTCTGACCTACACACTGTATGTGCCGATGCGCGATGAAGCAGATTGCGTTGGAGCCGTCGGTTTGTTCGTGGATTTTCGGGATCTGACTCTGTTTCAATCAGACACACTTCTGGGCCTGATTCGGGAAGTGGACGAGAAGATAAAAAACCGTGACTGGTCGGTCCATCGCGCAGAGCTCTTGCCGGAGACGACGGTGGTGAACTGGGAGTTACGGGACCGATCTGGTGTTTTAGGCCGGACTGGAAGTAGTTCTGCCGTGCAGGTGAGCGGAGCAAGACCGGGAAAGCACGATCTGGTCGCGTCTCCGCGCACCTGGTTCGAGTTGTGGGGCACTAACGAAGAGCAAGATCGCGCGGTCCGGTCGGGAAGCCAAAGAGTGCGCACCTTTCACTGGAACACACAGGAAAATGCGAAAATAAAGTTCACAGAATGCACGAAAGACGTATGGCGGGTGCGGATGAGTGTGTCTGAAAATTACCTCGCGCAGATAGCCAAGAACCTGAAGCCGACTGAACAAAGGATGCCCGGGCTGTGGCACCGTCGATTTCAAAATAGCTTTGACAAGGCGATCGAGGGTCTCATGTTCTCGCCATTGCAGCAAGTGCTGAAGCCCTTTGGCGAGCACGCACAGGGAATACTCTGCCCATGGGAAGCGCCTGACTTAGCTGAAAATTCTCTCTGGCGCAGGTTTCGAGAATACGAAGGAACATTGTCCGAGAGAACCAGCGAAAACGCGGCCACGACTGAGCATCTTCTGCGCCGGACTTCCGCAAAAATTTTGCATGGCGATGAAGACTCGTCTGGTGTGCTCTCTTCACCGTCCGATAGCAGTAGAAGTGGGGCAGCAGCGCCAGGAGCAGGACGATTTGTTCTTTCCAGCAAGTGGCACGATGACGAACCAGCAAGCGGCACGACGACGAACCATCATCAAGTTGCCGGAAGTCGAAGCTCCACATCAGATGACCCTTTTCGGGGGGGAAGATCGCACGCCGAGGATGCGAGTGGCCGCGGTTCGGGAGCAGAAACGAGAACAGGTTTTCATGTACCGAATAACGATCATGCTTTTTCGCAACATGAACACGAGACGGGAGATAGTAGTCTGTTTTTACTTTCAACATCAAGGTCATTCTTCCCAGCCAGTGACGACGACGACGAACGCTTGCCGAGCTCGCTGACCGTAAGCAGATCGAGGAGCGACAGTTTTCATCTCGACGACATCTGGGGATCTTCAATGTTGAGTTCACCATCCACGAATATGGCTGCACCTACCCAATTTACCGACTCGCTGCTGGACTTGACGGGATGCTGGAGGGCTGCCGAGGACGCTGACCGCCACGGCATGAGATCCGGAAGTCGTTACCAGAATTTCGTCGAAGCAGTGTTGCAAGAAGCATCGGCGCCTGTGTCTGATACGCAGAAAGCCCGTTTGAAGAGCGCCCAGCCCGGAGCCGTGCTTTACTACATGGACCGGGTTGGGCACGAAAGTTGGACACCGCTGCTAACATCTTTGAGTCACATGTCGGACGGGGGTCATAGCGCTACTACGCCTTTGATGTCGGTGCGGCCACTTCGTGCCTCTTTTTGCGGAAAAAACAAAAGACGACATTTGCTCGCGATGTTGGGAACAGAACGATTCCTCGTGGTCCCCCTGGAAGCGAATCAGCTGGATAAAGCCGCGCTGTCCTTTGAATTTAATCAATGGCGTTACGTGCAGTGTGGGTCCCTGGATGTGGATCAGCAGAAGCCCCCACCATATGTAGTCGATGGTCTTTCCAAGCGAGGCGCCAGCAGCTCGGCCGCTGTTTTTGCGGAGCGCAACAAGGTCATTCCTTTTACGAGCGAAAGATCCAGTGCGGGCGGTTCGAGGCACCGCAGTCCCGCAGGCACTTCTCGCGCCGTTGCTAACGTCCTATTCTTTGCAGAGAGCGGCCCCGGATTGGACCCTCTCTCGATCGATGAGCTGTTTGCAAAGGTGTTTTTCCATTACCGTGCTGTGGATTTTTTGAACGAGCATGGAAAACTGGTGTCTCGCATGCGGTTGAATTTATCGGAAGCGGCCTACTCGGCCAAGGCCATACCCGCGAACTGCCTACGCAATGGCAAGGACGACCTGCGGGCTGCGGATAGATACGATGGGTCCGTCCTCTGTTCGGATGGTCTTGGAATCATGAGCCTGGCCCTTGCCCGACACGTGCTCGGGGCCAAGCATGCGGACGAAATTTCATTCCTGCAAGTGCGCATTGCAAACGCGAAAATGGGCGTACTGGTCGACGTCCATGACACGAACGATTTGTGGATAAACCTGCCAGAATCGGTGCAGAAGTTTCCAGTCGTGAGCATGACTGCAGTGCCCGAGGACGCGCGGTTTCTCCGCGTCGTGAAGATGCAACTGCGCACGGAGAACCTGAGAAACGATTACAGCATGCCTTGGGAAATGGTGTTGGTGCTCGCCGGCGTCGCACACACCTCGGGACGACAAGCAGACTTCGAGTCCCTGCTCCGTGCCCGACAGCGCAAGCGAATCGACGAAACCGGGCGAGGTTTGTTCATGGAGCTGCAAGAAGCAGTGACCTTGCGGGCAAGGCTCAAGAACTGGTCGGAAAGGCTGCCGGCAGCCGGAGCATTTGGATCGAAGAGAGGTTACAAGGAGGATTTCAAGCAGCTTGCGACCACGGCCCTGGAAGGCCTTGACCGAAATTTTGCCGAAGGTTGCAGGGTAGCGCGCAGACTCGCACGAGAGCTGGAGCTGGTGCCAAGCGTGAAGCGATTTCAGCCGCTCCGCGTAGCTGAGCAAGCCTACCGCCCCTTTGTGGCGCCCGACATGGACCAGCGGTTGCCCGTGGATCGTGTGCTCTGGAAGCGCAACGGACTCTTCTATTCCGGCACGGTTGGTGTCATGAAAAATCCGTGCAAGTTGCTGACCGGTTTTCAAAAGTACCGGGGCGTGAGCGAACGCGAGGTCAAGGAGTTGTTTCCACGTGGCGGGCCATCGTACGCTTTTGAGAATATCCTGATCATGCCCGCCAAGGCCCGGAACGGTCGCTGGGTGTTTGATTTCCACGCGGGGATGGATGCCGACGGTGACGCACCGCTCGTTCTTGAAGATGAGGAGCTCTTGCGCTTGCTGACGCCCATTCTCGAGGAGTCCCAGCAAATACAGGAGCTGCAGCAAGTGGTGAAGGAAATAGATACTAGCCAGCTGCCGTCCGTCGTCGATTGCCGAAGAGCGTCCAGCTCGCGACAAGCGTTGTCTGAGGCTATTACAGCCGAAATCCACCGGGACGCAGGTGAGCAATGGCTTCCGCTTTGCGATACCGCCTGGACGATCGCGGCAGATAGGCACGGGGTGCAGCATGCAGCAGCCGAGGCTTTTGGCTTTTTCTGCGGCTTGGCCGTCGACAAGAAGTTGCCGAACTCTCTTGTCTGTGACTGGTTGAGTGCGAACAGATCGTATCAGCAATATTGGCCTGGAGGAACTCGAACTACGGAGTTGCGGCCTCGGTGGTATTTGGAGTACAAAGGTAACAAGCTTGCCTTTCGAGGCCACCAGTGTGACACAAGCGTGCTTCATCGTTTGTGGCAGTTTTCGGTGGACTTGGCAAAGGGCCTTGATCCATAGCACCCGCTTTGGTAAAAGATTGTGAAACAACTTCTCTGGTGTTGTGCGTTTATGCGCGATCTTTTTTCATTTTTATATCCGTGTCCCTCAGAAGTGGTGATTCCCATTCATTGCAGTTGACGAAATTTTTTCAACACATGCTGACGTTTTGTTTCTCAGGAAGCAACGCAATCAAAAGCAGCCTGTTGTGCAACATGTGATTTTCGTCGTGGATGACCATCGGCTGGAAGTAGGAAGCGGTCTTTGTTGATTCCGGTGTTTATTCGCTCAAAGAGATCATGTGCGTGTTTTTAGCGAAAAGATCATCAAACTTACTTGCATTGAGCGTCTCTTTTTTTTGCAGACTACTCTCGTGAGGAACTCACATGATGTACACGTAAAAAGAGTGAGGCGAAAAAGGTTCTGAAACCTCCGCACGAGGCATGATCTGAGAGCATCATTAGACGGTGTTTGGTGTTTTCTTGTAGAACAAAAATGAGTGCAGACCTCCCAGATGTGCTTCGCCCTCCGCAACATCAAGGCACAGAGGCCACAGCGCGCCAAGTAATTCGAGTCCTTTGTTTGCACCCGAAGAACAGCAACAGTGTCTTGTTCAAACAAGAATTGGAGGTCGTGCGCACGACGGTTGAAAAAAACACTTTACATCAAGCGTTTGTTTTTGAGTGGGTGTTCCTTGACGCGCCAAACCTGCTTGCTCCCCACAAGGACCCCGAGGGACGGGTGTGGTGGCAGCTCGCAGACGGTGCCAGGTCGTTCACCGCGGAGGCCTACTTTGGAGATGACAAGTCCTTGGACGTTGTAGAGAGTACCATAAAGAACGTCGACCTCCGGCCGAAAAACTACTCCGCCGAGGGTCAAGAGCATGGTGAAGGCCACGACGCACCTACAGCTACCGGTATCCTAGGTTTCAGCCAGGGCGCCATGATGGGAGCCATCGCGGCGGCGCGCAATCCGGACCAGATAAGATTCGCGGTACTTTTTGGCGCCGCGGTGCCAAAGCCGTACGAAAAAGTTCTCGAAGATTTCGGAAAAAACAGCAGTACTGCCCGCCCGGATGTTCTTTCGGTGCTCAGCCGGGAGGATTCCGTGAATCCCCCTGACATGGGGAAATGGGTCGGCGACTGTCTGAACCCGGAATCTGCGACGGTCTTGTGGCATGGCGAAGGCCACCAGATTCCAAAAGACCCGGAAAAACTCGAGGAAATCGCAGGTTGGATCGCAAATCGTGTTGTCATTGTTGGTACAGAAGCACCAGGAAAAGCAGAAGCAACATCGTCTAGATTTTTGGGTCTCGTTCCAGTTGCTGGAACCAAGTCTGTTCTTTGTTGCTGGGACAGCAAAATCTTCAGTGCGCAAAATTTACATGATGCACGAATTCGTTGCTTATTTGCTGCTCCTCCCTGTCCTTGACGGCAACGAGTCGTTCGCTCTGGACACCACTTGTCACCGTAAGAACCTATGTAGGTAGGGACGTGAAAAAATACGGACGTAATGGCAATGACGAATCGTCAATACTAGTCACTGCTCTTCGGTCGTGGAATTGTCTCCGTCGGTCACTGGAGAATCTTGCAACAGAGCTCTCGGCGTGTAACAAGTACGTGAAGCAATCAAGAATGTAGTATCCTGTATCGTAACGTAGACGTGCGATGAAATCAACTTTTTGTGTGACAGCAAAGAAAAATCACGACTTTGCGAATTCGTTTTGATCGTCGCACTTCGTGGATATGTACAGGCTCCACTCAATCAACGTCATCGTATTGTATTTATTTTCATTCGTTCTTCGACGGTGATGTACAAAAGTCGAAGATCAACAGAATGAAAAAACGGTTGACAGTTTTTTTTGTGAATGTGCTATCGATAACGATATCGCTCACGTGGTAGTTGGTGTAGTAAGCAGCGAGAGCCACAGCTATTGCGCTGCGTCAACTCTAACAAGAACTCTACCTTCATTGAGTAAGCTGCAGAACATAGTAAACCATGACAGCTGCTGCGAGCGTCCAGCAGGGCACTGTTGCTAACGACGAGATAAAACAACAGGACGCCAACATGGACCACCCTCACGACCAGGCCAACCCTTTTGCAGGGTACTCGCCGCGCACGCTGCGCAAGATGGACACAGAAACGTACGCCGCCGACGGCAGCACGCTACTTGAAGCTGCAGCAGAGGCAGAAGTAGGGGTGGGCGAGGACAAGGAGAACATAATATGTAGTGAGGTCACCGAACGGTTCTAACCGGGGAGTTTTTTTGCCATATACCCTGAAAAACGACCGGCAGTTTTCAAGCGGCCGACGACCCTTTTTGACATAAAGAATTTCCAATTACTCAGCGGCCGGGGCTTTGATATCAAACAAGCCCGGTCGAAAACTATCGACTCGCACTTGATAAAACGACGCAGGGGAGCCGGCAAAAGGGGCGCCCTTCTGAGGCGCCCGCCGCCTTAGTTTCTGGCGATTTGGGGCGCCCAAAAAGGGGCGCGCAAAAAACGCGCCCAAAATCAGAACAGCGAAACAGCATGGCACGGCCGCGATTTCGGAGCATCTTGGGCGGCCGCGAAAGCGGCCGCCTTTTTGCCGGTTTTAGAGCCTGGGAAGCTTTGCAAAAAGCGCCGGCGTGAAAAATAAAAACGCGAAAAATAAAAAACGCCCCAGACGCGCAAAGCCAATCCGCATGCTATGGGCCCGGTTTTTCTTCGCTTTTTGGGCGCCCCCCGTGGCACCCGGATCGGCCCCATAGCATCGGGGCTGGCTTTCGGAAAGGAATTTTGGAAATGTGCCAAAATTTGTGACGTTTCCCAAGTGGCCGCCATACCGTGCGGCATAACGTTACTCGCGGCGGTATGGCGAGCCCAAAAAAAGCAAAGCCGCGGCCAAGGCGGCGGTCGGCAAAAAAACGCCCACGACCTCACTACCCCCGCCCCGGCGGCTATATTTGGTAAAGAACAGTGCGGCACCTCCTGCGACCCTAGTATCAAGATCACCGAAGGAAGAAGTGAGTCTTTTCATGGTGCAGCCGGCGAGCGACTTCGTGCAACCCGTGAGCGCGAGCAGGCTGAAGCTTTTCCAGTCTTTTGAAGATTTCAACGCGGACCGAGCCGAAGTTTTGCATTCGAAGTCGGTGCTGAACTGCTTTCTGGAGGGCGGATGCCGGATGGTCGAGCAGAAACGCATTTCCGAGGGCACCACGCCCTGGGAGCCCAGGTTTGGCTCGGGGTACTACCAGCCAAAACCAAAACTGTCCGAGGCTGCGCTGTCCTCGCGTAGTTGGATCTTTGGAAGATCAGGTACTGCATCTAGAATCAATGGTTTCACTTTTTCTTTCGTAGAATGGTCTGAAGATGCTTTTCCTTTTCTCTCTTTTTGTGTTTGTGAAAAAAATAGCTTCCAGAAGATAAAAATCCACCCCACACGACGACACAGGCGGCTCCCTATCCCCCCGTTCGACGCGGGTTCGCGGATTTGGCGGGCCGTACGGCATGTGGTACCACGAACGGGCAGCCCTTGAGGGCAAAGACGTGGCGGAACAAGAGGCGGTACCAGCGGAGGCGGCCCCACCAGCGCCCGCTGCGCCCGAAGAAGAAGCCTCCCCCGCGGCAAAAAAGGCGGAGGCGCTGGCCGCGAAACTCAAGGTCGTCACGGTGGAAGAGCCGGAGGGGCAAAAGGGAGACACGAAGGAGAAGAAACAGTTTGCGTCCGTGATGGACGATCTGGTCATGCCCGACAAGGGGGTCATGAGCCCGCTGCAGAAGGTGCGGGCGCCCATCCCGGAAATGTACTCGTACAAGGACCCGGCGGACCGGCCGATGCTGGTAAACCCGAGCGTGGAGACGCTCGCGCACATCGGCACCCGCATGCCCATTCTCACGCAGGACAACATCGACATGAAGTTTCTGCGCTCCCGCGTGGTCGCAAACGTGCACCGAAACCACGAAATTATCCGAGAAATGCAACGGACGGACAAGGTATAAACACTTGAGTCTGAGCACAAGCAGCCATATTGGCCTGGTGTCAGTTTACACAAAGTATGTTGGTCATCAAAGATGAATGATTTTTATAGTACCCCTGCGGGGGGCAGCGGGTTTTTAGGCATCCCCGCCGGTATAGGCGTGATTTTAATGTCATTGACATCACAGCGGGAGCAGCGGGTTCTTCGTCTGTATACCGACGTGGTGAAGCGCAGCGACCGGGACGACGCGGCCGCGGGACAGCGGAAGGACCGGTTTGGTTTCATGGGCGAGTCCAAGCGGCACAAGGTGCAGGAGGCGTCCCGCGCGGCGCATATTTCGATCCGGAAAAACCTGTCGCAGGCGACCGGCACGTTGGACGCCTCCGTGAAGGAACTCGAGCGCATCAAGAGGCGCGACGAGATTGCGAAGCGCAAGGCCAGCGGACAAAAAGAGGAAGACAAAGAGGAGAAGGGATTCGGGCAACTCATGTCGTTCTTCGCTTAGAAATTGCTAGTGTCTACTGGGTCTGCTCCGACTGACTCTCTTACCTTATTTCACATACACGCTTGCAGAAGCTTCCAAGAATTGTGTTGCATTTTTGCTGTATTGATACACATACAACTAGATTATGTTGCCCGACGTCAAAGTATTCCCGGTGATGTACCCAATAATAATGGTCTGCCTAGTTGATTGGGAAGCCGCCTCGACGTTTCATATCATGAATATTGCATGGAAACAGCTCGCTGTGGTGCGATTCGTTTATCCCATCCTGATTAGCTACGGCAGATTGTACCTGCTCTTTACAAACTCACCACACATTCTTTCAGATCAGCAAGTCATATCATTCCAAAGTTACCAAAGTTACACACACGGATTTTCAGAGTTAAACAGAATTGCATGCGTTTTCAGTTTCTGACCAAACAGATTCAGACGTTTTTTAACCCGGGTTCTTACAACAAGTATAAGTAACACTGTACAATACCACTTTGTGCCACAGAGGCAACTAACTCCCAAATTGTATCTACTCCTTGGAAACAAACCGCACGACGCTGCTAAATCAAAGTATGTCATCTGACTTGCTTCTGCAACCCGATCCCGACGGCGAGTTTCCATCTGTGCTTTTGCAGTATGATGAAACGCGGTGCTGTTCTATTTCAGAGTATGCCCTTTTCATCGTTTCGATTGTTGCTTTGATCCACTACTAGGTGATCTGGTGAGCAACAGCCCTATATTATGCTTCGCACGCAACGCAGACGTAGCTCTATGCGGTGCACGACAACGAAATCGAAGATGACTCACAATCTATTTGTCAAAAAGTAATCATGCTGAACGTAAGCGAGCACTTCCTCGAGGAGGTCCGCGTTGCCTTAGCCTATGTGAAGGAATCCGCGCGCGTGATTCTGCACACGATTCTCGTGCAACGGTCCATCGGAGGCCAGCAGGCGGTGGACGTGCGGACGGTGTGGTCCGAGCAGCTGGAACTCGCGTACTGCAGGCTAGAGGACCTGGAGCTGCAGGATCTGGTGGAAACGAAAGTTAAGGAGTTTGTGGACATGTTCGAGAAGAATCAGAACCAGAAGCGCAGCGGGTGTCTCAGCCTCCACTTCTACACGACAAAAAGCAAGAAGGCCAGCGTGTGGAATCTGCTCCTGGGCCAGGAAGAAAAGATCGTCTTCGAAACCTGGCGCATACCACTAACACTGCAAAACCTTCGACGTTACACCCACCCGGAAGACGAGCTGCTGCAGGAAGCAAACTTGCAGCGGACCGCCGCGCAGTACGTCCGGCTCACGGTTGAAGAGTGCGTGCGGAAAGTGATGACCAGTAACATGGACCACTTGCCGCCCCCACCACAGCATCTGCCGGTCTATCGATTTGAAATCGCGTTTGACTCAGGTGCTCCATTCTCACCACGGGCTTTTTCTCAGGCAATCAAGATTCCCTACATAAGTTGAAGAGAACGATGCTCATGCTTTATTTCTTGCGCAATGTCGAACACTCCCCGCAGAAGTAGGGATCGCGCTCGTTGCTGAAGGCAGTATCGTGTGTTGGACCAACGTCAGAGGCCGCTTCGCCGTCTTGATTATCATGTTTGAGGACCATCAAGCAGGTCGTTGGGCTCTTGTTCGATCGACAGCCTCTCCAGAGTTTCAGAGATTGGTAAATATTGTGCTTCGTGGGACTGTGCTTGGTGTCGTCGTGAACCGAGTAAATTTCTTAGAGTATGAGATCATATTCTCAGCAGAAAATCAAAATGGTTCCAAGGAGCACTTTGCTGGTTTTTCTGCTGGTTTACTTTCTCGCTTTGATGCGAGCACGTGGAAGAGACGAGGATGGGGAAAGTGCGAGTGAAACTACTGATAGCAAAAAACAGGCCGACAGCACGAATGATGGTGAGGAAAACACTGCTTCCCAGGAAGAGGAAAAGAAAGACGACGACGCAGAGAGTGGCGCGAAGGAGAAGTCCGACACAACAAATACGGATGAAGGGCAAGAAAGCAATAGCAAAGGAGGCGGAAGCAGTACTGGTGCAAGCGAGCAGAAAAACGAAGAACAGAAAACAGATAAAGGCAACGAACAGGACGCCACCGGGAAGCCAGCCGAAGGCGATGATTCTGGTGATGCAAAACCACGCAAAGATGATACAGAGGGACTACAGATGAAAGGTGAGGATAAGCAGGAATCTGAAGACGAAAAAGCACCGGCCCAAGAGACGAGCAGCAGTGGAGATATCGACAATGCACCAGCGCCAAAAAAAGAACCTGCGGATGACGACGATACTCTCACAACGACACCCGAACCCAGTAGCACCTCTGAGACCACCAGTACCACGCCTGCTGCTGGAGCGGACGATGAACGTGCAGCGGTGCCTGACAGCCCAGAACCAAGTGCAACTGCTGCGGCAGGAGACAACACCGGCGCCAGTGAAACTACCTCGATCGGAAAGTCCCGCTCCGCTCGGATACTTGATCGCGCGCACGCTGTGGAGAGTCAAGCGAAAAATTTAAGGAATGCGATGCTGAGCAAAGACCTTGGTCAGTTCAACACCGCATTCGAGGGGTTGCGCCGGGAATTTTCCAAGCAAAGTCAAGCAATCACGGAAACTAAGGAAACGTACAAAACAAAAAACGCGGACGCAACTACCGAGATGCGCAAACTTCGAGATTCGGTCACGAAGGGCATAGAAGAGGTTCGAACTGTCATGCAGAAAGCCATGAATGACCTCGCTGAAAAACAAATGGCAGCTGGATAAGTAGGCATACCACGAAAGTGTATAGCAATCGTGGATCCCAGTTTTGAGCTCAAACCCGTAAATGAAAAGGGGAAAAAAACGAAAGCCTGCCGTTCGGCGTGTTCGCAAAAGTAAAAGATAGAAATTCTGATCTGGAAATCGCGATCCTGGTTGAAAATCTTGATTACACACGTAAATAGGTACGCGATCTCTACTGAAGTAAAGTTTTTCGAGACGCCCGATCCGCATTGGCGGCCAAGATGATTTGCAAACCGTTTGGCGCAAGTGATCAAATTTTTTGATTTTTGTATACATCCGAAGCAGACCAGGACCAGGACGGGTGTGGAGTCATTTCTTTTTCCATGGTGATGATGTTTTTGCTTGCGCGAACCCTTTTCTACTACTGAGCAAGAAGAAGTAAAACAGAGGTACAATCAGTTGTGTCAGCTTCAAGTAGAAAACAGCGCCATGACCATGTCTGGGGGTAGTTTCGAAGCCTGCACTCGCGACAAGCTGAAGCTCGTGGTCGAAACAAGCAGGAAGCGCAATTTGCTCAACGACGACCGATGTTTCGACATTTTACACGACATGGAGGCGAACGAAGAGCTCATCGCAGCAGATTCGGGCCTGCACATTGTTCTACGATGCACAAAAACGACGACTCTGGAGCACTACCACAAGTGGCACCCAAATATGCTCCGCCACGGGCGCTTCGTCGTGGATGACGATGAAGAGGAGGAGGAGCATACGCCCTCGACTTCTTCGAGTTCGAGATCTGCTTCATCGCACACGACACCTTGCAAGAAAGCCGCCTTGTTGGAGTACGGCGACCGTTTGGTCCTTGTCAATGGCCGGGCGACTTTTGCACCAACGACGAATATCGTGCCCGGTTCGTATCGTAAGGAAAAATCCCCCCTCCCCATGTCGAAAACGTATCCGTCTGAAAATTTGTCATGCGCATTTGTGACCTCAAATCCTGTCTGTCTTGCGAGAAGGCAAGGCCAGAAAGCGTTCCGCATTTTTCAGGCGGTTTGTGATGCTGTTTGGCTTAGAGCATACACGTTTGTCATGCTAGGCGCCTACGTCAAAACCTCTCGACTGAGGCTTGACATATGCCTGCATTCCTCTACTGCAAGACAAATCTGATTTGTGTATGGAAATCCAGCATCAGAAACTTCGTTGCGATATGGGGAGGGGGGATTTTTCCTCTTAATAGTTCGCGACTGCTGTTCTGGCGTGCGTCGGGCAGTGAAAACTTCGAAGACACGCTCCCGGACTGCTCCGCGCTGGCGAGAGGTTGTAGGTGTTTGTCTTCTTGTTCATCGTCGTCATCCTCTTCCGCGGCTTCAAAACACGACCAACAGCGCGCCGCGCTTTGCACGGCTCTGCTAGCGTACATCATACACACCACCAGCGCAACCTTTGCCGGCGCGAGTCGGATTCTCAAGAAAGAGCTGGACCGCAAAGATGCGGTGGCGCTTCTGAAGGGGCTGAGTGCCTATCGGGAAGATATCGAGAGGCTAGCGCTGCACTTTGCGGCAAACTTTCGGGAGTTCTTGGAACCTGGGGCTGCAAATAGAGCAGTTGACGCAGAGAGAGAAGATGTCGATGAAATTCCTGCAGCTGTTCTGGCCGCTAAAGTCAGAGACGACAGAACCAGTAGCCCCTCTCAGGGAGTAGACCAAGACGCGCGGATGATGCCAAGCGTTCCAACAGCCAATGCTGATCAACGAGGTGATGAAACGGCAACAGAACCACCTTCCCCGACCGCAGCTCGTGAGATAATTGTAGAAGTTGAAGACAAAGTAGAAAAAGCAAAAGACGGACAACTACCTGCGGCACCGGTACCCATTGCCACTCCCACACCGGAGCTCTACCGCTGCCGCCAGTGTCGCACAGTGCTTTTCTCGGATCAGCACATCGCGCCGCACGAACCGGGACACAGCCCCTGCACGCCCTGTCTCTTCGTCGAGCCGGTCTCCTGGATGGCAGCAGTCATAAACAAGGGCGAGCGCCAGGGAAAACTGACCTGTCCAAAGTGCAAAGCCAAGGTAGGGAACTTCAATTGGGTAGGAATCAAGTGTGGGTGTGGGCATTGGCGCTCCCCCGCGTTCGCAATCCACAAGGACAAGATCGATTCCCCCGAGTTAGAATTTTGAGCTCGAAGAGGTTTGTTGATGGCGACCATGCCACAATTGGATAAGTACATACTCACCGCTTTACTTGTCTGAGCGACCACGTACGAAAAGAAATCTTCGAACCAAAACCATGAAACTGATGGTGCATAATGGAGATCTTCTCGTGCTGTTCCGCCTCTGATGTAGACTATTTCATGCATGCGTGCGTTTTTCTTGCGTTCGACCGTTCGTCCTCGTCGAAAGCAAGCTCTTCGTAAATGTTTCAATCGCGTGAGAAAGAGACGGAGAGACAGAATAGAGTATAGAGATGAAAAAGGTGATCTTCCCGCGTGTTCTTATCCCTAAGAAAAATCGCGCCATACCGTCGCGATTCGTGGGCTTTTTTTATTCTAGACAAGGCCTGGCGTGTCTGAGGCTAACAAAAGCGCCACCGCCCAGGGCTATCCAAAGCCTTCGCCGCGCATCATCCAGAGGGTCGCGCTTTCGTGCTTAGCGCAGCCCCAGCTCATGCGCCAGGGAACGCTCTGCACACTGACAGAATAACCGCCGGCCACTGCGTCCAAGTTCGGGCGCCCGGGCGCGAGCTGATGCCCCACCCAAAGAGCCCCCCCAAGCCGGGGCTACGCCGGCGGTCGCACCGGGCCGCGGCAGTGTGCGCGCCCACCCGTCTCTCTTTGTGCCAGGCAGCAGATGATGGCCCCTCCGGTGTTGTCTTTGGTGCCTGCGCCGTGCCGTCGGTCCTAAATTAGGACCGGTGGGGCGCTGGCTCCATAAAATGATACGTATATGGTTATGGGACCACGTCCACGAAGCAAAGATGGTGCTTCAGCTGCGCACGCCCCCGCTCGTGCATAGATAAGAGCACTGCTGCAGCGACCTGCTGTGGTGTTTTGGGATGAAGCAGAGTTGTAGCTTCGGCTCCAAATGTTCCCGTTCTCGTTTTCTGTTGTTCTTATCCTCCAACTCCGTGCATAAATAAAGAAGTTCTCATCTATGCACGGAGATGATTGGACGATCAGAATTGAAGCGTCTCCGCCAGATGTTCCCGTTCTCTCAAACATGCTGTTCTTATCCCTCCTGTTCGTGCATAGATAAGAACACCATTGTTAGGTCGTTACAAACGTGTTCTTATCTATGCACCATTTGGAGGATAAGAACAGCATGTTTGCGAGAACGGGAACATCTGGCGCAGAAGATGTCATTCTGCTTCGTGCCAGCCACCAATTTCAGGTCGTTACAAGCGTGTTCTTATCTTTGCACGGCGTGGAGGATAAGAGCAGCAGTGTTCGAGAGCGGGAACATTTGGCGCAGAAGCTCCAACTCTGCTTCATGCCAAAACATCAATGCCAGGGCGTTGCAGTAGGTGTCCTTATCTACCTCTCCGAAGCGTTCAAACGAGTACCAGGCGGGAAGCTTTCAGGGTCTTCTGCCAGTGCGTCCACCATCGCCGCGAAAGCGGTGCCAATGGTGAGTGAGTGGGGCGGTGGGTGGGAGATTGGGTTGCGCTTGAAGAGTTCCAAGGGGTCACGAGGGGCCTGCGCACCAAGTCCGCACGAGCCGGCTTGCGGCCTTTTTTGGGTTGCGAGTACGTAGGGCCCGGGGCCGCGGAAAAGATGCTCGCCTGCGCCGGATGGCTGTGTTGTGAGTGCCCGTTGGGCGCGTCGATCTGCGCAGTGGGGGGGCCTCATTAGTCTAGGTCTAGGCTCGCCGGGGTGCTGAAATGCCTGCTGGTTCCTCTAGAACGACGCCTGGGCCGCGTGCAAAAACCCACCAGGGGAGGCAACAGCACTTCTACGCAGGCGCGACCATAAAAACTGCAGCGCCTGCGTTGGCGCAAAAAAAAAAGGCAAATCCCGACGGTATGCTGCGAATTTCTTTAGGGATAAGAACAGTGCTGAAGATCACCTATTTCGTCTCTATATAGAGAAAGAGAGGAGCGCGCGTTCGCCCTGTAAGTTTGGAGCGCGTTTCAGCAATGATTGAATCTGTAAGTGCAGCGCGTCCCCCCCCCGTCCAGTTTGTTTCGACTGCGATGAAGACTGGTTTTGGGTAGTTTATGATTTTTTAACAGAAGCTAGCTGGTCACATCAAAAGATCTTATCATCTCCCACTGCAATAAACGATGGCCAAATGGCGCCGGGCTACGTGTCCAGGTATTTGAGCGATTTTTTGTCGACTCTTTTGGACACGATCGCCAAACCGGGGGCGGTGCAGAAATACTACTCGGACGGAAACGCGGACACGGACCACGAGGGCGAACTCATCACCGAAGCAGACGTGCAGCGGGCGCAAAGCTACCTCCGCACGCTGAAACACCTGCAGTGCACAGAATCCGTGCCGAAATACGAGATCGACAAGTTTTTTGGACGTTACAAGGGGCCGAAAGCGCAGGAATTTTCCGAGGCCTACAAATTTCTCCATCAGGAAGAGGCGCACATCCCAGCGAACAGCAAACTAGGCACCTACGGCACGGAAAATCCGAGCACGACGGAAGGGAAAACCGGGGAGTCCGAGGGGATTCCGAAACCCGGCGCGGAGGGCGTGATCGGGCCGGATCCGGAGAGAAACGCGAAGCTCCTCGCCGAACGCAAAAGCCGCGTTGCAGACGCGTTTTTCGCCCTTTTCCAAAGTGGCGTCGGAGCGGCGAAGATTTTCGTGGACGACACGAATAAGAAGAATTTCGGCGACCTGGTGCTGTTCCCGAAAGACGCGAAAGTAGTCGACGGCGCGCAGCGGGCGCGCTTGGACGTTTCGGTAGGCTGGGACTGGAACCGAGGATCCGAGCACTACGCGGGTAGCTCCGCCGTTCGATATTGGCACGTCGCGGCGGGACCGGAGAAGGACGCGAAGGTCGAATACTGGCGGCCACCCGAGAGCCCGACAGAGTTCCCCACGCCCTGCCGGTGTTGGAAGGACGACGCGCTCAGTTGCAAGAAAAAGCTGCGGACGTATTTGGAGGGCCACGTGGCATTTTTGAAACGAAGGCTGCAGGCACAGCAAGCGTAAAAATATTGACCATGGTCGGCGGTAGTTGGTCATCGGTTCTTTCCTCAACATCGGGGGGAGGATTGCTCCAGCAGCTGCTGGATGAGGGATGGGATTCTCTGATGCGAAGCACAAGCAGCCGTAAAGCCGGACGGGGCTGCATTGCTGATCTTCCGCCGGTTCTTCACGAGAGGAGAGCACAACATGCTTCCGCCTTCTTTGCAGCTCCCTCGTCTGGCAGCGGACCACATGGGACTAGAAGTACACGTCAAGAGCAAGACCTAAATTCACAACCATCCGGTTTTTTTGAAATAAGAAAAACGAAAACAAAAGCCTTCAAGAGGACACAACTACGCACTGCGTTCAAAGAGGACGACCTGGGCAAAGTGACCGACCAAAAAGAGGACGGGAAAACGGAACCGGAAAAAGATCCGCCCATGCCCAAGTGGGCCAATACGGAGGGTTATGGGACCGTGAAAGTGACGAAACCCAGCGATTACTACACTTTGGACGACATTGAGGACCCGGTCTACGCGTGCAAAGTTGACGACTTCAAGCCCGCGGCCGCGCACCCCATGCTGAAAATCAAGAAAGAGTTTCTCGACGCTAACGCGGACTTCAAGAATAACGTCTATTTCTACAAGGTGCGGACTCGTCTGCTTTGTTGATGTTTTTTTATGACGGACTTTGTTTTGTAGTTCCTCTTCCTCTCAGCAGTATATCAAGAAAGCGAAAACGTGAAGACATTGTCAGGAAATTATCTCAAATCGTTTTCCATGAACGTACCTGCAGGTACAGCTTGGCGCAGACAAGGACGGGAAAGTGGACGAGGACAACATCCTGTGGGACGGCACTTACGCCGTCGGACGTTTCAAAGAAACCGACCTCTCCAACTCCATGTTCGCCACGGACGGGAAGCGGAAGACCTTCTGGAAATTTTGCCCGAAGGAGGACAGCGGCAAGTACCGACTCGTCGTCGAGGCGCAAGACAAAAGGGGAAAACCGATCCCCGGCTGGACCCCGGAGGGCGGCACCTCGGAAATCACCTGCACGAAGGGCAAGGAGGGGCAGAAACACCCGCTGGGGGAACCGCCAGAGGGTGGCGCGACCGAAACGGACGAGGAAAAAGCGGCGAAGAAGGAAGAAATGGACAAAATGGAAGAAGGGAAAGAGGAGTGAGCTGCGCCGAGTAAGTAGATTTTGAAATTAACATGTTTGTGTTTCAAAAACCAAAAACCCGGAGCTTCGATTTTGGATTTTGCGTTTCAATGGACAAAAGGTGTGGTCAGTTTCCTTCTACTACAAGAATTGCCCCACCACGAGGAAGAGTCAAGCAATACAGCAGTACCTAGCGCATGATCCATGTAAGTAGTTGCGGTCGTGGGTTTCAGTGTGGTTTTAGGGACTGCAAATACCACAAAAAATTGTGACAATTTTTTCCGTGAGAGTGAGTGGTGCATGAGAAGCGCGAAGTCAGTGAGTAGGTAATACAGATCGGACGACTTGGAACCAATCCTGACAGATAATTAAATTTGTCGGAGAGAGCGGGACTCAGAGTCACAGTAGCACCGGTGGACGCGGAAGATGCTGAGAGACGGCAGCTATCGAGGGGTGTGTCGGGTTTTTCCTCTATACCTTGCAATTTTCGTTGACTGCATTCTTGCTTCAGAAAGCAAATGAAGTTTCCTTTCTTGGATGTTGCAGAAATCTGTCCGAGACACGCGTGTGCTAGCTGGTTTTCGTTTTTCCTTTTCGCCGGCAGTAGCCAGGAGTCAGAAAGTGAAACCCTGGAGCGCCTGGCTGCTGCAGTCGCACGTCCTTGTGAAGAAGTTTCTTCACCACAACTGTATAAAGAAATAAAGAGAATGCATACCTGCTTCACCTATCCACGCGAGACGCTGTGGACTTCTGCGAGCATTCGTCGCAGCAACGGTTTGAATTCGCGGTAAAAATCCAGGATTTTCCGGTACTCCTTCACTGCCTTCCCAGCACCATTCTTTCAACGTTTCGACCGAGACATCACCGAAGATGTCGTTTTCAACTCTCTCTTCCAGCACAAGCACCGCGAGGCCATTCAGTAGATTTGTGCTCTGCTCCTTCCTGTTCCGCCAGCGGTGTTCTTCCCAGTTCTTCTTCCTAACATTACCATCTTCCCTTGTCGCCGGCATGGAATTCATGAGTCCCCTGCAGCAGGGACACGGCGACTTACGTGTGCAGCTGAAATCCTGGAATTTTCATTCCACAAACGACCCATCCACCGTGTGGACAGAGGACAAAAAACCCGTCACCGCACTAGTTGACCCCGCGGCGGGCTATTTGGCGGCGAGCCCCGATTTCCTAGACACACTGGACTCGCTACTCGACTACGATACGCGGGATGGCGACCGGGTCTGCTTTGACACGCGGGCGGACTTGAAATCCGGGCTGCCGACCCTGCGGATAGATTTCCCGGTGGTCGGAACGGGCAGTGCGCCGGGCGGGGCAGCTACTTCCGCAGAAGGACAAGCTGCAGAAGACACGGCTGCTTCGGCGCCGGTGGACATCGATCCCGATCAGTAGTGAGTTTACTTACAAGTTCTTCCGTGCATTTTAGCCGTACCTATGTATCTATGCTTTGCATTGCTTCTAGAAGTAGGAGAAGTGGCACTCGAAAGCAATTTTTCCAACGCACAGAAAACACCTCAGAAGACAACGACCAAACATCCAGGTACACCGAGCAAGATAAGAAGGACCCCGACCGCTGCGTGCGACTGCTTTGGCGACGGTCGCCGGACAAATCCGTTGGACTAGTTTTGGGTCAACCGTTCTTCAAAACTGCGCTCGTGGGCTACCGGCTCTGCCCGACGGGCGGCGGATGCATCCAAGTGATCACGGTGGCAGACAAGCAAACGTCCTTGCTCCAAGACCTCGCATTCGGAACGCTGCTGCTGGTCGTTGTGTACTTTGATGTTATATATATATTTTTGCTCGATGTTGTCGTAGAAGTTGTCTTCCCTCTAACCCACTACCACTGTAGTCTGATCAGATTCATTGCTGACATTCAGGAGGCAAGCGTCTGCAATTTTTATCTATTACCAGTTTGACTTTGACGGTAACGGTTCCACAGGTTTTTCGCGCTGGTCAGCTATACCATCGTCACGCGTAAGAACCGAGATTCCGAGCGGTGGAGCCGCGGCACACCATCGGAGGATTCCGGCTCCAGTCCGCATTTTGTTTGCCACGTCGAGTCCCCGAGCGGCGAATTCGAGGGGTACTACACGGGCGGGAACGCAACGCCGGACATCACCTGCGTAATCCAGAGCCCCTTGAGTTCCGATGAAGACGCCAGCCCGCGCTTCGACCTGATCAACTACGAGAACCTCGGGAAGGAAGTGGTGCGCCAGTGCTTTTCCGCGGACTCACCGCCTCCAACCCGGATGTCCGGGCTGATCTACAGCGGGGCGGCGGGAACGGGCTCGTCGTCCAGCTCTGCGATGAGACAACACGAAGAGGACCAAGTGGGAATAGTTGTACCTGGATCAACGTCTTCTTACAATAGCAAACACAATCCGGTCGTTCTCGTCCCCTACGGAAATAATTCGTCGCGGAACACGAGCGGCATTCTCGGTCTCGGTGCCGCGGAATATAGCCACCGGGTGTCCGTCAGCAGTGCGTTGAGCGACCAGGCGGACGAGCTGGACTCAAATCGGCGGTTTACAGCCACGAAATCCAACAGTTCGTCCTGGATGCTGCCGAACGGGGGCGCGGACCAAATGTTCTTCCAGAATTACATCCCACCCCACACGTTGCACCGAGCAGCGCAGGGCGCCGGGTTCACGAGTCAAGGGCCGCCCGCGCAACGGGCGAAAACACATGTGGGAACCGGTGCGAATACGAATGGCGCGGCAACCGGAAGTAGCGGAGCTGCAAATAATATCCAGGGTCGCGTGACATTTCCGAGCGCGGTGCCACCAAATGAAGATGCGTCGAACCCAGCAAGCCAGCCAGCGAGCAAGAATTCGCTATTGAAAATGCTTTCAGACGTCTTCAAATCTACCTCGGCAGATGACAATCGGGCGTCCGGGATGACGAGGTCATCACGCGATAGCTCGAAGGAACAGCAAAGCATGCTGACACGAAGTTTACTGCGAAAGTAAATTTCTTTGGTCAAGAACTGAAAGATTCAGTGTTTAGATTTTTTTTTGTTTTTGAACCAACATTGTTTGTTGAGTGGAGGTGTATGCAATGTGTAGGTAAATGAACGTGTTGGTAGATGATAGTCAGTGACGACACAACTTCCCAGGCATGATGCATGTTATGATGTGTTTCATGCGTTTACATATACACTTACACTTTTCTTTTTCATTCTTGTTGATATTGCATTCTAGTGCATGCCCATGCAACGCGCGTGGCCATAGCGGTACAACCGGCTATATAGTCCTCCAGCAAAGAATGTACCTCTTTTTGACTTTTTGGATCCTCATATGAAACTGATACCGGAATAAAAACCGACGCACGTGATACCTCACTCAAGAAACTTCGCCGCAACATTCAACGAGCTTCGTTCTCAAGGAGCATCGTGATCATGTTCATTTCACCGGCGATCCCATCAAAGTTCCGTTAGATGGTCATCCTCCGAGATGCGATATTTGCGAGATCCCTTACACAGTAGCGATATGTGCGATAGTATTTGTGATATTTGCGAGATTATTTTCAGTAGAACAGTACTAAAGGGTTGCCTTTATAATTCTTTTCGGATCCTCTTCCTCAGGTGGAAGTGGAAGTCAAGGCTGGTCATCTTCTTACTAGTCAGTGGCACGAGTTGGACTTGATCTACGTCTTTGTGCTCGTTTGTAGAAATAGCTGCACCGAATTCTTGTATTGGGCGTAGCTAGTGGTCGTACAGTACTACACGTTTTGTTGTGTGCTGACTAGAACGGAAATCACCATCACGACGAGCAGGAGCACCAGCCAGCGAACAGGATGTCGGCCACGCGTTGACTACTGCACTAGGATCTTAATCCTACTGTTGTACATACGTAAATAAAAAGTGTAAAGCTGTCTTCCAAACTCGATCTGGTTGTACCTTTTTTACCTGTGTCTGCTTGTAAGCAGCACCAAAACAAAGTCAAACACAAAGTTATTCTTGTCGTATCTGATTTTTGTCGCCGAAGATGAATATTCACATTCGGATCGGAGGATACCCAGCACAGCCAGCCGCTCCCGCCGTCACCAAAAATGCAACGGGCGGCGACATCGTCACCGATCTGCGCGACGCCGTGATCGCACCATTCCTCGGCAAAAAGGACATTGTGTACGAGTCCGCCTGTCTGCAGATTCACTGCGAGCACGATGAGTTTATGGCTTTCGTGAAGCCCTGTAAGCTAATCGGCTTCCATGATCCCTCGAGTGGCGCCCTTTGTCCCTGGGAACGGGGCCGCATGTACGTGTATTGGAGCTTTCCGTACATGGGTATGTCGAAAGCATGCCAGGAGAGACTGGTGCCGCTCAGCATCCAGAGAGGACAGGACCCGCAGCCGCCGCCGTCGCCCCAAGAACTCGATGAGCTTTCGCGCGAAGTGAAGAGGAAATTTGCTGAGCATCAAGGGCGCCGCGATCAGCACTTCGGAGTGCCGTGTGAGATGCCACTCAGGCAGACCATGCCGATAAACATCGTAGAAGATTCGTGCAAGCGCTCGCTTGTCCGGAACGGCCACGACGCTTCGACGAGCGACGAAGAGCTTTTCCGTGACCACGAGAGTTTTCGCATTCCTCTCTTTGCACGCCTGTGGAACCAGCGCACTGGGGAGGTGGTGTGGACGGTTGACAACAGTGGCACCGGCCCAGTGGAGAACACGGTGAAGAACATGCAGCAGATCTGCAAGCTGTTTCACCACTACCATGACATCGATGAGAGCTAATCATCCTTTGTTTTTGTGTTTGCGCGATAACGACGGCGTTGAGCGCCAGCATCATGTTGAGAGCAAGCATCCGCGGTCGAGGTCGTGCGCAACAAAGACGGAGATGAACGAAAACGGAAGGGTGATGTCCTAAAACGTCTGTTTGTACATGCGGCCATAGATGAAGATCTCTAGGTCCGCTGGCAGTGATCTGCCGGAAGGCAAAGATGCGATCGTTATGACTTGGAAGTGCCGGAAGGCAAAAAGAAAAACGCGATCGTAATGGAACTGCGTTATTCATCATGACTTGGCTGAAGTCGAAGTAAATTCAAAGTAAGATTCATAAGACGAGAACGTCGAAAAAAAGTATACATAGTTTAACTCTAATCATGACTGCGTGTCAGATATGAAGCACAGGCTTCCCGGAAATTCTTATGTGCGGCATGACAGGTACTCGTACTCCCCACATCCATGACGATGACTCCATCGCTAAATATGGAAAGGTATTAGCAGTGATCTGCTACTTTATAGGTTCGATCGCGATCGGGATCGGGGGACGACAGTCTGACGTGTATGCGATGACATCGCGTAATTACAAGAAGAATATCTATCGGGATCGCGCGAGCGCGTTCGATATAGGGCTTTCTGGTATGAAAGAGAAAGAGAATAAAGGTCGAGGACCTGAAAACTATATCTATCAAAGTGCGCATGTTTCAGAATATTCGGTACTGATATGCGTACTGGCGCGTGGTGCGTTTTTTGTTCCATTTTGTTTTTGATTGCCCTAAAAACAAAAAGCATGTAATCATCGATTCGAGATCAAGGCAGACACTGACAGATCCGGAACGTCCATATTCTTGAAACAAAGTCAAGCGAAAAACTATGTCCTCGGTCGGCACAAATAAGAAGATCCACCATGTGATCAGAATTTCATAAAATGATGCCAATGCAGCCCGGAATGTTGTTGATCTCTCTTTTTAATTTCAAGGTTGTCCTTTGTCCAGCGAGCTTGAAAACCTTTTCCACACACAGCGAATTTGACACTTTTCGAGTTACGACACTTCCTCTGTGCTTCGCCTGCTGCAATAGGCTAGCATCTTTTCATGCTTTATTTCTTCTAACAACTCTGACCCGCAAACACACTTTCGTTGTTACCCCCTGTTTTCCCATCTTTTCGAGAAGCGAAATCCAAAGAAAAATGGTCCTCTTCTACACGTGCCAGACCGACCCGAAGTGGGTGGTTTATTGCGGGGTTGACAAATTTGAAAACGAAAAGCTTCTCCAGAACGGCTTTCCCGAGGACCTTTGGTTCCATGTGAACAACCTGTCTTCCGCGCACGTGTACCTCAGAATACCGACCGACAAATGGCGAATACTACTTGACCGCTGCTATCCCCCGCACGGTATCCCCGGAAAGGGCGAGCAGGGGCTCGCCCGCCTAACAGAGGAGGACTATCGTATTGAAGATGATGGTTATTTTTGTTGGTGGTGCTGAATGATGGCGGATACCGGCATGCGTGTGCATCTGTTTGTGCGTGCGTTTTGAACTTCACAACTTTTTGCAAATGCTTCTCCAAACACTCTACAGGCTCCGTGATACCGGACGACATAATACACGAGATGTGCGTTTTGGTGAAAGGGAATTCCATCAGCGGCAGCAAGCAAGCAGAGGTACGCGACGTTTAAGTTTTGTCGCAACTAAGCAAGTAGATGAATGTGATGAAAAGACTTCCCTGACGCAAAGCGGTCTTTGCTACAGCCTCTTTTTCTAGTGGCTAGAACTACATCGATCGAATCAAAATCCAAATATCAGGTCGACATCGTGTGGACCCCTTTCGCAAATCTTCGCAAAGACCAACAGACCATGGACACCGGAACGGTTGGTTTTGTGAACGAAAAGCAAACCTGGTACAAGAAAAACGTCCCAACGTGCAAGGAGCTGCTGAAAAAGCTGGAAAAGTCGAAGAAGGACATAGACGTCGACTTGCCGGCGAAACTGGACGAGCGGCTCAAGGAGGAAATTAGCTATCGGAAAAGGAAGATCGCAGCTGCGAAAGAGGCGGAAAAGCTCGAGGTAAAGCAGCGCGCGAAGGAAAAGGAATTGAAAAGCTACGACAATCTGCACATGCGCATGGGCGACTGCGTCAGTACAAACGATCTCGGGCCCGGGTACACGGGTACGATAGACGAGTGCCGCGAAGTGGAGGAGGACTTCATGTAAATCGTTGCGTAACGGCAGTATTCATGCTCCTTTTCGAAGAACTTCAATGCCCCCTCAAAGAACAGCGACAGCATTTGTCTTGGGCGACATATTAAGAACTCTTGATGACTGCAGCATTTACGCAATAGCAAAAAAATCATCACGCAGTGATTTTTTTCCTTTGAAAGACCCTGAATCTGTTCCAAGACCGAGACTGTTAAAGATCTCTGATTTGACGGTGGCATTATCGTGTTCGCGAAAACAAGTTTTGGTGCTCACGTTCAATTTATTTCTGAAGATCCATGCAGAAAGCGGGACTGGAAACTGCATTATATGCAGAATAGGTCTTCACAATTTCGTTCTCAATCCTTGGCACACAGGCTCCTCATTGATTTTTCCGGTGACGACCCCGATCCCGTTTTGGTTTATATTCCTGTTTTTCTACTCGATGTTTTCTACACAGTCGTTTTTCGCTTTCAACCTTCAAAAGCCATAAGCATGAGTGCGATCGGTGACTCTTGGGCGCTCGGCTATGGCATCCGGGACAAAGACGCGTCCGCGGTCTTGCAAGCAGCCACGGCGCAGCGGCTGCTCGATAATGGATATGCGGATCACAGCACGACCGCTGGGCAGAACGACCAGCAGCAGCTCTCCTATGTGTGCAACGCTCCGGTTGCCGCGTTTTACGACTTGGATCTCCTGGACCTGCATTTTCAAAACCTGATCAAGCTGTTCGGACCAACTTTCGTACACTGCATGGCCATCAAGTCTTGTCCCTTTTCCCGAATTCTGCAGCACGTGCACGCCGCCCACGGATTTGGCTTTGAGTGCGCATCTCTAGGCGAGGTGTGGAACGCGAAAAATGTGATTGCCGAGGTGCAGAAAAATTGTGGTGTCATTGGCGGGATAAAACCCTTTTGTTCCCATTCTGCTCCGTCTGGTAGTGTCAAGCCTCTTGTTGAGAAGAAAGTAATATCAACGGAAACCGCCCGGAGTTCTTCGCAGAAACAGAACTTCATCGTGTTCGACAGTCCGTGCAAGACGGAGCGGGAACTGCACTTCGCACTGGAGCACGGGATTTACATCAATATGGACAATTTTGCGGAGTACGAGCGCATGAAGGGCATTGTGGCGAAGAGAGAAGCGGAAGCGAAGCTTATCTCTGCACCAATCGGACTGCGCGTCAATCCGCTCGTGGGCGCTGGTGAGATCAAGGCACTGAGTGTGTCCACCCCCGATAGTAAGTTTGGCATCCCAATCACGGAAAAAGACGAGCTGCTCCGCGCTTACCAAGAATCCCCCTGGATGAACTCGCTGCACGTGCACGTTGGCAGCGGAAAGATGGGCTTGCACGTTCTCTCCGCCGGGATAAGAGTGGTGGTCGATTTGGCCAAGGAGATAAATGCCCGGGCTGGAAAAAAGCAAATCCAATACCTGGATATTGGGGGCGGCATGCCGGCCAACTACTTGTCCGACCGGATTCACCACGGTTCTTACAACGGCGACGAGCCGCTCTTGATAGAACACAGTGAAGACGAGGACGGCCGCGGGCAGGAGCATCCAGACGAGACTACATCAGAAGCTCAAAAGGACCCTCAAATAAATAGATTCTGGTCTTTCGAGGACTACGCGAGCGAGCTGCGCAGCAAAGTGCCAGAGCTTTTTAACAGCGAATTCCCTTGCGTCGTCACTGAGTTCGGCCAAAGTTTGACGGCAAAGCTGGGTTTTCTTGCGAGCCGCATTGAGTATCTGAAAAAGCCCGGAAACATCGCTATCCTGCATTTCGGCGCCGACTGTTGTCCCAGGCAGTGCTACACGACCGCGCACACACGCCGGCTTGCGGTGTTCACATCGGATGGGAAAGAATTCAGCGCAACGAGGACTGGAACATCAAACACAAAGTCTAAGTTTTCCTTCGCCGGGCCACTTTGCTTTCAGGGGGACTTTCTTGCCAAAGACGAAGAGTTTCCCGCGGAGTTGCAGGTGGGCGATTTGTATCAAATGTAAAAATGTCTGGCGGGTCTGGAAGATTCTGAGACTTGTGATGCACGTTTTGCATGACCCATGATGTCTGTGATGCATGCCCTAGCATCACAGATGTTTTGAGGGCATCTTTATGCCTATTCCTATGCCTATCTCACCTCCAGGGGGGGCGCGCGGACCTCGCTTGCCATCTCGTTTGGTTTGTGAAAGTTCCAGCCTCTCATGATGACGCGTAAAAAATCCATTTTACAGCTACCGCTTCGCTTTGCAAACACCGCATTCGAGGTAGTGCTGACCTGTTTTGTACCGTAATACGCAATTGTCTGACATTTCAAAAAAACAAAATTATTTCATCTTCTCGTCGCCATCATAAGTACCTTGAGGTGCCGCACACCTCTATCTCTAGTTTCTTGTTGATTACTTCTCGCTCGTTCGGTCGCGCATGTGCGGTGCAGCCCGCTCAGAGTTTTTTGTTTTTCATGCGACTCTGCAGCCCTCACGCATAAATTTTTGCATGTTTCAAGTCCTTGGACTTTTATGGGCTCACGCACATCCGAGATCGGGGGGGTGGGAGGGGGTCCTCAAGCCAGAAAAAAACCTCTCCAAGTGAAAGTAGGGGAGTTCAAGGTGCCTATTCCGCATGACAAATGCCCTCTCCGCGTAGCAAAAATCGCATTGCCCTTGCTGCTCATGCAATACAGATTTTTTTGGAATCCAAAGGCAGCATCACAAGTTGCATTCTTCCAGACCCAGACATTTTTACATTTGATAATTTGGTGGTGCTTAAAGACACGGGCGCGAACAGCATCAGCCTCTTTTCTCGACATTGTTCCCGATTGTGTCCTATCAAATGTAAAAAAGTCTGGGTCTGGAAACTTGTGATGCTGGGTGGCGTCTCATGATGAGGCTACAGATGCTGGCTCAGCATGACAAGTTTCTGAGTTCCTAGGTGTTGCCTATTCTGCATGACAAACTGCGCTTCTGCATCACAGAAAAACGGAGCTCTTGGGTAACGTGCATGACAGATTTAAGAGTCATGCCAGACAAGCATGACAAACATGAATTCTTCCAGACCCAGACATTTTTACATTTGATATGTCCACCGGTGATCGGATTTCGTAGGCCAGATGAGACCTCTCCGGACGTCGTTAAGTTCTACGAAATCAAGCCCAGAGAGCGGCTGGACGAATTGTGCGCGTTCTGGGGCGGGAGTAGCGGTACAACTGTCATGGGTGGTGGTGGTGACCAGTCGACGGCAATAAACAGAGCGAGTGGAAGACGAGATAGTTACCTGATAACCCCCACAGAAGAACCGTGTTGTACTTGCTCTTGCTTCGACTTCGTGCCTCGTTGGCTCCTCAAAGCCGGAATTAAGCTCTCGAGCGTTTAAGAAGAAGTAGATAAGTACTTATGTGGTTATGTATTGCGAACCGAGAACAGTGATGGCACTCACGTCAGCAGGACGGAATTCGTTGTGCTATCGGAAGCTCCTGCGGCAAACAGACACCTGACTTGCTTTGCGTATACTGCAAGAAGTGTTCGCCGTCTTGTCTGTCCCACGAGAAGAACGCGACAGGCGTAAATCGTTGTAGCTATGTAAGTATTTCACTCCAATAAAGGCAACATTGCGTGGCGTCTTTGTCTGTCGTCTAGTTTCTCGTCAGTAAGCGCTTGGCAACCTTCTCCCTCGTTTCAATCTACTTACCGCCCTTGATTGTACTTTTCTCTGTGCGTGCACGTGTCCCCAAAAGTCTGTCTTAGTCGTTGCGAGCGCAGTGCCTGGTAAGTTGCATCTCCTACTTTTTCCTATGTGCGGCCCACATCTTCAAACGAGTTCCAGTGATGAGCTGCATCTGTGGTCCCAATCGAGTAGTCTGAGATGCGTTAGACACCACAGCCAATGCCATGTCATTATTGTGACTTCTCTATCCCATTCCCTTGTCGAGTTTGAAATTTATATTATATTTAAGTGTAACCTAGAGAAAAACTAACTGTATACCCCCCACGCAGGAGCTTTTCGTCTCATTCCAAATGATTTTGACTACAGAATGTTGCTAGACCACGGAGTTCTCTTCAATTTATGTGTCTGGTTTGTAGTTGTAGGTAAAAGTGCATCCATCCGCGATATCGTTGTGGATGAGAAAAGCAAAGGAGAGTTTTTGAATGAATAGTTTACTTAAGATCATTGTGATCATGGATCATCTCCCTGTCGTGTAAGTCGACTCTACTTCGTGTGAAAAAAGTTGGCTTCTTTTGTTGATTTTGTGTGAGCTTTTTATATTTTGCTACAAGCGGGGGCCAACGCTCTCGTACTACGTAATTTTGCGGCGCCGGCTTTTCGTCTTGCTTGTCGTCGGTGCCGACTTAGAAAAAGGACGGAGAATCCAGCGCTTCGGGCGTGTGCTGTTTTGTGCTACTTGGAAAGAGTTTTTTAAAAGGAAGGCGAGGATCAATTTTGGAGCCATATCATGTACAGCAATCAGGATGCAGCTTCGTCGCCCGGAAAAACAGACTCCGCGTCGGGCGGACGTCGACGAGAGAACAAGGGAAAGGGTCGGAAAGGTAAGATCAATACCAGTGCAGCAGTATGTTGTGAATGTTCGACTTTGAGCAGGGCATTGAAGAAAGTCACAGCTGCTCGAAGAATCTCTTTCTTTGGCACAAAACGTAAAACTTTTGCAACATCATGTGTAAAACTTACTTTCAACTACATTCGCAGGTAAAGGCAAAGAAGGTGGTCAACAGCAGGGAGCCCCTGCTTCTACCACCGGTGCTGCAGCTGCATCCACTAGCTCTTCACAATCTTCTGCTGCGCCGAAGGATCAGCAAAGCAAGAAGAACAGCCAAAGCGAGGACCATTCCTCGACCAAGGCCTGGGAGAACAACACTAGCAATGTGATTTACCGCAAGAAGCAAGTTCCGACGAGCGGCGGAGCCACAACTAGTGCAGCCAGCACTGGAACAAGCAACAAAGAGTCTACTTCAGCTGCGACGGCGAACTCCGCATCGCACAAGAAGAAAGACGAGCACGTCGGCAGTGGTACAAATAGTAGCTCGTCGAGCGCCAATGCTAGTAGCCATTCGTCCTCCTACCAGGAGGCGGCCACGAAGGCAGATCGCAGCAATAACGCTGCGGCTTCGACACCGCAAACGAGCAGCAGCTCGTCTAGTTCGTCCTCCAGTGCGGTCAACAGCCACCTGGAGGACAGCTCGAAGAAAGCGAAGAGGCGCAACCGAGGGGGTGGTGGAGGTGGGGAAAAGGATGGTAGCCACCAGAGCGGTGCTCAACAAAAGCAGGAGAGTAATAGCAGCTATAAACAGGACAAGGACCACTACAATGCGACGACGTACAAGGAAAAGGACAGCAGTGGCTACAGTAGCAAACAGGAGAAGCTGCAAGAATCTTCAGGTGCCTCGTACAGGGACCGGGAGAAGGAATACCGGAAAAAGGACGAACACTACTACAGCAACACGAAAACACCAACGTCGACGCAGTCTGGCGGGGCGGGAAATAGCAACCGAGCAGGTAACAATCAGACCTCGTCTCACTGCTATTGCCATTTATGGAAGTGCGATTAATTTGAATTGTGTTTGGGATGCGATTGTCATTGTGGGTCTGCCTGCTGCAAAACTAAAATTTCTATAATCATCTGCGAGCGTATCGAGAACAAGTCATGAAATCAGCTCGAACTCACAACGTTAATATCAGACGCAAGCGACAGCTACCGCGACAAGCGAGATGACGCTTCGTCGAGCAAAAACGCCGGCAGCAACACGGGTCGGAAGAAAAAATCAAGTTATCGAGAAAAATATGAGAAGGATTACTCATCTTCAAAGGAGTATCGGGAGAGCAGCAAGGGCTATGGAAGCAGCCGAACCGGGGAAGTGAATCTCCGGGTAGAGCTTTGCTGCTTCACGCCATCACTGTATGAAATATCATATCTTCTGCATGATGTTGTTTTGACCATCTTACAGTTGTGATAAAAGCTACAGCTGCGGCTGCCATACTTGCTTTCGGCCTCCAGCCGAGAGCCTGACCATGTAGCGAAGTTGTCACTTTCCGTACGACGCTTATCACTCCCCAGGACCCGGACTACGGCTATCACGTCAGCGGGCGCCGCCGGTCCTCGCGATCCGGCGCTGCGACGCCGAGCGAGGTCGGCGACCATCCGGTGTCATCGAGCAAAAACTACACCACCGAAGAACCTTACCACCAGAATGGGCGACCTACTTCCACCTCCAGCTACAGAGAGCGCGGCGCAACTGGCGGTGTCCCAGCGCCGTCCTCCACCGTCACGGGCGCAAGCAGTTCCGCGTCGTCCTCCTCGAATGCGGGCGAGATGAACGAAGGTACGGGCAACGGGGCGACTTCCTACTCTGGGGAGGATGACGACGGAGCCGGTCGCTACACGAGCAACAGCCACGCTGGCGGCAACAACAGGGGCGGGGAACAGGACCACCAATATCATGGTGACCACCAGCAGGGGGCTTCAACACGTGGGGGCGGATCATCTTCTGGGGCTACAGCCACGACCTCCAAAGCGACGTACAAGAGTTTTGTCGACCAGAGTAAACAGCAAGACCAAGGCTACTACAAGAACAGCAACAAGAACTTCAATGGATCGGGAGAACACCACCAGCTGCAAGAGGATCACTACAGCAAAAGCGGAAACAAGAATTTCCTGCCCTCCCCAACGGAGAGTTCGGGGAGCAGCGCTTTCAAAGGATCAAACTCCGGAAGCAGTTATCCAGGAAAAAAACTGTGTGAGTGTAACTTTGTAGGAAGAACAGCATCACAAATTCGTTTTGCATTACAGGGAAAACCTGTCATGCGCAGCTAGTACGTGGAAACACATATGATAGTAGCCTATGACGCAATTCCAGCATGATGAGTGTAACTGTTTTGCATTTTCTGCATCACAGATTTACACTTACGCAGTTTTTTTCTTGCATAGCAGTTCCGTGTGGACGAATAAGAATCACGGTGGATCGTCTGCGGCAAGCGAAATAGACAGCGACTACCATAGAAGCACTTACGACGATGGCGCGGGCTCCGGAATACAGACAAACGATGGTGGTTCTTACAGCGGGTTTAATAATCACGGTGGTGGTAGCAACAACAATTACGGCAACGGACCTATCAATCTAAACAACGGGACGACCTCGGGCAGCCAACATTTCAACGGCACCACCAGTCTCGATCTCCCGTATCAGCAGAACCAAAACAGCGGGAGACCGCCCAGAGGCCCCATGGACAGAAAGCCCAGTAACGGCGGGAACGGAAATAACAACTACGGAAGCGGCTACAACTACGATAACGGGCGGGGGATGGGAAAAGGTATAAACTGACTATTTGCAGAACTTCAACTTGCCTCTAGCTCCACTGTGGGGTTATTGATGTTATTGATGACTAACAGACACGAGGGTCGGGGCAGTGAAAATTCTGTCACTTCGTCTCAAGTAGGAGTGAAACTCATTCCCATATCTTCACAGATGATATGGGCCCAGGCGGACCTGGCGTTGTCATCACCAGTCCGGTGCCACCACCTGCAGTGTTTCCAAACACGGGCTACGGTAACGTTACAGATTCGTCGTGTAATGTTTCCTATACGCTTCATTACTTTTACTTTTTCTCTGACTCGCATCGTAAAATAGAAAATAAATCGTGTCTCCCTCGTTTCCTGAAATTTACCACTGTACTCTCGCATGGCTGCAACGACATCGCAGGCCCCAATGCTAGACACTACGACGACACGCCAAAGTCCGTTTCGTCGAAGGGAACCGGTGTGGCCCCAAACAACAACAAGGGGCGGGGGAAGTACAACAACAGTCAGCAGCAGATGGACACATCACTGCAAAACCAGAAGGACCAGGGAATCATGTACAACAGTGGAAATAGCAAGGAGATGTACAACAACAATCGTTCCTACAACAACATGAACGCCTCGAATAATTACGGCGGCTACTACGACAACGACTCTTCCTTCTACGACGACCGTGATAGTTATGGTGGCTCGACGTTCTACAACACTGGCAAAGGCGGAGGAGGTGGTGGTGGGCCAGGTGGCAACAACAACTGGGACCAGCAATTTGGGGGTGGTGGGGGCGGGAACAATAACGTGAAAGGCGGCAAGCGCGGCGATCGCGGCGGCAAAGCGGGACCTGGCATGAAAGGGGGGATGAACATGATGGGCAGCGGCCCCGGGGAGTGGCGGGAAAACCGAGGAAACAGTTACGAAGCAGCAACGCGGGAAAATATGGTCCTTTCTTGTTCGGCTTTTTTTCTAAAATAACAGGCTTAAGACTCGATGTTTACCTTTGTATACGAATTATGATTGAACGGTTGAATTGATTGCTATACCAAACTATTCATCAGCATCGTACTGCAATCGGGAGATCATAAATCGCTCTTCCATTCTTGTCCGGTAGTTGTTTACCGAAGTCACATAAGAATTTCCGGGTACACGACTAACACGACAGGCGCACAGATTTCCGGCGTACCAGGAATCTGTGAGTGGTCCGGTGGTGGAGACCTTCCGGCGCGTGCACCAGGATACGGAGTGTTACGACGACGACGGCGTCGCGTCCGAGGCCTATACCGGTCCCCTCGGCGGGCGGAGCTACATCCGCACCATGGTGTATGCGTTCTACCGCGAGGCGTCGCTCCAATTGTCCGAGCTGCACGAGCAGCAGACGGGGCAGTTTCGCGGATCGTCTTCCTCCTCCGCCTCGTCTTCCTCCAAACAGGCCGCCGCGCGGTCGAGCTCCGGCTTCGACTTTGACCTCGACCCGCAATTGGTAATGGAACACCCGAAAACGGGGATCAACATGAACAACGCGGCCTGGGCGACCGCCGTTCCGCTGTACAGCAGCGAGCCGGAGAAGATCACGGCCAAGGAGCTGGTGCTGGTCACGAACGTGATGGCGAAACTGCGCGTCACCAGCGACGTGTCGAAGCGCGTGGACAGCGCGGGCATGTACCGCAGCCAGATGACGACAGAGGATGTGGAGGCCTTGAAACTGCACCGGAACCTGTTCGACCTGTCCCTGGAGTGCGTGGAAAAGAGGCTGCTCCCCTTGGGGCTGGAAGGCATCCAGCCGGCAAGCCTGGAAAAGTACATGGAGACCGACCGGTGGGGGTTGCTTCGTGGAGCGGGGGGCGGCGGGGGCGATCGACAAGCCGACGCAATGGACATCGGGCTGCTGAAGGAGGAAATCGCCAACGCCGTAGCAGCAGCGCAACAGGCGGGTGTGGTGGTCCCGGAGGACAACGGTGGGGCTGCGACGGTTGGCACCGAGCTGGATTCTACTGAAAATGCTGCTCCTGCTGATAAGAACAAAGAAGGAAGAAGTTCGGAGCCGGACGAATCACGGCAGGAAATAAAACCAAGCAAGCAGAAAACACAGCAGAATCAGGGTGATGCCACTGACGACAGTTTTGCGACGGCGAAGCACAAAAAAAGTCACGACGCGGCTGCAAACGACAGTGATGAAGCTGCTGGACGAGACGAAGTCGCTGGCGCGGATGAAGCGTTCGACTCGACAGGTGAAACTGCCGAAGACAGTGTCACGTCTTCGTCGGAACACGACAAACAGAACAAGAAGCCATCGCCGGCGTCCGCGACCGTGGTTTCAGCCAGAAAAGGAAGAAACCCAGAGCGTGAAATGGATGAAGCGGAGCTGCAGCAGATGAAACTTTTGGGACCGAATGAACAAGCTGGCGGTAGTAGTTCGAGTAGAAGTCCAAGGCAAGGCAGCAAGAAAAGTCCGGACAGTGCTGTTTCGCCATCACCGAACGAAAGACGGCTATCCAAAGGAAGCGGTGAAAAAACAAAGTCAAAGAATCTCGGGCAAGAATTACGTCAAGCGGAACTTCTACAGAAAAAGAGCAGCAAAGAAGGAGCGTCGAAGCGGCCGAGTAAAGTAGAGAACGAAGTAGTACACGCAGCACATGCTAGTACGCAAGGTAGGAACAACATCAAGAGCCGTAGCAACAGCAAAGACCGAGACGATTCGCCGGACGAAGATTTTCCGCGAGTGGGGGACGCAGCGTGCTGCCATGTCGACGGTGGTAACAAGGATGGTTCCTCGCTGTTGAATGGTCCGGCGAGTTTTTTCAACTCCATCACGTCGCTATTCAGCAGCAAGCGCACCTCAAAGAGCCCCGACGAGGAGGAGGACGCAAGCAGTCGCAATCTTCCGGACGATGTAGATAGCGAGGTGGAGGACAAAAACGACGACTATGCCAGTCCCGAGCGAAGCAGTTCCGAGAGGCCGAGCAGGCCCAGCGAGCGCAAAGGGAAGCTCTCACCGGCGGAGGAAAGGTCAAAGACCGGCCTAGTGGCGGAAAATCTACCGCCAGACGAGGGTAGTCGAGGAGCGTCTTCCCCTTCCAGACCAGCGAAAGCGGGTAGAACGCCACCCAAGAACGTCAAGGCCGACAAGAATGAGGTTTCCGACTCGGGCAAGGCGAGCGATACACCCGAAAGTGCCGCGAGACCGGGAGGGAAGAAGAAGCAAAGGAGCCCGGGGGATATAGCAAAGGAACAACTGGTACTGGACAGTCCTAGTGACAAACGACCAGCTGCAGAAGCAGCCGAAAGTAAAACAGCGCCAGGACCACAGACGGACGGAGACAACCCAGAAACGCAAGCGGTCAATAAGGTTTTTGAAAAGGTTCTCGCCTCTCTCCCGCCTGAGCAGCGCGAGGACAGGGACGCGTTGGCCCAGGTACTTCCTTACCGTGACTGAGCATTTTTCGTAAGCGAAATGCTCCGCATATCGCGACCTGTGGTGCCTCAATACTGTTTGCATGGATATGGATAGAAGTCCGTTATTTAGCTGTAGGTCTAGATAGCAGTGCTGTCAATTTTCAGTACCACATGAAGACGATCCCAACCTTCACGTTGCAGGCGATTCAGAATCTGCTGCTTGAAGGCGATGTGACAGACGCATTGACGATACTCGCGAAGCAAATAGCGGCCAGACAAGAAGCTCATCCGCAGCCTAAAGAGCAGAAGATCAGCTCTTTGCTGGACTACGTGCCGGCACAGCACCTGATTCCCTTTCTGTACAGTATGATTCACGTCGCGGGCTACCACAGCAACCTTTCCGTCGACCGCGAGCTCTACGCGCGCGTGGCTACTCTGTCCGACACCTTGTTTTCCCTCCTGGAAAAGCGAGCGGAGAGCTGTCTGAAGGCTGGTCCGTCTTCACCTGCAGCCACTTCTGGGAAAGGCAGTTCGTCCTCAAGTTCCTCAACCGCGCTAGCGGTTGTAGTTGTAGACGGAGGAGGAGCACCACGACCACTTCCTGGAGACAAATCTCTGTGGTTCGATCCCCAGAAGCTGCACGAACACGGGTTCACGAAACTACACGTGAGCAACTTCTGCAACCTGTTGTGGGGTCTGGCGAAAGTGAACATGCTGCATCGGTTTCCGTATCTGGTGCAACTAGCGGTAAACGCGGTGATGGAGTCTATGCCGGTTCTGAAAGCGCACAACCTCGCCAGTCTCATGTGGGCCTTCGCGGCCAGCGGCGTCTATGACGAAGCGCTGTTCTACGCCATCACCGGAAGAGGTACTTACACTGCCTTTAGTTTTACACTTCTGTTTCTGGGTTTTGCTTGTACGCTCATTTTGCGAAGGGCATGATCTGCAACGGGGCTTCTAAAAATCAACTGATCACAAAGCCGCCGAAATTGCGGACACTTTTACACCCCAACTGCTGCAAACGATCCTCTGGGGCTGTGCGGCTGCGAACTTCGTACCGGAAGACGAGGCGAACCATTTTGTGGAGAAGATGATCCGGCGCGTCCACATCGTGCTCGACTATTTCTACTGTTGCGACCTGCCCAACCTCGGGTGGTCCTTGGCGAAACTGGACGCTGATTGCCTGCGCGACCTCTTCCCCACCTACCATGCAAAGGTCTACGAGATCTACTCGCTAGACGACTGCGCCGCCGTGGCTTTGGCGTACTAGTATGCTTCCTTTTGATGTAGTTCGACCGCAGGTGTCGCAGTTTTCATTCAGAACTCCTAACGAGCAGCAGCGTCGTCCCTTTTGATGTGTTCGATTCTGCATTGTTTTTGTGCACCAGCACGAAGTAGAGAGTAGAACCTTTTGAAAATCCTTATCCTCCAGGTTTGCCAAGGCAGGACTGCTCTTACAGCAGGGGTTGTGGCGCAAGATAAGCGAAGCTTCCCTGAACTTGATGAGTTTGTCGGAGGGAGGAGGCAGAACCGTAAAGCAGGCAAACGAGGTGGCGATTGTGGTCTACGCTTTTGCGCACGCCAATGTTCTCGATCGCACGCTTTTCAACACTGCCTGCAAACGCGCGATCGAACAGAAGATTAGGTATACCAAATTTTTCTACTTCGCTGGCGGTCGGACGCGGAACCCACTTCGCTTCTCTCGATTATTTGTAAAACATACTTATCCGGTTCCGGTTCCGGCACCGGGTTTTTGTTCTACTCCTAGCTGTCTGACGAGAGCATTTTTGCGGACCTTGATTGGTCAAACATGGATGAAAGGACGAACGATCCTCAAGCTTCATCTGCCTATGAACATATGATCAGGTTTGACGCGATCGCCGGGGTGCGGATGCTGTATGCCCTTGCGAAGGTGCACGCGACGCATTTGCCTTTTCTGAAGTACATTTTGCCGATCATCAAGCAAGCTCTCGAACTCGCGCCCGACCACCAAGCAGCCACCAGGGATTCCCCGCAGCCGTTGCGAACCAACGAGCTGTGCAAACTGACGTACGCGTGCTGCGGGTTGGGCATCAGCCGACTGAACCATTTGCTTTACCGCGTTCTAATGAAGCGCGTCGGGTCGGTCGCCTGGAATCACCTCGGCTTTCTCATACAGTCGTGTCACGGCCTCGGCATTCTAACGGATGCACTCGCGGCTCAGGTACAACTCGCGACCTGTTGTTGCATAGTAAGTACTGCTACGTGTTACCCGCTTTCGATGTTCCGTGATCCATAGCTTTGGAAGTATGTGTGCTAGTTGCCAATATTGCAAGTCTGGAAGTGATCTCTCCCGTTGATAGATTGCCGCAAGAACATGAACAAGCAGAAGGAGAAGATACATAGAGATGCAGATGGTTCTTGATTTCTCATAAACATACCCTTGCTTCAGTTCGTCCCCTTGTGCCTGAAGCACAGAAGGCAGATGACGGCCACCATGCGCGGGCGCGCGGTCGATTCATTGTACACCTGTAGCGCGCTGTATTTCAACGAGGACTGGAAATTTTTCCACAAGCTGCACTTGCAGGATGTGGAGGAAACTTTTCTCCCGCACATCCTCTCGAGGAGAAAAGGACCCATCCTGAACTACGCCGAGCCGGGTACAACAGCTACAACGGCATCTGCATTCCCAGCTTCCCACTCATCAGACTCTGACTCGCACGCGGATGACGCTCGAAGTTGTGCCCAGAGCAGCTGGGTCATTTCCTCTCCTGCAACGACCGGCTCGCCCGACCTTTCTGGTCTCGCGGTCGAGCTCGAACACCAAACATCGAAAGCAGGGGACGATGGCACGACGACCGCGGCAGCCGCGAAGAATGTGGGGGAGGAGGAAAAAAGTTCTTCGAAGAAAACTACAGTATCGAAAAGTAAAATGATCAGTGCAGCTGCAGCAGACGAGCAAGAAGGGAGTAAGTCGAATGATCCAGCGGGGAAAAAGAATACGACAAGTAGTGCAAATGCAAGCAGCGAGTTTTTGCTTGCCTCGTGTGGCACCACGCCGACAAGCAAAACTGATTTGCTATCCACATCCACCAAGGAGGCCAATATACAGACGCCCGATGTCGCGCCTCTTGCCGCTGATGAAGGGGAAGCGACTGGAAACAAGAGCAAACCAGAGACCGTTAACATCGAGAGCCCCGCTTTGGCAGGTGGAAACTTCAACTCGCAGGAACCAGCTGATGTGACCGTAAGAACAGACTCATCTTCCGTTGAAGAGGGTGGCGCGAAGGAAGATGCTGCAGTTCTTCATCCCCCGGAGACGCAAGCGGACGTCGCTTCTGCCTCGAAGGAGCAACAAGCAGCCGGAGGTGACACAAATATTAAAGCGGGAGATGTAGCAGGAGTCGCAGGTTCAGCAGGCGCGGAAGGTCTTCCGGGAGTATTAGACAACAAGAAAGAGGAAAGCAAAACGAAAACGTGGTTTCGCGGCAAGGCAAAGAAAACAGTGACCGCCGACGGTGAGATCAGGAGCAGGCAAGATTCTGCCTACGGCCAGAAGGACGAAATCAACCTGGGGCGCGTGGGGACGGACTACCTATTCGAGCTGCTAGAGTTCGAGCTCCCCAGCCCCGTCTGGCTGCGGCGCGCATTCAGCAAAATGTCCCAAGAAGAGCACCCGGACCGCGAAACCATCGTCATCGAGGCGGCCCCGCAAGCGCGCGAATCTTCCTGGCACTTGCTGCAGCACGCGCCCAAGGTGATTGATTCCATGGATCCCCACCGCACCGCGGAAAACCCGGAGCTGGACGCCACCTACGCATTGTGGCTCAGGTACTTTTACTCTTTCGAAAAAATAGTGAAGATCAGCAGTGGCATAGTGCTCCTCGGTTCTTTCTTACTAGTTGATGTGAGAGCGATATTTTCATGGCATCTTGTGTGAGAGCGATATTTTCATGGCATCTTGACACTACTAAACCAAAACGCAATTCAAAATGGATTCTTCTGAGGTTGGGTGAGGCGGCGCAAGGAGCATTTCGAGACGCGGGTGGCATGCGCATAACTATTCTGTTTACCTACTCTCCGAGTCTGGCTGTGGTACAGCGCCTTTTCAACTTTCGCGAGAAGTATTCTCGCTTTCTTGAATGCGAAGTGTGCCTGTCTTGCGTCTAGGGGACAGCTACTGCCGCACCGCGAGCGTGGTCAGCGAGGTGGGGACTACCGTCGTCGTTTTTTTTTGTTGCAGACGAGGTGGAGACAGATGGAGATGCATGGGACGCGCAACGAACAGGGTGACGAATGGGCCACACTTCAGAGATACAGGAGCCGCTGCTTACAGCGTCTATAGTTAGATGTCGACGTTGCTTCCAACAAGAGCAAAATCTTCAAGTTGAAAAGATGTGTAAAAATTTCTTTAGCTTTTGCTTTTGGTGAAGCAAGACAAGAAACAAAGTTTCGGCCATGATGGTCCATTTAATAGCAGTGCCTACCCTCTGTGTCTGACGCTGATCAGTTACGACATATGAGACACGTTTTTTTGCTTTCGGATTGGCAGTTGAGACAGGGCGGGCTCTGTGTAGGCCGAAACTTTTCCGAGATGTCGGATACACAAGTCTTCAATAAAAGAAACAGCAAGTAGAACAGCACCCACCTTCTAGCTGCAGCGAAATTATTCTTCTCAGACTGACAGCGAATTACTTACTTTTTTATCTAGTACTTCAAGTTCGGTGATTGGATCACTGCATGCCCATCCCTAGCTATGGGCAGGCTGCATTGTTTTTGTAGCGAAAAGAAAAAGATGTTAAAAGATATTAAAAACACAAGACGATGAAGGTCGTACTTCCTGGCCTGAGGTCGTGCGATTAAGTGAAAATTACACTAATAAAGTCACTGCAGTCTCACCGAAGAAAGGCACATGAATAACTGACGTGAGTTTTCAATATTTTACGGGTAAAAACACAAAAACAACTGGTAGTCCCTTCATTTACGTAGAAATACCAACCACAAGACGTACTATTTTGGACGAGATTAACTCAATTTTTCCCAGTAGATTTTGCCTTTCGATATCAACCTCTTGCGGATTAGTTTTAATTGATTCCTCTAATAAAACACAAAATTGTTGGCAGCATCGACTGCGAATGAGGCGAAGCTCCTCGCCACTTTCTTCGCGTATGGTGCGAGGCTGCTGGATTCAGTGCCTCCGGCAGGCAGTCCAGCGCTTTTTCGTACCAGAAATAAATTTGCTTACGAAGTGTGATATTTTTTAACTTGAACTGAAGCCGAAGACTTGCTTCAAGCTAAATTTTGCGCTGTATTTTTCTTTTGAGCCGTGCGGTGTCTATTTGTATTTCGTTCTCGTAGAGCCGAAACGAGAATGGATGCGCTAGGAAATGCGGCAAAAAAAATTATCCCGCAGAGCAATAGGTGGTCTTTTCGGCCCGCACGCCTACCCGGATGCCCCTCAGTCTCAGCGACCCGGCATTTATGTTGTATTCACTTTGAGTTTTTATCGGTCGGGCGCACATCAAGCTCTCTAGAAATTAAAAAAACCAATCAAATTGTTCGCTTTCATCTGTTAGTTTAAGGATTCTTGCCAATAGAAGCTTCAGGAAAAAATTCTTCCCATGCGAGAGAAACAGCGAGCTTCGCGTCCTTCTCAAACTACGACCCACAAATCACGATAATTGCTACGCCTTCTCGTAGGATGAATGAGATTTTGCTTAATATTTTTGATGCTGATGTCACTCATCTTCTGTTGGCGGAGAAGAACAAAAAGAGAAACAAACAAAAGATGTTAGATGTGGGGCTATCTATGCGAAGGCGTACCTGATACTTGAAAATGCATTTTTTCCGTTGAAGATACTCAAATACATGTTCAGACTCATATGCAGTGTCAAATTTATTAGAGTTGAACGTAATGTTGAAGTTTGATGGCATACAGAAAATTTTGCAGCAACAGCAATCCCAACCGTACAGACAACCGGAAAACCTAAATTTCGTGTCACTGTCGGTTTGACGCGAAGAAATCTTTGCTGAATCGGTTTTGATGGCAAATTACGAAACAACAGACGGTGCTCGGTCCGAAACAACTGACGCAAGAAAAGCGTGGCCATTGTCTTCAAACATAAACCGATCGTCGGTCGTTCAAAATGAAAACTCCTGTCGGGTGCTCTCATCTTTGCGCCAGCGGCGCGCCAGCTCTTCAAATCTATCTGTCTGCGATCCAAATTTGGAAATGCTGGTTCTGTAAAAAAAAATCATAGGATCGGACGATGAAATTTAAACCCACTTTTCCAGGCCGGCAGGTCGGGAAATTTCCCATGCGTTGAATAATCAATCTGTCGTCAGGGCTCGTCGAACGCAATAAGGATATTCGTGACCAGTTTGACTTCGAATTTAGTACGAGTTCTGCTGCTTCATCTCTGTGAAGCCAGTCTAAGCATTTCAACAAAGTTATCTATTGCTTACATTAAGGCATTCGCATTTCGCCTTCAATTACGAAGAGTCCACTGGGTTAGTAACTCGGAATTCACAACAACAACGACAACGAGTTTGTATAGTAGTGCCATCACGACATAGAAGTAATACATAGTTTTAGAAATCACGCGACACTACAAATACCACTACGACCACAACATAAAACAGACGCTGACCTAGTCCTTCAAAAACAAAGTTTCGCTCTGTTCTTTTGCCAAGTTTGTGTAGCAAAGCGGCTTTTTTTTGGTTTGGAAATTGAACAAGGATCAGCATCTTTTGATCTCACGGTTTTTTTTTGATCATCATAAGTAAACGTGAACGACAGTATACAAGAATACTTGGCACAGTATTAGGTTCATATTCATAGCACATTTTCCATTTTCGCATACGTACATCATCAGCCACATATTACTCTGTCTCCGGTTGTGAAGATTCTTCTTCACCACGCCTCAAGCACTCGTGTGTGTACACGACCCGTCTTGCAGCTGCCTCCCCGAAGGTCCAATCACCCGGTATAGCCTACCATGGCGTCACTGACGTTGCGGTCCCAGCAGGGGAGGGGGAGCGGCCGGGGCTCGAATAAATCATCCGGATCAACATCAAAAAAATACCAGCCCGCGGACACAACGGCGACCTACGCATTTCAATCCACGCAATCGAATTTGTCATCAAAGTCCGGAACAGGAGTAGCACCGTCATACGCCGGGAACTTCTCCACCATCGTGAACATCGTCAAGAATGTCGTGGGGGCAGGGTAAAAAGTGATTTGCTATATGTACATTGATTGAGTTTGGTGTGGTCTGTGCCGGGTTTGTTCTACATGGTCTACGAAGTCAATGGGTCGTGCCGCTTGTCATTCATTTTTCGAACAAGAGGGTTTTTGTAGTTTCCTGAAGTCGTATCAAAGACCGCGCTCGAAAATAATTGTCGCGCACATCATGTAAGTAACCTAAACAATTTAAATCTCGCATCGCAAAATGTGAAGATTTCCATACATCACAACAGGTTGGTCTCTATGCCACTCACCCTCTACGACGGGACGCCAGCGGTCGCCTACACCTGGCTGCTGATTATCGGCGTGTTGAACTGCTTCGCGTTTTGGGTGGTTGCCGTGATCTCCGAGGGCGCGTGCAACACGTACGGGCAGCTGTGGGAGCGGACCATTGGGAAGAAGACCCGGCTGCTGATGGACATTTTTCTGCTGGTGAACGGGATCATCACGTGCATGCAGTATCTGATTGTGATCTCCGACTTCGTGCCGAAGGCGATCCCGCAGGTGTTCGGGGATGGCGGGTGCCTGGGCGCGGTCCACGCGGAGAAGGGCAGTTTGGCGGGCGGCGCCACGGAGCGGCTGTACACGGTGCTGTTCGCCGGGTACGGGATCATTCTGCCGATCGCGCTGTTTTCCAAACTTGACTTCCTCAAGTGGCCGTCCTTCATCGGCGTGGCGTTCACCATGTTCGCCGTCATGTACGTCGTGTACGACTACGCCACGCGCGGGTACTATTCCGCCCAAGTGCCGCGGAAGGACCCGGCCACCGGTGCGTTCGATGTGTACAACGACGGGGCCTGGACGGACCAGAAGAACGACGGGCGGGGGAACTTCGACTTCTTGATGATGATGAGCATCATGAGCATCTACTCCTCCACCTACGCCTGCCACTACAACGCGCCGCGGTTCTACCGGGAGCTGGGCCCTAGTCGGAGTCCGGGCCGGTTCGCCATGATCACCATCACGTCCTTTGTGCTCATTCTCGGCATCTTCGTCATGTTCGTCATTTGCGGCTACGGCCGGTTCGGCGGGAGCATCCAGGGGAACGTGTTCCTGGGCTACCAAAACGTGCCGGCCTCGGAGAAGGACGAAGTCGCGATCAAGATCGCCTGGATGGGCATGGCGCTTTCCGTGATGACCAGTTACCCCTTGCTCAGCAACAGCGCGCGGGCGGCCCTATACGAAATCTTCTTTCCCTACACCGCGGATAAAAGTCCCACCTGGATCTACGTCCTGGTCACGGTGCTCTTCGTCACGCTATCCGTTGTCATGGGCTGGCTCGGACCGGACGTGGCGCTGCTGGGGCAGATCAAAGGTATAATTATTACCAAGTACGTACTTGTTTGAAATTGGCCGCTGCAGTGACAGTGCCTGTGACGCTGACAATTCTTGAAAGAAGCCACGCGTTATTTCTGCAGCTCCGTTGTTTCTGTATTGAGTTTTAGTTTCGCCGTCACTAGCACTAGCTGCTCCAAGAAGTACAGGGGTTGTCATCTTGTTGCTCACGCACATCTTTTGCAGCGAGGACGAAATGATATTCGCGTCTTTTGTACTTAAAAAAATCTCGCAAAGTACTAAACTACGATCTTCACGAAAAATCTCTAACAGGCGCCACCACCACCGTCTCCTTGTGCTCTATCTTTCCGGGACTGATGCTTCTGTTCAAGGTATTTCAGGACGAGAAGGCCGTCGAGGATGGCCCAGCTGCTGCGGATGGGGACAACGAGCCGCTTTTGCAAGACGAGGTTTTGCTCACGCAAGGTTCTCAATTTGCCAGCGACTATTTGGACACTGACCTCCCCCAGGAGGACCCCTCAGAGAAACTGAAGAGCTCGAGCGAAGATGAGGCGAACCTGACCCGCGTGAACATGGTTAAGGGTAAGGGAGCCACTTTCAAAACGCTCGCTTGGGTGCTGATCATCATCTCGTCGCTCATGGCCGTCGTCGGAATCACCACCGTGTTCCTGAAGCAAGCGGACGTGATCGGAAGGGCGAAGCCCCTGGAGGCGACCCTGCCAAACAAGTGGAAGAACGTCGATTACGACCTGAGCGCCGACGATCCGGACGGAAAGGCGTTTCTCACCAAGCTGTTGGAAGACGGCTATAGCTCCACCTCAAGTTACTGGAGAAACGCCTGCGCGTGGAAGACCGCCCCGGCGGGGAGCGGGCAGGAGAAGAGCTACCAGCTTCTCATCAATTACAACCCGGCATCGCCCATCGCGATCCGCTATGACGAACTCTGCCAATAGAGGATCTTCGCAAACTACTTGTTGTCGAGCTGCAGAAGAGCAGATACACATGCAGCTGCGGGTGATGTGAAAATCCATATTACGATTTCTAGAGAAAGGTTCGTAGCTACATGATACGTATCTATGTATAACCTTGATCATATTTGCGAATACGACAAAGGCATCGTTTGCTATATACGTTATATTGATCAAACATTGGCTACGTAAAACTGAACTTTTTTGTGCATGCTCGTCGTCTCCATAGAGCCGTGAGCATCACGTTTGTGGTACAAAAATTTGGCGAAACTTAGCACTCTTTCGACTGCAAGTAGATCTAACGAGATTTCGGATAGAGAAAAATTAGTGGAAGGAAGGATACTTACGCTGTCTTAAGCGCACAAAATTGAATTTAGAAATGAACCCAAAAAAGACGTGACGACCCAGCGATGAGGACTTTTTACCAATTTTTCTGAAACGTACATTTTCAGTGGGAAGCACGAGGATGATTGAAGCCGTAGAGCCTCGCGCAGTTAGTCCCTGCGCGCGCGAGGACTGAAAGATCGAGTCTCCTCTCATTTTGACTCCTCTGTTGATTCAATAGGGTTGTAGTCTCGCGAGTTTCCCTCGTGAAGAAGCGTGCTGGTAGGTAGGTAGTTGGTAGTCGCGTGCCCGTGGTGCATAGCGTTGCGTCGTTCCCTGCCCCGGTCTAGTGAGCCACATGCAGCGAAGAGGCCACCGCCAACCGCCACCCAATGAAGTGAAGTGAATAAATTGAAATTGAAATTATCATCTTCGAATCCTGTTTGCATCTGCATTTGATTGCATGCAAATGCCACCAGCCGGCCACTGGAGATCTTTTCCAAAAAAGGCCGCACCGCTCGTACTGAATTCGAGACCTCTGGGGGTGGTCGTCGAGCGTGGCTGGCTGAAAGACACACAAAAGTTGACGAACATTCACGGCCACACAAAATTTTGAATCCACTGGATCCCGTACGAAATTCAGTATTAATAGCATCAGTTTTTTCATGGCGCTACGTACCGGCTCCGGCTGAGAGCGTCCCGTGCGCGTGGCATTCTTATCGTTGTTCAATCATTGTGCCTCAAGGTAGCAGCGCGTCGGTCCGAAAGAATGTAAGTAAGACTGAATTGAAGATCGGCATCGGCATTATACACTTCCGGTTGCGATATTTTTTTTTTCCAATTTTGTTTTTTTTGTCCTGTGGACCCTATCCCTGACGCTGAGTTAGAGCTGGTGTCGTTCGTTGTTCTGGGTTCCCTGATAAAGATAGCACCCGTCAGGAGAAGCTTGCCTCGCATATTTTTTTTTCGCAGCCTACTTATACTTATTTCTTTTTTTCTTAAGAAGCGCACGCGCAATTCTGTATCTATTCTTTTTTGGCGTCAGCAGCTGAATCAATATCCGTATCCGATTCTGAGCAGCACGGTTCACGTGCATGTTCATTGCGTGTTGAGGAAAACGCTACAGGACTTTGTTGCCTTTGGTGGTGTTGCCATTTCCGAAAGCAACAACTTTTGTTAGAAAACAAAAACGCGCCGATTGAAGCAAAAAAAGAAAACAGAAAACTTGTGGCAGGTAGTTACCACGTCCCTTTTTTTCACCCCTTGAAAGCCCAACTAGTATCCATAGAAGATGCAAGCTGAGGGGGGATGAATAGATATAGAATGCGCACTAGATGATCTACAAGACCCTTTTCTTCGGACGACGCCAAACTTGTGTATGGTAACAAGACGGCGCTCGTCGTCGCGCTGGTGAAGATTTTTGGAGATTGTTGTTTTGTTGTGATAACAGATTCACTGTCTGCATACGGGTGGCAGAGTCGTCAGGAGTTGTATGTTCAGTTTCGTCACACCGGCACTCGAATCGGAGTCTAGAAAACACACCACCAGTTGTCCGATTCTATTAGGCCACAGCAGCCATAGGAAGTTTGCAGTTTCACGTAGGCAGGAAAGTGTAGTAAATAATTAAGAAAAACAAGTAAGCACATTAGGCAGAAAGTCATGTTCAAAACTGTCACTCACACCATCACCATGCAGCGGAGTGTTGATTTTTAGGTACAAATAGATACTGTAGAAAATGGAAATGGAAAAAGTACTGTAAGAAGCTGCGCAACTGGAAAGAAGTTAAAGATAAAGAAGTTTCAGATCGTTCTTCCTGTTCGGAAAAATTGGCTCGACAAATACGAGGGAGACAAGAGGAACTAGCACTAAGAAGCCCATTAAGCACGCCTCTCTCTAAGTACTTGCGAAAACAAACAAAAAGTCATCTCACGCCCCCGAAAATTTTGAGAACAAACCTTGGACATCAACGGATTTACAATTATACTGAATAACGCGAACTGCCAGAGCCAGACCATAAGTATTAATTAGAATCGAGGAGGCGTGGGAGATTGGATCACAAAAACATGGGGTTAGCCGCGTCGGCGGGAGCAGATCGTCCTCCAGGGCCGCGGCGGAAAAAGTAGATTGGCGATACAACCACTATTACCCAGTGCAAATATGCCTGGGTATATGGAAAGTTGCATATGCTATTTCTTGTTCGTACTTAGTCTGTGATTGGTGAGTGCACTGCAAGACGCAGCCACGCATGACAAGTTTTTCAGCTGCTATGTGTTGCATATCCCGCGGGGCAGACTGCGTATTTACGAGATAGGCGATAGGATTCCATCTTCGGGATCGGGCTCATGTATCACAGACAAAGAGTTCAAGGTCATTTGACACAAGCACGACAAATTATCTTGTGCCCGACCCAGACATATTTGCAATGCATAGCAGTCGTCGTACCTTCACTGAAATTTCGACAGCAGATGGCTAGCCGTGTGCAGCAGTTTGCGGCCGAGCGCCCGTCGGTCCCACTCCCGCAAGGATACCAAAGCGAAAAATTTTCCCCTCGGCCCCACATTCAGAATGAAATTTGTGATGCCAGATTTGTGTATTACAAGTACGCAAATCGTATTGCGCTTTCGCATGAGGGACGGCTCTCATGTTGACGGTCCAACTACAGCATCAGGAAGCAACCGCGCAATGCGACGGATACCTCTGACAGTGCCTTTTTTCAAGACATGGGCGATTTGGGGCCACGAATCAGCAGCACAGGCTTTCCTTTTGAATATGGGGATTTGGGCGGGTTTTCCCCTGCGATACAGGAGCTGCTTTCACGGCCAGCCATTTTCACCACCACCCCCACCGCCTCATGAGCGATGACCTCCCAGCGAAGAAGCAAAGCAGTATCTCTTCACCGGTCGTGTCCAACTCCCTGCATGATCACAGCACCCACAAGACGCGCAGCACGTACCCACTTTCTAACGCGGAGCACCACGAGCGCGTTGTCACTTCTGGTGCTGGTGAGGAACAAGAAGGTATTGGGGGCCCAGGAGAAGATGATAGCCGAAACCTCGACCTTGATCAGGATGGCGCTTCCTCGAGCCGAGGTAGCAGCGTCGAAGAACACGACCCAGGGACGAATAGTGCGACCACACGCGTAGTTCCTACTGGTCCGCCGGACCTCCAGCATCTTCCACGTTCTAGTGCTGCTGCGTCAGAGTACGAAGGGGTAGCGCCGACTCGTGACACGACGGGTTCCGGCGAGGAGCTGGGAGCCCACCCGGATTATGGGCCAGAACCAGAAGCACATGCACAACCTCCCGCAATCGTTCCGCCGACGGAGCAAAACTTGTACCCGCCCCGACGCGTTACCGGCGGTAGTCGAAATACCGACACGATAGGGGAGAACGACCGCAGCGAAACGTGGGGGGCGGCTGGTCCTGAGTACTTGCTGCCAAGATACGAAGACGAGATGGTATTATTTTTACGTCACCATAAGAGCGACAGTTTCTTTACACGCAGACTCACGACTGAAACTGTGTTGTTTTGCTTGTGAATTTTCAGTTTTCACCACGTTGATTGCACTCTGCCTTTGATAGGGGTAAGGACTCAATTCGTACAAACACATATCAGTTACGCAAACACGTGTATTAGGCAATGCGACCATCTGACGGTCAGGATGAAGACAAGTGCAATTTACGAAGTATTGCATCTGCATCATGTTTTTCACTCCTACAGGACCATCGATACCACGCCGACTACCACGACCCTACGGCCGAACCGGTAGTAGTTGGGGTGCGACCGTTGCGGCTTCCTACTCGCTGGAACAACCATCGGCCACGCCATCAGCGCAACAGCGGATCTTCCGGGGGTACTATGAGAGTGCACACCTCCCCAATTCCCTCATTTGTAATGATACAGGTGCACAAACACAATTTTACATACATGCTGCTTTTGGGCACGACTTTCAATGAAAAGTTTCCAGAATGAAACCCCAATCCGCACTCCTGTAGAAGTCATTCCTGGTGTGTTGAGAATGCGGACGCTGCATTTGTGTTTCTCATTTCGTCTGCGAATTAAATGCAATGCTGCTCATGGGCTTTACCTTTAGATGAGGCGGAGGGAAAATGGTGCACGCTCATAGGGGCATCGAACAACAGTAGCTATTACGATCACCAGCGTTTCGAAGCCCGGGGTGGAAGTTTCCACCAGCAGCGGGCGACGAGGGGCGGGAATCAGGGTTCCAGGGGACAGTATCAACGCGAGTATTACTACTACGTCGATAGTGGAACCGGAAGTGGGGGCTCCTCCACCGCGCCTCCCCGCGGAGCAGGGGGTGCAAGGAACAACTATCGTGTGCGGGAGCGGGGCCAACATCTGCCGCATTCAAACCGCGATTCGGGGCAGAGTTTTGATTCCACAGGCTACCCCAACCACCCCCGCGTGCGGAACTCGATGCCGCCACCGAGCGGTAACAACTACAGCCCCGGATCTGGTGGACCACGCGCCTACCAGCACGACATCGATTTTCGCCGGCACTCGGAACCGTTTCTGCAGGGCTCCCCGCCCCCGGACGACCACCTCGGGATGCAGGGCAGTAACTCGTACGACTACAACGCGAGCCGGGCCGGCGCGGGGACTGGGGCCTCGGGTCGCGACGAATTGGACGAGGAGGCCGTGGAACGGGAGGAGGCTGCGATCGAGTACATCCGGCAGGGAATTCAACGCCACTTGGACCACCAGGACCAGCTGCGCCGAAACAACAACCTCCAGGAACAGGAGCGCATGCGCGCGGAGTTGGAAGAACTGCGACTGGAGCGGGATCGTCTCGAGCAGGACATGAATAACCTCCATCTGGATTCACAAGAGACAAAGCAGGTATTCTACATTTTCGCACAGATGATGAAAGAAATAAACTTGAACTTCTCTATCTAACGTGGATGTGCTATATTGAGAGCGAAGTATGTATATGACATGCGACACGAAGTCATAAAAATGGTGGTCGAGGGAAGGACTGGCATGCAAGCATGCAGTAGCTATACGCTTCCTAGGCAGGTGTGTACAGATTTGGGTTTGGAATTTCAACTTGATGTTCGTGTATAATGAAAATGAGCCGCGCCATTATCAATCTTCACATCGTGCGCCAGGTGATTTCGATCTGCAAAGAAAAGCTCCCTTGAAGATGATTAGCCACTCAAGTATCAAAAACAATCTCCACTCAGTGGCAGTATGAAAAATCCTCATGACAATTACGTCACAGGCGATGGCGCGCGACCTGGCTGAGGCGCACTACAACATCCACACCGTAGAGCGGGAACTGTTTCAGGAGCGGGAAAAGCACCACCTGGCCGCTAGCCTGGTCGAACGAATGCGGGAACAGTTGCAGGAAAAGCAGGACAAGTTGCAGGACAAGGAGGCCCGCCTTCGGGATCTTAAAAAGCAGCACCATATCGCTCAGCGGGAGAAGCTTCAGAACGACATGGAGCAGCGCAGAATCGTGCCCCGGTTGGAGTCCAACCGGTTGCGCGAGAAGGCCAAGATTCTCGAAAGCTACATGCGCCGCCGCAGCTTCACTATCGATGCGTAAGTAGAACTACGATCAGTAGTAAAAGTAGATATGCGTAGTCACGCACTTCCCAGTGTTGTAGACGCTTATTTCGTAACAAAAGATAGTGCTTTGCTTGCGGAATCAATTTGGAGCTCTTCCGCGCTGAAGACCTTCTGTGATTTTTTTCGGTTTTTGATAAATGCATTTTCAACAAATTCATGGATTTCCTCGCTCCGGATCCTCCGGCACCAAGCTTCGTTTTGGTGAACGTGGGGTCCTCTTTGACGTCGTAGCTAGCCTGGTTTCGTCGATGCATCGATATGTCGGCTTCGTGATCCGATGCTGAAATATTTTTTGCACGCAACGATGGATCCCCTCTCCTCGCACTACAGCAACGCTCGCAGTTGCATGGGAAATGCGAGGAGGTTCGTTTATTTTTGTCTTTGTGTCTTCATAAAATATACAACTCATTCTCAAAACGTCCACCTTACGCTCATACCTGCCCGCGCTGAAAGAATACACCTGAAAGTTTTTTCGCCTGTTTCTAGTAGTTCTGAAAAGAGAGAAATGAAATTCCGATTTGCACTGGTGCCCTCGACGTGGATAATGTATTTTTTTCCGTATTGATGTTTTACTTTTTCTTTTATCACCTTGCTTTTGTGTCTGTTTTCCAAAAAAATTATGAAAAAAAAACTTTTTCCTTTAGTTTAGTCAAGAGAAATTCCCGGATCTTAGATGTGCCCTAAATTATATTGTTCTTGATCTCTTAACTGTTGCCGCTGCACCTAGCTATCAATTTGTATGTGGAAGGAAACGAAAACGAAATAGTGCGTTGATTGCAATTTACTGAATGCCAATTTATAGTCTTCTTGTTTTCTACTGCTGTACATACATGATTCGAGCGCAGCCGCTTCGTGTCCATATTTCACTAGGTTCATTCTCCGGAAAGAACATCTCGAAAGGAGAAGTCGAACCGGATACTTACAGTTTCCTTCGCCTTCCCTTGCCCAAATGGAAATGACGAAAGCCAGCGCTTGCTTGCATTCCTACTGGAGCCCTGGCCCACTGATCCTGACACCTCTTTATTCTAGACCATTATTTCACTTTCATTCCAAGGAAAACGTAAACGAACACTCACACAACAAAAAACGCTATGGTTCTACTCCTCCACAGAAGTAAGATGATTGCAATCAGCTCCGTTTTCTTCTCGTTCAAATATGCACTCGTAGGTTCAGTGTGGTCATAGGGGGCGTTTGTGTTGCGCATGGTGCTTCGTATGACCTCGCGCTGGGCCCACGAAAGAAAGAATAGCGAAAATGGTCAAGTTTTGACCTGTGTGCATAGCATGACTTCCTTTTCGCAAGAATCAGCAGCATCACCAGCGCGAAATGTAAAAAATGCCTGCAGCAATAACAAATTACATTCCTGTATAATGAGACTTGCTTCTTGAAGACAAAAATCTTTTGAATGTATTCACCAAGCTTCAGTGGTTATTACCACCAGAGAGGAGGCGGGCTACGCCTACGTCAGTAAACAAAACGCGATTGTAATGGCGCTGCTGATCATCTGCGAGGTCTTTTGCTGTCCGGATCACGAACAAACAGCAAGATCGAGCCGTATCAGTCTGACTCCACTTACATGTCGCTGCTAACCTCTCCGCCTCCTGTAGAAGCTGACACTACTTAATCAGTATTCCGACCGCTACCCCAATGAGACAAACGAAGTTACTGTATACTACTTCTTTTATCGCAGCCACTAAAAGAACTCTTTCTACTATACCTTGAAACTACGCTACATGTCGCCGGATGAAGAGCAGCATTTGGTCGTGCCAGAAAATTTAAGTAGTTGCAGTAACCAGAGTCAAGAACGATATATATTAGCTTGTTTGGGGTGGCAGCGTCCATCATTGTTTTAGTGATTGTCGTTCCAGCATTTGCTGCACGGGGACGGGGGAAAGATAATGTGGAGATCGTCTTGATTGATAGAGAAAAAGGAAAAGTACTGACAAAACAACTATACTTTTTTGGATAGACCATTTTTTTGACCCATCACGTTGCAGCAGGCCTCCGACTTTCGTCAGAAGTCGCACTGCAGCTGCGGGTTGGAAGGATGGAAAAAGAGAAACTCCCTAACTGCGATTCAAATCTCAAAAAAAACAAAAATTACGGCTTCTCTCTGGGCAGGCACCACTGGAAGTTGTCTTGCAGGAATAGGTCGACTGCAACTCGAACTTCCTTGATGCGGTGTTTTTCGAACATCTGCAATACCGAACCAAAAAACTTCAACTTCTACATCTATATTTTGCTTCTTTCGCTGCATGGCGGCGACGTTCTTTCATCAAAGTACTTGACCGCTCCAGGTTCCCCTTTGGTATGGCGGACTTGAAGCGATCAAGCGTGATGAACCGTTTTTGCATAATGTAGGCCGAAGGACTCACGTAGCAAGATAGAAGGGAAGTCAAAAGTGTTTAAGCCCATGATGTGGAGCTGTGAGAAAAAACATTACTATAGGATCTGGGGATTGATCATAGCCCTAGCTAGTAAAGATGAGAAGCCGAAGTATCACCATCACGCACGCGCAGCATCAATACGCGTATGGCCGTTCTGGCCAGAGCCGGGAGCAAATGCGGATGCAATGTTTCGCTTCTGAAAACAACGAACTATCCACCGTATTTACAAAGGTCATATTTTTCTTGCTTTGTCCGGCTTGACAGAGTCAGTTAGAGTGTCACACGACGCACTAACTATTTCGATTGCTCTCAGATGTATTTTTCCACAAGTGGAAGTGGAACGAAGCAAGTGTCTTTGTTGACAACAGACAGAGAGCGAAATTGTTTACCTTACTTCTTCTACTGCGATTATCCAGCTTTCGATATTGGCGAGCTTACTTCTGCGACCATGAAGGAATGAATATCGAAACAAGTAGAAGAGTCGACTTCGATTATAGTTTTAGAAGAATCCTCTCCCGCTATTATCGCTATCTATGAAGTATATCTCGTGGTGTTATTGGGTTCGCATCAGGAGGTAGATGAATTAGACATGCACGGTAGCCGAGCAAGGATCCACTCAGGTGCGAATTTTTTAGAAGGCACTAGCAAGAACCAACGAACTTCGAATTTCATCTATATCTTCGAATGATACAGCTGACAGTTTCGAAAAGAAGAAGACAAAAAGTTTCCCTTAGCTGCTCGAATTTAGGATTTGAGAGGTTTATGAATAACTGCGCAGCTTGGCTTGCTGTGCGAGATACTCAAGAACTTTTCCCCCTTTAAGAGTGGCCCGGAAATTTTTTTCTCTCTCTTTCTTTTTTTCTACTTTTTCCAAATTTCCTGTCTATTGTTGATCCGTTTGAATATTTTGTGCTTGTTTTCAATTTCAACCGTATTTGTTCACTTGCTCAATATGTTGCAGGGCAAGATATGTCATTTCTTTCGCTTGTCCTTCGAACTTCGAAAAAAAAAAACTACCCATCTCAAAAAATGGGCCACCTGAGTTCGTGGGAGATGTGTAGTACAAACAAAGGACAGGAAGAGAGTTGCGATTTCCAACACCTCGTTGACGTCGCAAATTCATTTTTCTGGCTATGTAAAAAGAAAAAAAAATTGAACAGCAAATCTTTAAGTATGCAAAACGAGGAACGGTCGGTACGTACTCACTTCCGAAGCCGAACACGCGACTTTTACTTCCTGCGACGATACACTTTCCTCAACCGAATGTCACCTGCACGAGTTTGTTACTTCTCTCATAAGTATGTTGAGAACACCATGCCGGCAAAAATTATTGAATCTTCGCCCAAATTTTGATATTGAAGACGATATTGTAACACGTTTTCATGCAAGTTTTCACATGAAAGTATACAACATCACTTTTCCTCCACAACTTGAATACCGAATGCAACTCGTAAGAAATAGCAAATGTACGCCACGCACTTTTGGTCTTCCCCTCTTGCCTGTAAAATATTTCTGAATCAAAGACTTTTTGCCCTTTCACGGACTGTACCTTGTTGCATATTTGAATGTTTTGATGCTTCTACAAAAAAAAAAAACAGAGGGAGTCTACTTGGCGCTCGCTTCTGAAGTAGCCAGCTCAAAGTTTCTTGTCTCGTAGCGGATTCAGAAGTAAGAAAGGACCGCTACATGGACAGAGATATCGATCGTGTTCGCCTAGTATACTAGTTCCTTCGCAAAAAGAAAAATGGGCTCACGATAAAACACGATTGATCCTCCCCTATTTTTGACAGCAACAGCAACAGAGCCTTCCTTAATCATTTACGAATCAGTATCGGAGCGTTCAAATTTCCAGAAGTTACGTTGTCAGCAGTTGTAGTAGCAATTTGTGGAAGCAGAGTTTTGATTTGGATGGATCCCTTTCTTTTGTTTCGTTTTGATTTGTAAATTCTTATTGTTTTTAGGAGGTCAAGCCAGTTAGGAGAGTACCAAAGTGAGGAAAAAAGGCCAAGGTTTGTAGACAGCGCAATGTTTACAGTGTGGCTAGGGGTGGGCCACCCAGGTCAGCTAGGCATGGGAAGAACGACACACAACGCACAGACGCCAAAAGAGAGCTATATGACCTGCCCAGTCTGTCAAAAGAAAGTAGTGCCAAGCACAGACCACTTGCTTTTTCAGTGCGAAGACCCTACGCTAGTGCAATTGCGAAAAGAACACTTAGGCGCGCCATGCATAAAAGCCATGGATCCATGCATAAGTTTTGTCCGGGAGCGAAAAAACGTGAAGAACATCCTGAACTTCTACGAGAAGGCCTCGCAGACACACGGAGGAATTCTGCCCACGGGGCTAGCGAACGCTATCAGAGGGGGACAGGCGGTTTTCGACGAGGCGGACTACAAGGACGTGGCAGAGTGGCAACCGGAGAAAAAGCCGAGCAAGGTCCAGGAGGGGGACCTGAACAAAATAGCGAGCTGGATCGGGAAGCTCTAGGAGAGAGACCGCCAACACGAAAACGAACAAAGCCGACAAACTGCTACGAACGAGGGGACTACGCTCAGCCGGGCAACTTCTCCGAAAATCAGTTAGAGGGCAGCGGGGCCATTTCCTTTGCTAAAAAGTGGCTAAACTTTTCGGGATTTTTTCGAAGCGTGTCGGCCGAGGCGTTGCGTTAGCCTGACCGGCTGAGCCCCGCCCTCGCAAGTGGTGCGCCGCTTCCTTTGTCTGGCCCGCCTCGCCTGGTTTTGTTTCTTTCGGCGGGCCATAGGGGCGATGGGTTCGCTGTGTTGTCTGTTGCCGCCGGGTGTTTTGTATTTGCTAGCGGGCTATGTTTTGCAGTTTAGACGTTCGCCCCGGTTTCTCTTGGGGTGTGGAGCCTTACAATTTTGGCACGTTTCCGTTTGGTGGTGCGCCGGGTATTTTGCGTCGCGCAAAGCATCCGGCATCTCGGGCACGTGTTTGCAGGTGCTGCGCGCAACCTCTGGTCGGGCGTGTTTGGGTTTGTTTGTGTTGTCACCTCGAAAAGCCGCGGCGGGCGGTTTCTGTGGTGGTGCTCTGTGTCGCGCCGTGTGGCGTGTTATTTCTCTTCTTCAGGCGAAGACGGCCGCCGCCCCTTTTTTTTCCTTTGTGTTCGGCTTTGGAATTTTAGAAACCAAGACGCCCGGGTCCTTTCAAATTTGCGGAAATCAGTGTCCTTTCCCCGGCTAAATTTTTGGCTAAATCGGCTGACTTTTTTTTCCTTCCCGAAATCCCTGTGGTTCCGCATTTTGCCGCCGGCTAAATTCGGCATCGCCGGGATTTCCGAAGTGAATCCCGGAAAATTTAGCCAAGATTTAGCCGACCGATTTAGCCGACCGATTTAGCCGCATAGATTTAGCCGACCGATTTAGCCGGCCGATTTAGCCGGCCGATTTAGCCGACCGATTTAGCCGGCCGATTTAGCCGGCCGATTTAGCCGGCCGATTTAGCCGACCGATTTAGCCGGGATTTAGCCGCATGATTTAGCCGGTCGCGGAAGTGTAGCAGGGAAATGCAGAAACCCGCTGCGGATGGGATGTGGGCCAGCCCATAGATATCCAGGACCCGCGCAGACTTTCGCCGGCCCCGGCTTCCGTTTGGGTTGTCTATCTTGGGCCCGAGGGTTTCCGTCTTCCGGTATTTCCTTTCCGGGTATATTTCTCATTGGGCATGGGGTTTCGCATGGTTCCGCGCGCGGTCCATCCGGGCCGCCACGCAACAATCGCAGGAAGCTCCTTGGGGTTTTTGCTTTCTTCTACCCGCGCCGCGCTGGCTTTCTCTTTTCCTCCGGCGGCAGCGCCGTCGGGGCCGCTTCTGCTTGCCCGGACTTTCAAAAAATCCCGAAAAAATTAGCCAAAAAATAACGGGCGAAGTCGCCCCAAACCCTCCAACTGACGAAAAACCTGCACCCAGAAAAACCCCACCACCCTTCCCCCCTCGCTTTAGGTCTATCTGGAGTACATGACGCCTCTAGCTGCAGGAGCAGTCCCGGGGTGTTAGCGCGGGAGGAGCGGAACCGGTGACCAGCTGCGTCAGCCAGGGCACATCGAAGCAGGTGGGTCTAGGGCAATGAGGGTGTGCCAGGCGGAAGGTGGTGGAGATGGGAACGGAGACAGAGTAGAACTTGTTGAGGCGCTTGTTGAGGCGGTAAAGTAGGTAGTAGCGTGAAGCCACAGCGCATAGTTAAGAAGTTAGAGAGCATGACACTGCGAGGCTCGACCCGTCCTCGAACGGGGGCGGGTGAATGTAGCAAGCGGTGATCGTGATACAGAGGCTGTCGCTCGTCCGCCACACTAGTTTCCTAACAACAAGAAGAAAAAAACAAGACAAGGCGCCTAAGCTACTACTAATGCTTACGTGGTAAAACAGTAGAATAGCCGCGCGCCGCACTCAACCCAGGGGACCCGCTGAACGACGGCCGAGAGCCCGCCCGGTGAGGAGTTTCCTTATGTTCGTGTTCGTCTGCCCTCCACCCACTGCAGAAGAGCAACCTTGCAGATTTGAACCAGGTCGATCTTTTTCAAAAATCTCTGGCTAATTCACTCCGGTCCGCCTTGCTCTTAGAAGATCCGTGCGAAAAAGCACAAGATAAGCTGCTGCCAAGGTGTAGAACGGTTAGCACAAGCGCAGGCCCTAGAGTGAAACATGAGCGGAATCGGGCTACAAGGCCACAGGTAAATCACCCCTGCGTCTTCCGGTCGGCCTTTACGAAACTGACTACAAAAAACCGCGACGGTAGAAAGGGGGCGGTCTAGTCTACGGTCTAGATCGTCTCCACTACCATTCGAAAAAACGCAAGTCCCAGCTATAGCACAACAAGAGCGGCATCCGACCCGAGTGTAGTCAGCCGGACCATTTTTAGAAGACGTTGCGAGGTGGGCGGAGAGGCATCACGCGTGCAGTGGAACGAGAGGAAGGCCAGCGTTCAACTGTGTGATGTTCGTCGTATACTGTCCTGCCTAGTTCACTACTATCGATCTAGGCCCGTAAGACTAGTGTCTTTGATCGATCTAGGCCCGTCGAAGTTTTGCGTGCGGGTTTGGCCCTCTTCTACCCCCCGAAAAAAGGGGAGTCTCCAGACCCTTCAGGTCGTCCCTGCCGCCGGTGGTCACGTCCGCGTGGCGCTATCAGCGAATCAGCGATCAGCGAACTATTTATATATTATTCTGGCCTAATTCTAATTTATTATCGCCATGCGCACAGCGATGCGACCTCTGGTTACTCGCTCGCTGCTTTGTATTTTGCTTTTTTGTATGGTCACGGCCCGACTGATGGTCGTCGATTGGTTGCATTCCTTCGTAGTTGATGTTCTCGCGGATTTTGTATTCGTATCGTATCTCCCTGTGTGTCGGTTCGTACATTGGTGTGTCGTTTTCCTGGAGCTTGATCGCAAATTCGTATGCTCCTTTCATGCTGTTGCGTGCATAAGTCTGATCTTCCCTGCCCCGCTTCCTCTTGCATTCGCCCCGGTAGGATTAGGTCTCTACTTTTTATTTACTTTTCTCTTGTCGTATAGGTTTATGTCTGTTTTCTTACTGTTACTTCTGGACTTTCCTTTCTCGCCACTCCTCTTTGCATGCGTCCCTGTAGGCTTAGATCTCTACCCTTTTATCCTGCTTCTTCCCCTTATGTTTCTTCTCTTTACTATTGCAAACTTTGTAGCGCTAGTTGCGGATCCCGCGCACTCGCAGGGGCTTTGTTTTTTCCGCCTTGCCAGCGGGTTTGTTTGGGGGGCGCGAGAGTCAGTCTTTGGGGGTTCTAGCACTTGACGCTCAACAACGAGTTTCCGGCGGGGCGTCGCACAACTTTCCCTTCTACACCCCTGCGGCCCGGGTTATTTGCGGGGCCATACCTGCATCGCAACCAAATTCGTGTTGATTTTCCCCGACCCAGATGCGCGTTTTTTTTCTGCTGCTGTCTTTCCGGCGAACACCTCTTGGTGCTCGTCAGTCTGCCAGGGCTTGTTTACATGCGCGCGCGATCTGGCGGTGGTGAAAATGTGCCACGACCGCGGTTTCCTCGTCGCGTCGGATTTTGCCTTACTTTTCTAATCGGAGGCTGGTTTGTTGTCTGCGGAACTCGCCCTTTGCACCAATCGATATATAATCTTGGGTCAGGTTTGCTAATCCTGGCAGTAGCATTCATCTGGTGTGTGGGTTCTAAACAACTTACTTGTTCCTCGGCGTTACTACGCCCGCTACTGCTTTTTGGTTGGTAAGTGGATAGATATTTTAAAGTTTGGTCTCCGCTTGTGGATGGCCGGCGAATCGCGCCACAAATGCACGCGTAGCTGCGCGTTACTCTTCCAGTTCGTGCGGACTCCTGGTGTTGCTACCACCGTTGGGAGTATAAGAAAGAAGAACATAAGGACGTCGGGTTTTTGAAGGCTTTACATTATTCGACTCCCTTCCACTTTTTGGTCCTTTTGATGCGTTCACGCACATCCAGGATTTTTGTGGTCGGGGGCCCGCCGAAGTTTTGCGCGCGGGTTTAGCCCTCTTCTACCCCCCGTAAAAAGGCACGTCTTC